TGTGATTAACAAACTGACACAGAACTCATTTTAAACACCAAGACTTCAGTCTTAATTTTACTTTGTAAATTATTTAGCATATTATTTCCTTGACACAATGTCCTACCATCTTCCTATACTGCCAGCTACCTGATGTTTGGATACTGGCAGCACAGTACACCAATTCACGATTCAAAATCAAACATAGATCACTTTCTTCCTTGCATATGTTCATTTCAGGCCAAAATAAAAGCCTTTGTTTGGGGCAACATGCCCAAATCTGCAAAACAGCTCTAACAGAAAAAAATTAATTATTCAAATTTATTTATGTACACCCCACAAATCAGCATGTCTGTCTGTCTGTCTGTCTGTCTGTCTGTCTGTCTGTCTGTAAATCATTTCATAGCCTGGATATAAAGGAAACAAAAGAAACTGCCCACTTACCTACCATTTTTTTATATACCGTATTCAACGTAATAAGCGCCCAGGGCGCTCTTATTAGAATATAATTTTGGTGAGATTAAAAAGAAGGTTGAAAGATTGTAAATTTTGTGGTTAATGCTGACAGCCTGAAATGTTATGAAAGAAGAATCTGTGTGTATATTACACGATAGATATATTTTCGAGAATTAAATTGCCCATAATTAAGGGTGCATATAACAAACGAGTGCGTATTATACACGAATAAATAAGTCTTGTGTACATTGATCAATTGGAAAGGGTGCTAACTGGGATTGTTCACTAGCCATTATATTAGCAAATAACACCATGGGCGCTTATTAGAGCGGGGCGCTTATTACGTCGAATACAGTAACTGTCATACTGCCAGAAACAGATATTTCGAATAATGGCCCAAGACGTTTTGATAACTTGACCTACACCAACCTTCCTAATTTATTTACTTAATTTTGCCAATAGATAAACACCACACTGACGGGATATGGGATATGACCCAGCAGCCAAATGTCTGATTTCAGTCATTACTCACAAGTACTGACCAGGGCCCCATTCTACAATGCGATCTTAGCGCTAAGGTGATCGTACCTCCCTTTCTTTAACATAGTCTTATGGCAATAGTAGCTCTAAAATCCCCTGTGGAAGAGGACCCTGGGCACAATTCCACAAAGCGATCAAAGTACTCTGAAAGTGGTCGGTGTGCGATACAGTATGGAGGGACAATCATCTTAGCACTGAGGTGGCCATGTGAAACACGGCCCAGGATACGGTTGGGATTTCTTTCTCACAACAGAATCAAGAACAGGACAACCAATAATGTGAGGTAGGAGGATAGCGAAGCATACACAGGGAACCTCGTTGTCAGTGACTGACAGCAACATCTTCTGGAATACAGGGCCCCGTTCCAAGAAGTGACCTTAGCCAATGATGAGCGAAGTCTCTCTTAAAGTAAACAACTTATGAGCAGCTAATTACTAAAATAGCTTCATGGAACGGACCCCTGGGCCCCGTTCCACAAAACGATCATACAGCTACGACAGTCATAAGCCTATGTTATAGTATAGGAGTTACGGTCAGCCTAGTTCTACAATCACTTTGTGGAACCGTGCCCAGGCATATTAGACAGGTTAACATGTAGCACAGACTGAGAGTTTTCATTATCACAGACCTGTCCCTTTGTACAAGGCCAAGGCAAAGTGCTGCTTCCATACATTACCCAATGGCCATCCATCCTTAAACATATATTGATTCGTCCAATCCCATAGTGGCATTTGAGAACCAGGCAAGCAGGTCAATAATAATCACATGTTTCAACTTGGACTAGACTTCTAGTCATATCACCATGACCGATTTGTGGATACAGGCTACTTTCTGAATCCTGGTAATCCAAAAGATGTTGATCGAAAACTGAACAAATGTCCTGCAGCCGTGAAAGAATCATTCGTTTTGCAATATTACATCTGAAAAGTGATGACTCCACAAAAATGAGTGGAATTAACTAATTCCACTGTTCCTCCTACCACAATCTGTATCTGTGTCACAGTCAGTGACGTGAAGTGACAAGCCTACAAACTTGTATCTGTGTCACAGCCAGTGACGTGAAGTGACAAGCCTACAAACTTGTATCTGTGTCACAGTCAGTGACGTGAGGTGACAAGCCTACAAACTTGTATCTGTGTCACAGTCAGTGACGTGAGGTGACAAGCCTACAAACTTGTATCTGTGTCACAGTCAGTGACGTGAAGTGACAAGCCTACCATCTCATCTGTGCAGTACGTTACAACACAACACTGATTCCACAAGTGGGACTTTCTGTGGTACCTACAGCCACTTCCAAATACACATCATACTGTAACATACTAATACACCATCAACTACCACCTTGTAATGCCAACGTTGTCATTTCAACATCCTAAGCCAGACCAGGCCATCTTTCTCTTTTGTTTGTTTGTTTGTTGTTTAATGCCCCACTCAGTAATATTCCAGCTATATGACGGCAGTCTGTAAATAATCAAGTCTGGACCAGACAATCCAGTGATTGATGTCATAAGCTCCTGGTTTGGTTTGTTGATTAACACCGCACTCAGCAATATTCAAGCTATATGACGGCGGTCTGAAAATAATCGAGTCAGGACCAGACAATCGATTGAGTGACATCATGATGTCATTAGCATTAGGATACGATGCCATGCATCAACCAAGTCACAGAGCCTGACCACCCGATCCTGTTAATCGTCTCTTACAACAAGCATGGATTGCTGAAGGCCAATTCTAACCCAGATCTTCACAGGCCATATTCTTGTCTTTCATAAATGAGCTGACATTAATGACGCTTTATTTCATTGAAAATATTGGCAGGAAATTAACCATGATTCAAACTCATAAACCCTTGTGTTTAGGCATCTTCTGTCTCTTGGTAAATTACACAAGAAAATCTGTAAAACTGGCAAATAATTAGGTCTGGCCTCATGAGTCAACCCTCTGGATCCCAACTTACTTAATGCACAATCAGTTTGATCATTGTTGCAATACTATATTTGTAAGCATCCAAGTGAAGAAGCACAAAGACCGCTGTGTTTCACATAGAAGCAGGTTGGAGGGGGCTTGAGAGTGACATATAACTTGCAAGCAATGGACTAGCCAAGGTATCTTACATAACAGATTCACTAGAAGTGTGAGAATAGGAAGATATTGTTCCAAGAATCAACAAATCCCAGAGTTAGGGTCATTATTCTGGTAGTTCTGAGTATAGTGAAAATTTGGGTTTCCTTTTTAAATTCGTGAACCACAAGTCAAAAACAAGCTGGAGACTAGATGGATTTAACTTGTGGTGTCTTCCCCTGAAATATACCAACACGTTTCATGTTCCAAAGCATACATCATATTGTTTATGCTAAAGACTGCTGACAACTAACATTTTCAAAGAGTGAGTGAGAGAGTTGGGTTTAACGCCACTTTTAACAATATTCCAGTTATATTGCGGCGTGTCAGCTTAATGTGGGAGGAGAGCCCGAAGTGATGCACGTTGACCACTTCTGTGGAACCCACAAGCACGGGTATGGTGCTGACAAACCTAGAAACATAATCGGGGCGAACCGGGATTCGAACCCACAATCATAGGTTTCTGGCGTGCCCAAGGGACGCAACTCTGCACAGCGAATCGCGGAGCCTTAGACGACTGGGCCACCCGTGCCCCCACATTCTCAAAGAAACACATGTTGTCTAACAGCACACTCAGCAACATTCTAGCTATATGACTGTACTCTTTAAATAATTGAGTCTGGACCTGACAATCAAGTGATCGATATTGTGAGCAGCGATCCATGCTGCCAGGGTACAAAGACATGAAATCATCCAAGTCACCAAGCCTGGCCACGCGATCCATTTGGATGCCTCTTAAGATCAGCATGGGGTGCTGGGGACATGTTCTAACCAGGATTCCCCTGAAGGGCATGATGAGACTGACGACACCTAGACAACTCAATAATCAGTGTCAAACCTGTTATAACCAATTCACCATGCTAACCTTAGCTTATCTATCAAGACCCGTGAAGATCCGGGGTAGAATAGGTCTTCAGCAACCCATGCTTGCCTTTAAAGGCGACTATGCTTGTCGTAAAAGGCGACCAATGGGATAGGGTTGTCAGGCTCGCTGACTAGGTTAATGTATGTCACCGTATCCCAATTGCGTGGATCAGTGCTCATGTTGTCAATCACTGGATTGTCTGGTCCAGACTCGATTATTTACTGACTGCCGTCATATAGCAGTAATATTGCTGAGAGCGGTGTTAATCAACAAACAAAATGTATCTTTCGAGTTTCGACATAATAGTCATGTAAAACTTACAAATCGAGAAGAATTCTCACTACTCTCTGTTTCCCGACATGTGCAAAAAATTCACAGTCTGCTTCACATCAACACTAAGGTGAACAAGAGGTGACGGGTACACCTGCACTTATGCCCTATTACCCTTGGAACAAAATCTTCCCATTTCCACACCTCGGAATGCCTGCCATATTGCACAAGAGGCTGGATTTAAACATCCGTCTCCGAATCCACCTGAGAGGATAGTTTGAACTTTGAGTCAAGTTTTGTCCTGGACTTTGGGACAGGCTGCTGCTGCCCATCGCCTCCTCCTATCTGTATCGTCCTCTCCTCCGCGGTCTTGTTCTCCCATGCATCATCGTCGACAGTGAACTGTCAGGGAAACACAGCGTTACCATGGTTACATGCAAACAGAAACATCAGCCGACTTCAAGCCAGGATAATTTGAGCTCACTTGAAAATACTTTGTGTCAAATCTTGGGGCATCTTTCAAAGGTACATCCACTGAGAGAAAGGTATGTACCCGGCACAAGATCACGCTAAGCCCTCACGCCAGTTACCTACATTTGTATAATTCGTGACAAATGCACACTTTATGTTTGTTGATACATCAATAGAAAATAACCACAGTCGAATAATGATGTTTGCAAGAAAGTTGACAGTACATTCAACATTACAAAAGACTTGGCAATAGTCTTATTACAAGTTAGATTAGTTGCAATCCATTTCCATTCCAAATATTCCTTAAGTCTAATATATTTACCATGCATCAATGCCACATAATATTCCTTAAGTCTCATATATTTACCATACATCAATGCCACATAATATTCCTTAAGTCTCATATATTTACCATGCATCAATGCCACATAATATTCCTTAAGTCTCATATATTTACCATGCATCAATGCCACATAATATTCCTTAAGTCTCATATATTTACCATACATCAATGCCACATAATATTCCTTAAGTCTCATATATTTACCATGCATCAATCAATGCCACATTATATGGCTTAAGTATCAAACATTTATCATGCACTCTTCATGTTCTGAGAGGAGTGTTGAAGTTGATACACATGTATTCATAAATAACATCAAAATCTGCAATATGAACATAATACGCTTCCTCTTGTTAACTCGGATACACATAAAGAGTTACTGATATTGACATTCTAATACTTGTGACCAGTGACAAAGTAGGGAACATACATTTTCAAACAACACAATGATCCTTCACAATTTCCTAATACTGTGTTGAATACAACAAATTATTGTAAACATATAAATCTGATGATGTCTTTGATTCTTATTCTTAATTTACAATACAACAAATGTAACAATATGACATAAATATGAAATAAATTACATGAAACTACTGTATTTACAGTAAAGCCAGACGCATTTACCATGTTTACCTGTCCAAGAGATAGCAGAACAGTTAATGATAAGTAGGATAGATTTCATAAGTGAAGCTGTCAGAGAGAAAGAGATCTTAAATGTTAAACAATAAGCAAAATTAAGCTTGCATCTTACACCAGTGAAAACAGGGTGTGCCTACAACAGGAGTCTGTGGCTACCTGGGGTTTGAACTGTTCAGCTTCATAAACAACAGCTCACACATAGGCCAATGGTGACTTGCCTTAATTAGGCTGACATACAGTTCTCTCTACAACAGACTGACATGCCTTGAGATGCAAGTCGCTATCTCCTTTTCGCCCGCAACCCATCAAAAAGATGCAAAACTGACAAAACAATTTTGTTGAATCTTGAAAAAACACAAGTATTTATCTTAATTTTCATACCTTCTCCCAAATCATGTACCTATTTCTCAGTGACCCAGTTCGGGGACAAAATTAATGACGGCACCGCAACCATGGTAACCACAGGCGCTGCTGTAGGCAGAATGTGCATACCTTAAGTCTCCAGAGGTCAACCCAACAGCAAACATGGCAAACCGGGCACCACAAATGTAACAATCAAGATGTTTCAGATATTGGTATATAAGGTACTACCGTACATTCATAACAAACAGAACTGTTTTGAGGCTGGAGAGATTACACCGCTTAACTTGACATCACAGTCTCCATGACAACTGCCTCTGCAGATGTTCCAGCAAATTTCTAAACCCTGTAACTTTTTCTTTACACCAGAGCATCCATATTCGCACCCAGATGTTTGTATAGCAGAAGGAAGAACAGATGTTACATAATCACATTTGGCATTTTCGATTTACAAAAAGGGCTGTCCAAACGGTCAAGTGTCGTAGTTGAAGGACTGAGTGATACGTAAGTCATATTTTGTTACACGGAGGGCAGAGCGCCCCTTGGCGGGCGTGTCACTGGGTTGCCCACGCCGACTTGTCGTCTTCAAACTGCATGGTCGGGGGAGAGAAGCAGAGAGATAGGTCATTAGGGTGTACACAAGTACCTACACACTCACTGTACATGCTGGCTGGGGCTAACCCGTTCACAAACACATCATGGCCCTACGACTCTTGCAGGTCAATGTTAAAGGATGGGCGTTACAACAGTCGTAGAGCTACATTTGTTTTACGAAAAGTGGTGGAGAATGTTTGCATGGCAACTCATATTCTTTCATATTATTTACAATATTTCAGACATTGCCAATCGGAATGGTTAGAAAATTAAACAGTATGATGCATCAAACACATCAAGTGTTATCTAATCTGGTGGAATTTTTTGAAATTTTCAGAAGTGATAAAAGTCGGAGGATGTTGCGTCTTTCTTCAGAAACAAATATTTTTATTCGTGACGAGGGGTAGCCGACCATTATCATTTTGGCAGAATTATTTCGTTAACAGTAAAATATATACAAATATCATAGTGGCTGACATGGCCTACCGTTCCAGCAGTGTTTCATTAAATGGCATTACTCCCAAAACCAGGGTCACCCAAGGCCACAATTTCATTAGTTCCAAAACAGGCGAAAATCCAAAAGGACTACTTGTTTTCTCCCAAAATGTTATACCACTTGTCTGAATGAAGCCGTGGACTGGGATTAACCTATGGTGTCAACAACCTCTGCTGAAAGACATACAAGATAAGAGTCAATATGTCAAAAATCCAAAATCACAAAATCTTGGAACTTAGAACCGAAAAAAATAGACGATCATTTGAAGCATCAGTGATGCATGTTCTAAGTATGTTAATTGGACAGGAAGATGTGTTTGTGCTTACATGTCAGAGTGATATATTCCAGTTATAGCCCGATAGTTGGGAATATTCCCACAACAAGCATGTACCTGTGAGTCTGGAGGGGAAACACACACATGTAGGACTCAGATCTGGGGAAGGTCTCTCATCCACGGAGGATGCCTAGCCATGGCCCAAATGTTTAATGCACAATCCCAATGGCACGAAAGTGTGTTTGTTGCTTAACGTCACACTCAGCAATATTCCACCTACATGACGGCACACTGTAAATAATCAAACTGGACCAAACAATCCAGTGATTGATATTGTGAGCAATGATCTATGCCATCGGGGTACAATGACGTGCAATTAACCAAACCACCAAGTCTGACCACCCAATTCATAAAGTCGCTTCTTCCAACCAGCATATCAAAAGTTGAGTAGTATGATAAACACTATCTAACCTTTTGTCATTGTGGACCAGGGTGCCGTTGTACAAGACAACCTTAGTGCTACGACTGTCGTAAGTCCATGTTAAGGTATAGGAGTTACGATCACCTCAGTGCGAAGATCGCTTTGTTCAATGGCACCCTGGAACATATATCTTTTCCATAGACAGGTGACCAGTGTAGATGCGGGGTGGAATAGGCCTTCAGCAACCCATGCTTGCCGTAAAAAGCGACTACGCTTGTTGTAAGAGGCAACTAACGGGATCGGGTGGTCAGACTCACTGACTTGGTTGATGCATGTCATCGATCCAAATTGTGTGGATTGATGCTCAAGATATCAATCACTGGATTGTCTGGTCCAGACTCGATTATTTACAGACCGCCGTCATGTAGCTGTAATATTGCTGAGAGCGGCGTTAAACAACAAGCCAACCAACCATAGACAGGCAGCATGCCACATGAACGAGATCCTGTTCAGGACCTGAGAGCTGCCATGGATCGGAGTCTTACATATATATTTCCACACACTAGTATTGAATACTGTATATTATATAATTTCACGACGATCAACTTCCTAGGTGACATTTCAACAAATTGTCACAAACTGTCCCAGTTGATCATCATGAAAGAAATTCTCTATCAAAGCCCTTGTGGTTTAAATTAATGCCCCATATTGAACTGAAGCGATGGTTGTGCTATACAATGCTGTATCTATGCATCAAGTAGATGGTTTTCTTACATAGAAGCTTTTTTCCCATATATAGTTCTATTGAATAGAAAAGCATGACAAAAATAATAACAAACAGTGAAGATTGTTAATGGGTTGTTCAAATTAAATTGATTGAAATGAAAGGTGCAAAATTACTCATTACATATGTTAAAACCTTTCTCCATTAAATGAAAATTACGCCCTGATCTAAAAGCAAGGGAAAACAGACCGGCGAAGCAAGATCAGCTAGGTTCAGGAGAAGATTGGATGAGGGCTTTCAACTGAATTTGCTTGTATTTTTTCTTTGTTAATTTGTCTACTTTTCTTTCTTTTCTACCATCAACTCTTCCCTCGTCCAAATCTTCCCCAAATCCTGCACACACCAAACAACACGGATGGAAACCTACCCACACCTGAAACCCCTTTCAAAGGAAAACTAGGATGTGCTTGTCAATTATCTTACCTTTCCTGGACTGAAGTCAGCGAAATTGGCAAAGGGATCACCAGCGGTGCCCCCCCCTGTTCCAGAACTTGCAAAAGGATCCGTGGCATTGGCAAATGGATCGCTTCCAAATCCAGGAAATGGATCCACCTTGGGTTTGTTGGCTCCGGTGGGTAAGGGACTCTTTGACTTGGGTGGGGCAGGCCGTGGGGGTGGCTGCTTTTTGGATTTAGGAGGAAGGGCGGGAGCTTGTCCCGGAGAATCGGTTCTCTTCGAGGACTTTGGAGCAAAAGGATCAGTACCAAATATATCGTCGCTTCCACCCTTCTGGAAGGTAAAAAAATTTATTTAAATGTTTATTGACTATCATCTTGTTAACAATGAATAATACCAAACCTTTTTGTGTTTTAACTTGCATTTATCATCAATAGCAATTGCAGTCAAGAAGACATTTAACGTGAGCAATAATATGGCTGAAATATTGCTGACGCTGACTTCTTTTACTAGATTCTACAATTGTTCCCCACAGGGCTAGATAATTGGTACTGTCACAACACTTTGTTCCCGATATTATCCCTGGAGACAGAGATAATATTGTTGGGGACTGACATACCTGTTTACTTGAGCTAGTGGCACCAAATGGGTCCAAGTTACTTTGTTGTTTTTGACTAGAATGAGATGGAGAGAAGGATCCTGCAAATGGATCTTCACTGCCAAATGGATCACTCTGAAAGGCAAAATCACTGCAGTATTAATGCTCTGATGGTGAACTTATGTTATTAAACTTGTTATTTAAAGCCAAACTCTGCAATATTCCAGCTAAACTATGGTGGCCTATAAATAATCAGGCCTGGGCCAGAGAAATCATTGATAAGTATATTCACTATGAGAACTCAGGGTCTCACACAATGCAGAAATGTGGGTCCTATACACACAAATGTATAGAATGTACACAAAGAAAAGAAATACTAAGTCCCAAGGGACCCACAACAATATTCATTGTACCAAATTCTTGATAAGAAATATAGAAGTCCTCTACTTGAAAGTAACAATCAAGTTTTACAGTAAAGTACACACCATTATGTCATTACTTTACAGAATACTCATGTTTCCTGTAAGGACCCTTGAAATTAATTATTGGGGGGACAGTTTACAAATCAAGGTAAAAGCCCTGGGAACTCCATGGGAAATTGCTATCAGGGAATCCTGATAAACAGGGGCGAGTTACATGCTATACTAAACAAGACATTTTGTTTTGTACTTCTCTGTCACTCATAAACATTCAAACTACCCCAGGTTATCTCCACACCATGAGTAAGGGAGCGAGTGAGTGAGTGAGTATGGTTTTATGCCACTTTTAGCAATATTCCAGCAATATCACGGTGGGGGACACCAGAAATGGGCTTCACACATTGTACCCATGTCGGGAATCGAACCCGGGTCTTCGGCGTGACGAGCGAACGCTTTAACCACTAGGCTACCCGACTGCCCCTTAAGGGAGCCAGTGAGTGAGTGAATATGGTTTTATGCCACTTTTAGCAATATTCCAGCAATATCATGGTGGGGACACCAGAAATGGGCTTCTCACATTGTACCCTTGTCGGGAATTGAACCTTAGCGACCCCCCCCCCCCCCCCCCCATGAGTAAGTGGTGGGGTACACCAAGTGTGGGAATCGCACAGTGTACCCATTTGAAGATCTGAGCAGGACAAGCAATCACTCGATACACCAGGCCACCCCAGCAAAACGTACACTTCCCTACAGACTGAATCTTTACTTATATATAATCGGCAGTCGATCAGAAGATGAAGCAATATAGCTGAAAGTTACCTTTGACGCAGGTTTAGAACCAAAGGTATCTTTAAATGGGTCTTCAGCAGCGAAGGGATCAGCCTGGAAGCCATCAGAGGATTTGAAAGGATCACCTGGAAAATAAATCATGAATCATTGAACTGCCTCCGCAAAGGCAAAGGATGTAGATATACATGTTTTGTTTAACTCCACACTTTGCAATATTCCAGCTATATGACTAAATAACATGTAACATGTAAATAATTGAGTCTGGGCCAGACAAACCAGTGATTGATATTATGAGCAACATCTCATGTTGTTGGGCCACAGTGACATGCAATCAGCTGCCTCCTACAACTAGCATACATTGCTTTGGAACCAATTCTAATTCAGAATCCTCACACTGCATTTGGATGATGTGTGCGACCTGTTAGACGGAATTACAAACATTCTGTTTCTCAGTGAAACATTTCAGTGATTTCCTCTCAAAAGTATATGTTTGTTTTTATTTGTTAAAAACCAGGCACAAGTTCACAAATGATGAGTCAACTGTTTAACATGTTCATCATTAAAAAAATGACCATGACATTGAAGAATCCTTGATTTTGATTGGTCAAAACAGTATCAAAATCAGGTATCAACTTCCATTTGATACCTCTAACTTAAACCTGTACATGCACAAAAACGTGTGTATGAATACATTGATCTATCGACAGCCTACATCAGTGAGTGAGTGAGTGAGTGAGTGAGTGAGTGAGTGAGTGAGTGAGTGAGTGAGTGAGTGAGTGAGTGAGTGAGTGAGTGAGTGAGTGGATATGGTTGTATGCCACTTTTAGCAATACTCCAGCAATACCGCACCAGCAGACACCAGAAATGGGCTTCACACGTTGTACCCATGTAGGGAATCCACTCAAGGTCTTTGGCATGTTGAGCTAAAGCTTTCACCACAAGGCTATCCCACCGCTCCAGATGTAATCTAGGAACCAAGCAACATAATAAAAGAAAGAAAGGGATGTCATCTGTGGACTTACTGTCTTTAAATGGGTCATCATTCTGGAAGGGGTCAGCCTGTGAGGGCGGGTCGCCGGAGTTACTGAAGGGATCCTTGCCCTTGAAGGGATCCTCCTTGAAGTCATCAGTCGTAGATCCCACACTGAAGCCGCTCAAGGTGCTCACCGGACTGCTCCCGATCTGAGAAGAGGTAGGCACATGGCAACCATGGTAACACAAACACACAAGTGTGCCGTACACTATTACCTTGCATGGTCTTGACCATTCCGCTTTTCTAAAACACTAACACTAGTTTGGTAGGTATATGTGTTAGTATTAGTAATGATAATTAATCATTCTTAATGAGAATAATATACTTTCAACACGTGTCAACATAAAATAAAACCACATTATATGAGACATTACAACTAAATCGTACTCGATACAGCATGCATACACGATAGGAAATACTAGTACTACCATTGTACAACTACTACTGAACAAAACCAAGACCTGCGTATGTAACTGATACAGATCTATCTACGTGCGGCTGCGAGACCCCAGCTACCCTTGTCCAGATGCTGCGCAGCACTGTGTCTGCAGTGACCCTCCCACTGAGGCAATATCAGTGAAAAACATTTTTAGTCCACTAGCCCTTAAAATAATAACCTATGAGTCCAACCATGAGATAAGGGACCTTATGGGGGGAAAAAAATCACATTTTGACTTTTCATTATATTTTAAAACTACAGCATCTTCAGACCACAAACATACAATTTAAAAGCTTCAATTCATATTTATTACAGATACAACACATCACACATCTTGATACTGACAGAAGTAAATTGACGTCAAACATCTTTATGACGTCATAGCACAACTGTATCCTAGCAACCATAAGGTTCCTTTTCTCCTGGTTGGTCACATGAAGCAAAACTCCTAAAATGGCAAATATCTACTAGTCCCTATGGTACTTAACTATTGGGCAGTTTTGCAAGGACTATAGGACTAGTGCCAATTTCTATCGCTGATATACAGAAATATGCTCCTACATCCATAGGACAGTTGCTAACATAACATTCTCCTCAAAAGCATTGCATAATAGACAGACAAGGTGATATTGATAACAATATTTTCTTGCTAGCTTGACATTAACATATTAAACTTATTTACATGTTTAATGACAGCATTATTGCATATTTTGATGGCATGTACTTTTGTCTTAAGTCCAAGTACACTGAGCAGACAAGCATGACATGATACACTTCCTCAATGTAACCCAATTTACGACAGACACGATCAGTCATCTCTGACAATGCCTTCATCGCTACATGTTTCAATTTATTAATTTTGATAACTAAATCTGGTCAGGACTATCCTAAGCTTCTAACATGTGCAATCACACTGACGTAATTTTCAAAGCCAAATGTATGTCTACAACTACAAGATCTGTAGGTTTTACAACTAGAAAATCACCATGCCAGTCTGGCTCAAATGAGGAAAAGTTGAAAACATCCTACATCCTACTGTGATATGGCTCATGCTTTATCAAAAACTTACTCCAGTTGCAACACTCAGATCAGTTCAAGATTATTGTAAGTCTGTGATAAAGTGTTGGTATTACGTACAAGATAAATGAACCTGTGTTAATGTGTTTGTTATGCCACAGTCGAAGTCTTCTTGTATAATAGCTGACCAGGTACCAGCATATCAATAATATGAATTTTGATAACAATCTCATAAACAATATTGATCTCAATCTGACTGTGTTTACAATTGCTAGTCTAACAATGTTGAAACCTAACCAATGCTTGAAAGCAGTGAAGGCCCAATCCGAACGATAAACAAAGTGAAGCACTGAGCCAACATCAGACACTTGGTCTGATGAGGATTCTGTCCCAACCTTAAAGTTGCATCATCTTCAAAGAAATTCTGAGTTTGAGCTACCAAGGTTACACTGTACTTCAATCATTCTTGTGAGTTCGGTTGTATTAAACTTTTAGCAGCAAAGGTTCTCAAGACATTCTGTTAACATTCCTTGCATAAAATTTCAACTAATAGCTCCTGCATTTCTACAAAAACAAACAGCATTATCAAAATTCCTGTACTAGATTCTTGTAAATGTTTTCTACCTCTGACATTCCAATACCGTGTACTGAAAGAAGTGAATCTTACAGTTGTTCTTGTGCTGAACTGGTCGCTGTCCCCGTATCCCGCGACATCCCCATTGAGTTGGGAGCTATAGCCAGCTATACTCTGGGCCACGGCCCGGCGCTGGTCTCGGAGGTGGGTGACGCGGGCACTCGTCTAGTCAACAACACAACAACAACAACACTGTACCGACGGAAGGGTGCGCTACACACAACTAGTTGTTCAGTGCGTGTGTGTACAGCTGTAGGACAACAACTCAACTCGTACTCAAATATACTACAGCAGAGGCAGATCTAGAATGAAGTCAGAAAGTCAAGTGAGTCCAAGACAAGCAACACACCAGTTGGCAAGCAAGGTGTCTGTAAACAGAGGATTTATCTCGGATTCCAACTAGGTGCCTTTGGAATCAAATTGGGAAAAAATTGTCATCTTGCTCAAAATTTGATTTTTTTTAATGTTCTTATGTTTGTAAATTCTGATGTTTTGGGATTTTTCATAATTCAAATTGGGAATTTTTACTATCATTTACTGTAGATTTGGGGCGAATGTTGGCCTCTGACCAGCTCTTTGCACGTCCTGCCCATCCTTTCACGTCCAGCTAATCCCACCCACCTTCTGGATCTGCCAGTGCTATAACACAAATCTCATTAAAATCAGATCTTAGATCAGACTTTCACGTTTGCAATATCATAAGGGATTGTCTGATTGTTTGTTTTGTTTGTTTGTTGTTTAACACCGCACTCAGCAATATTCCAGCTATATGACGGCGATGGTCTGATTGATCGGATGAAAGGTCGTTATGACTTAACCTGTAGCTATGTGTTGTAGTAGTGAGAACTAAGATCAGATTTCAATGAGATTGAAACAACATGTATCGGTACTTAATTATGATATACTTATAACCAAAAGGTCAGCATTGGCATATTTTTTTATTCACTTCACTATTGTAACATCTGCACAATAATACAAACCAAGTGTTGTATATGTGAAATTCATTGTTGATGATCCCAAACCTGACCATAACACTGTTCAAACCTACCAGATGAAACAGAATGAAAACAAGTCAGTTGGAGTGGGCATCATGTTGTAGAATTTCCACATCCAATAAAGTATGGTTGAGCAAACAAATCTGTTGCATTTTGTGGCCGATTTTTAATTGTTGTTTATGCCGCACTTAGCAATATTCCAGCTGTATGCTGACACCCTGTAAAATAATCTAATCTGGACCAAACAATCAAGTGACTAAGATTATGAGGAATGGTCCACAACATAGGGGTGCGATGACTGGAAATCCACCAAGCCTGGACACCTGGGACCACTTGCACAAAGCAATCTTACCGCTACGACTATTGTAAGCCTATGTTAAAGTATGGGAGGTAAGATCATCTTAGCGCTAAGATCGCTTTGTGCAAGTGGGCCCTGATCCTTCAGTCTCCCCTTACGACCAGGATAGGCTGCTGGGTGCCGATTCTGACCCTGAATGGCTGTGGCTGATGGATGTGTTCACAGGATCAGTAAGACACCATAAAAGCAATATCAGCTGTTGACATGATGCACTTAGAAACTTGATGTCTCATTGCTCTCAGTAGCGAGGGGCGGTGGGGTAGCCTTGTAGTTAAGCGTTCACTCACCAAGCCGAAGGCCTGGGTTCGATTCCCCACAAGGGAACAATGTGTGAAGCTCATTTCTTGTGTCCCCCGCCGGGATATTGCTAAAAACGTCATAATTTCTCTCACTCACCCCGCCGTCATATTGCTAAAAGCGGCATAAATCCACTCACTCACTCACTCAGTAGTGACTGAGTCCCCTTCCTCTCTGCATGCTCCTGCCCAAACTGTGCAAGTACTGATGTGGCAACCAGTTCCAATCCCCACAAAAAAGTCACAAAACGGTAAATCTTTCGAGCTGCCAAATGACATTTGGCCTACAATATCACTCAAAAAACTTGGCTGTGCTTAGATTTGGTTATCAGTTTATGATTCGATAACAACAATTTCTCTCCCACATTTAAAGGTTTAGTGTAAATAATATTCAATAAAATTGAAGTATTGATCTGAACATAAAACCACATCTATGTTGGACAACATTTCTGTTAAAAAAATAATTTTTGACTAACCTGCACAGCTAGTAAGAAATAGACCAGATCTCACCACGAACACTTTTGTATGACATGCATATAAATACATACATGGTACAAGTGTGGGAACACATACAGCTTCATCACACACAGACTGACATAAACAAACAACTGCTTCAATACTAATATAACAAAGTCATGCCACCAAACCACCAGATACCAATTCAAATAAGAATGACCAAGAATTTCATTCACAAAAATTTCCACGGGAATCATCTTCCCGGGACAAGGGAATTAACTGACTATAGAAGTCCACTTTCCACCCATTGCCAAACTGGGCAGGAATTTTGTGGCTCTATTGTAGCGCCACCAGTAGCTATTACGAGTTTTGTCCCAACTAGGCTGTAATTCCGGAGTTATATTTTGGCTGGACTAACAAGTGTGTGCCTTGTCAAATGAAAATCGTGTGAAGAACTAGACACCTGGTTCGTAATCAGCATGGATTTCAAAGTGCAGGTTTCGGTCGACTGCAGGATTTGCAAAGCATGAGTACCGTTAACTGGGCATCGACAGATATTTGCCAAAGCTTTTTATGTTTTTAATCTGGGTGCTCAAGTGAGATGATGCACCTCGTGAGACCCATTTTATTACACTATAGAGATCTTGATTACCGATCAGATTGCCTTGACTGGGTGCCGCAATTTTATTTGAAGCAAATGCAAGTGATATGAGATATGGAATGTGATTGGTCAATAGGAGGACATAGAAGGGGCATAACTCATAATAGCCACGGGTGGCGCTACAATCAAGACACGAAATTCCAGTCTAGTTCAGCAAGGGTGGAATCTGGACTTCTATAGTCAGTTAACTCCCTTGCCTAGGGAAAATGACAGGAAGTAGAGTACAACTTATGCATGTTATGTGCTAAGATGAATTACATGTTATTGGAAACGTCTGTCAAGAAGGAAATATTTAAGCATGTACTGTGGAAAATTATACATATATACTACTCAAAAGAAGTAATGGACCATGCCATGACAAATTAACTGTAGAAATATGAAAGAATTGGGTGGCCCCTAACTTCTTTTAGGCAGTATAAATACATATAATTTAAACCCATAAGGCTACAAAGGCACCACTATGTGTACAGCAAACTGAAACATGGCTATACTAGTGGTATGTTTGTTTTAACGCCACACTAAGCAATATTCCAGCTACGTGACGAAGGCAAATAAATAATCAACTTGACAATCCATTGATTGATATAATGAGTAACAATCAACATTGTCGGGGTATAATGACACGCAATCAACCAAGTCCCCAAGCCTGACAACCCAATCCATACAGCTGCCTCTTACAATTAGCATAGGTTGCTGGACCTATTCTAACCCAGAATCCACGAGAGTGAAAAGGGCCAAATCATCCAAATGTCAGGTCAAGGCAGAAGCTAATCAGACTACAAACAGATGACCAGCCTAACGTGAGCAGGAAGGGCAGGGAGGGAGTGAGGCCAGCCAAGAAACTAGATCCCATGATCCCATGCCTACAGTGATCTGGGTGTCATCGCTGTCTTCATGTTAAAGGCTGCAGCTGAAAGACCTCAAATCAATATTTGGTTGATTTAATGATTTGTAATCTTTCAAGTATGCTAAAGTCCTAGTTGTATCTACCTGGATCATTACAACTGGATGATAACACCTTGATCATAACACGTGGATCATAACACCTGGATCATAACACCTGGATGATAACAACTGGATGATAACACCTGGATCATAACACGTGGATCATAACACCTGAACCATAACACCTGGATGATAACACCTGGATCATAACACCTGGATCATAACACCTGGATGATAACACCTGGATCATAACACGTGGATCATAGCACCTGGATCATAACACCTGGATCATTACAACTGGATGATAACACGTGGATCATAACACCTGGATCATTACAACTGGATCATAACACCTGGATGATAACACGTGGATCATAACACGTGGATCATAACACCTGGATCATTACAACTGGATCATTACACCTGGATGATAACACCTGGATCATTACAACTGGATCATAACACCTGGATCATAACACCTGGATCATTACACCTGGATCTTTTTACCTGGATCATTACAACTGGATCATTACACCTGAATCATTAAAACTGGATCATAACACCTGGATCATTACACCTGGATCTTTACACCTGGATCATTACACCTGGATCATTACACCTGGATCATTACACCTGGAGGTGTTCATTGGTTACTGATGCCACAGGTCCTACTACCTAGCGACATTCAAGTGAAACCCATGCTAACAGGAGCATGACATATCAATGGAGACCTACGTACCTCTGTCTAACACAAGTACACAAGGGTATCTATAGTGAAAGATGAGAAGAAATCTCACCTGGTTGACTTGAAGGTCGAGGTCCTTCTGGGACTTGACGAGGGACTCGAGCTGCTGCTTGCCTGCTTCCACCTGCTGCTCCAGGGACGACTCATCCTCCCTCAGCTTATTCAACTCCACCCGCAACCGCCCCAGGTCAGACTCCTGGTCCTGCACAGACGACGACAACATCATCATCAGGAGCATCACCATAACAAATAGCATCATACAAGGATATCTATCATCATCATCATCATCATCATCATCATCATCATCATCATCTTCTTCTTCTTCTTCTTCTTCTTCTTCCTCATCACATCAACATCACCACTATTACCACATATCAATCTTTAAATTGTTTTTAGAATTATCCCATTTCAATTACCTTCAAATACATGAAATTTGCAAAACATGTTTTGTTTTTTTCTGGTCATAAAACAGTAGAAGCATTCTCTTATATGCACATTTTTCTATTCATGTGTCACAAGTAAGCGTCACTCAAACTTTAATTTTCCACTGAAGAAAATTACAGATATGTATCCAAATCTGACCATGAAAGGTTTGTCCAATGTTTGCAACGTCCAGCACCTTCAGAAAAGATCCCAATCCTAGCAAAAAATCTGATTGACAGGTAGACCTTGTTTCCACTGATATATAGATTGAACGTGCCTCTGAAACTATAGGTTTCAAACTTACTTTGACTGACTTTTCTTGATTTGATATTTGTCCCCTGAGTTTATCCACCTGTGAATCAAAAGCAAAACACATTGAACTATTTTCAAGAAAATGTATATTGCAAAAATAATTAACAGATATTCATTAAATACTATCGTATTTCTGGTAAAAATGCAATCAATTAAAAGAAAAACAAGTGATATAAACATATGTTATTCAAAAGGCATTCTTACCTCTGTTTGTTCTGTCTGACACTTCTCTCGTAAATCTTTCACATTGTTTTCCAAGTCTGATCTCTGAAATCAACAGAAAGAAACTTAGGACCAGCTTAAACAACTGTCAACACAGCACTGAAAGAATAGTGTTAGGTTTCTGAAGGACATTACAAGGGTGGAAAGTTCAAATCTTGTCTGCCCTTCCAGCTGATGTAGGGTGCACAGAGTTACCTACCTTGTTAACAAGCTCGACCAGGCGTTTCTGGGCCTCCTTCTTCTGCCCCTCCAGCTAATGCAGGCTACTCAGAGTTACCTACCTTGTCACCGAGCTCGTCCAGGCGTTTCTGGGCCTCCTTCTGTCCCTCCAGCTGATGCAGGCTACTCGGAGTTACCTACCTTGTCACCGAGCTCGTCCAGGCGTTTCTGGGCCTCCTTCTGCCCCTCCAGCTGATGCAGGCTACGCAGAGTTACCTACCTTGTCACCGAGCTCGTCCAGGCGTTTCTGGGCCTCCTTCTGTCCCTCCAGCTGATGCAGGCTACGCAGAGTTACCTACCTTGTCACCGAGCTCGTCCAGGCGTTTCTGGGCCTCCTTCTGTCCCTCCAGCTGATGCAGGCTACGCAGAGTTACCTACCTTGTCACCGAGCTCGTCCAGGCGTTTCTGGGCCTCCTTCTGTCCCTCCAGCTGATGCAGGCTACTCAGAGTTACCTACCTTGTCACCGAGCTCGTCCAGGCGTTTCTGGGCCTCCTTCTGTCCCTCCAGCTGATGCAGGCTACTCGGAGTTACCTACCTTGTCACCGAGCTCATCCAGGCGTTTCTGGGCCTCCTTCTGCCCCTCCAGCTGATGCAGGCTACGCAGAGTTACCTACCTTGTCACCGAGCTCGTCCAGGCGTTTCTGGGCCTCCTTCTGCCCCTCCAGCTGATGCAGGCTACTCAGAGTTACCTACCTTGTCACCGAGCTCGTCCAGGCGTTTCTGGGCCTCCTTCTTCTGCCCCTCCAGCTGATGCAGGGTGCTGGTCATAGCGTCGAGTTCCTTCTGCAGCATCTGCACCTCCCCCTGTCGGATCTTGATGTCCGCATCTCTCTGCACCTTGTCCCTCTCAATCTGCATCTTCTCCCTTTGCAACAAACAGGATTATTGAAGAAAAAGGACATCTCTTGGCACATGTTGTCTACTAGATCTGGTATTAAAGGTACCAAATTGTTAATGGTACATCAGGAGGGCAAAAGCTTGTTGGGAAAATAAACTCATGCATGAAGGAACAGAGTTAATTCTTGCTGTCAAAAATGTAAGGGCCTTTGGGCTCATCAGTGACAAAAAAGGCATCAGAACTGTGAGTAAAAAAATCCACATGACCCATCCACTTCAGTCCCTTCATCGTGAAGATCCGGGGTAGATTAGGTCTTCAGCAACCCTTGCTAGAGGTAAAAGGCAACTATGCTTGTCGTAAGAGGCATCTAATGGCATCGGCACTAATTGTTAGCATCCCAATTGTGTGGGTCAATGCTGATGATATCGATCACTGAACTGTCTGGTCAAGTCTCGATTATTTACAGACCGCCATCATATAGTTGGAACATTGCTTATTACTGAGTGCAGCGTTCATCAACAAACAAACAAACAAACAAACAACAAGCCTCAGTTGCTGTACTACAGAAATCCTTCATGACTCAGCCTTTGAAGAACCGACAAATTGTCAAATAGTAACACTTTTGATACGCGCCAATAATCAACCTGTTTTAAATACTACTATTAAACACAGCAATACTGCTTACTGCACTGTTCTATGAGAGGGTATTGAAGTGGGATGGGGCTTGCTTCATATATTGCCCCAAGTTCACTTCCAATGTAAACATACGGCCATGGGATGCACACTTATGAATATATAAGAAATAAAAGACGAGTAGGAGTTGTTTATCCGACATCCTTTCTGGAGATTTGAATATGTGCTTGCAACTTGATGACGTCACATATTGGACGACGTTTTTTTTCAGAGGGAAGTGTCAAGTGAGTTGTCCCCAATAGATGTAGCCGGTCTATGTAGCTTTGGCAACATTCAGTCAACAGTACATCGTCATACCATGGTTCACCTACAGAATACAGATACCTGTCTGCCATGTTTGTTTGAAGCTAGTAATACATGTATAGCAGCACATGACAGCATGACTATTTTTAAGAATAGGGCGATAAACCTCAAAATAAGCAGAAAACATGACTTTGCTTGCATTTGTATGGTTTAATATGATAAAACCTCAAAATAAACAGAAATGCAAATCATAAACATCAAAAACTGAACATCAACATATTACTTGAAAATAGAAGTTCCATAATGGCGTGCGGCAAACTTATCAGTGACATCCATCGGAGACACATTTCAACTAACACGTACTATTTTCTATAAACTTTTGGAAACTAAAAATGACATTAACTTACACTAGCATTTGCTTCAAGTTGTTGTGTAGGGGGCAAGCCCCCTAAACTACCTGTTATTTAGTGAGGTAGCTAAAAATGGCAGCTAGAAACCGTTACTAAGAAAGAAGTTTGTGCACATTCCTTACCAATAAGGTAGAAGGTGTCTGGTATTCTGCATTCTACTGTATTCATACTATCAACACAAGACATGCAGAAATATAATTCACTGGATACGTCACTAACATTAACAACTGTAAAATACCCAGGGTCAAGAATGAAAATAAAAGCACTTCACATAGGAATCGCATACATACCTTTTAATTTCATCAATCTCTTTACTGATGAAGTCTAGTTCTTTGATAGCAGAGAAATCAGCTACATGACTATACGGGCCTGCATTCGTCCCGTCCTGAAAAAAAAACCCAGTTAATAAGTACATGTATTTAAACAATGTACCTAATAGGATGCAAAAAATAATGTAGTTATCACACAAGTGTGTTTAAGTTGCACAATCCAGTGGTTTTCCTCCTGTGGCCCCTGACACAGGAAGCAGGCAGAGTCAGGTGTGGTGCTCCACCACTTCCTCCAACAGGTCAGGTCACTCAGTGAGCCAATGGCATGCATGGCGGAGGAGGATCATGAACAATATATGCACACAAAAAACAGTTTAATACTGACAAGAAGGCAGAGTTATTCATACACTTCACCATCCTTGCATGCTTAATAATAATAATAATAATAATAATAATAATAATAATAATAATAATAATAATGTGTGTCCGTATATTGCACTAGCCTCGAAAAACACTTTGGTTGAAGCTCAAAGTGCTAACATTACTACCCCAGTCAATGGATCAGTGTGCATGCAGTTTATATTTTCAGCTCCCTGGGGAGTAGACAACTCATGCTGCTTTGTCAGGCTCAAGAAGGTAAACAGCCACACTGCCATCTCATCCTACTGGGTACCCATTTTTACTGCTGGGTGAACAGAGGCATGTTTCTGACAAAGCCACTTGCCATAGGAGACTCTACATGAGCTGCAGTGTGGAGCATGACCAAAACCCTAGAAACTCTCAAGAGTCAAGCTGCCAAACAAACCCGTGAAGATCTTGGTTAGAATAGGTCTTCAGCAACCCATGCTTGCCGTAAGAGGAAACTATGCTGGTTCAGACTTGATTATTTACAGACCGCCATCATATAGCTGGAATATTGCTGTGTGCGGCGTTAAACAACAAACAAACAAAGCAAGCTGCCTAACTCAGTCACCCATCCAACTACTCTCCAAGATCATCAAACAATAGTTATCATTGTAAATAATTCTTGTGAATACCTCAACTCTATCACATCAGTGCCATAAATTCCTGACATTGCATAACTTCACCTGATTTGTGACCTGTGACTTGTGCACACTTGCGGAAATTGTGAAAAAACAATCTGAGATTTCTGTCAAAACAAGCTTAACCCATTTGAAAAGTTTCATTGAGAATACTGTATGGTTTGGTACTGAAAACAAACCCTATCATCATTTGAATTTGTTGCCTTGGAAAAAAGCAATAGAATTTTTTTTAAATATTCCAGAATATCAAAGACACTAAAAAGAGGAAGAAAAATAATAACAATATTTTTCATTTTTGGTAGACATTTTCTTTGAACATAATATAAAAAATCAGTCTCTTAAAAAAAACTGTTTCTGTGATTGTTTGCATCATAACTTGTCTAGTCAACAAAACTGTCAGCAAAACAATGGCCAGGGTCATCCTCATAATAATTAAATTTTCGTTGTGTTCATAGAAATTCCTGCATTCTGATTAGCCGAATGGGTCACATGTTATTGCATTCATTTCCCAATGAATGTAAAAAATTAAGCCACGCCCACCGCGGCCCACTACTTTTATTACTGCGGAATGTCGGGGAATCCCACTATTACAGTCGAGGGAATTCCCTTTCTGCTCACGTGTATCGTCATGCACAGGCCATTTAGCAAATTTCATGCATATTTATTGTCCAAACTACCCTTTGAAACCAAAGGCCGAGAATGAATGAAACAGTAAACGTGCAGGCTCGCTCGCCTGTTTTTTTCCCGCTCGCTTCGGTTCAACTTTCATGTCTTTGGGTTTCATTTCTAACTAGCATTTCTCCAACTGTGTTTTACCGTAATCAGGGAAGTTATGTTTGAGTCACGCAGTAAATGACAATGTTATTTGAAACAGCCGCCTTCTCTTGGACATATTTCTTCCGGTTCATTACAGTCTGACTGTTGCAGTTCTTTTCGCCTCTTGCCTTAATTGACAGGTGCAATGAACATTGTTTGAATCCCACTCTCCGTTGATTGGCTACTGACTGTGTAGGCGTGTCAAGTTATGTGCATAAATTAAACGATCACCTGATTCATGTCACGCCACTGTATGTATTCCTTCACCTGGAATGTTTATCAATGTCGTCATTTTTGTCTGTTTTGATATATGCAACTGTTGTGGGTTAAACTGTTGTAGATAAAACATGTTTAACGTTGTCAAATTTAATTATAAGCATTGACTGTGTATTTTTTTCGGTTCATTGAGGTATGAATAAAAAAAACGATGTGCAAACTTTTGTAAGAATCCGCTACGCGGATTCATACAGTTTGCACATCCGTTTTTCGATTCATACCTCAATGAACCGAAAAAAATACACAGTCAATCCTTAATTGAATAAACCTCACACACCAATGATAATATAAAGTTGGACATATTTCTATGGAATTCTGACCCATGTGCCACTTAATCAACTGTTTTGTTTTTTGTTTGACTCAATTCAAAGAGATGTCCTTCTCTCTCAAACTGACTAATATTTAAAAAGAATGAAAAAACACAACTACTAAAATTTGCATACTAAGACAATGGTTTTCAAAACAACCATGATGTCATAACAGTAAATACAATGGACATGGTTAAACTGTGATGTAATAGCTGTCTATTCAGAGAACAATGGTATCCTAGCAACAGTGATGTCATACTTGTCAACCATGATGCCATGGCCTTCTGTTCAGAGAACAATGGTATCCAAGCAGTGATGTCATGTTGCAAGTACACAAAGGATCAATGGTATCCTAGCAACAGTCACATGACAGTCTCTGACACCAACTGAAAGCTCCAAAGTTCAAATTTGAATGCTGCCCAAACAGCAGAAAAGAAGTATGAACATCTTCTTCCCATTTACCATTGTAACACTTCTAACAGTTGCAGAATCAAAAACTCTAGCAGATGACGGATCAAAGACGATGGACTGGAGAACAAAGATTTCAAAAGCCAGAGAGAGGACGAGAAGGGCTGTGGGATCCGAGTGGAAAATGTCCCGCTCTGAGGCAAAGGAAATGTTTCAGCAGTACTACAAATGCCTGAGAGAGAAGCTAAAAATTCTCAAGTATCAAAAACAGAGCATCACTCCTATCATCTCACATATTGGCCAGACAGTCAAGTTGAAATGTCTCATTTGGTTGGTCAACACTTGCTACTGTTTCTCATACTCTGACAAACCTGTGTCGATGGTTATGCTTTTGTTGTTTTAAAACATCAGTTTTGTGCAGCAAGGTGAAGAAAAGATTTTTCAAACTGAAATTTCTTGATGTCAACACTTGCCAATGAGCGCATGATACTGAAAAAAACTTGGGTCTCATAATAGACACAGTATTGGAAAATTGATGAGCGCCTGATAAGAAGAAAACTGAACTCTTACATTAGAGATAATTGATGAAAACAATCTTCTAAATTGAAGCTAACATATTAACACTAAGCTGTTTCACACAGATACTGCAACTCAATTTTCCACATCCGTCTGTGATTTATTTATCCTTCCAGTGTCAGGCCTGACCAGATGGACTCCCAGATGGTTTCCTGGCAGTTCCTGAAGAGGGCGGACGCCACCATAAGCGTCCTGGACGCTGGCAAGCACCTGCGCATCACAAAGCAGTGGACACTGGTCATCAAGGAGTTGGGCATGGCCGATGTGGGTCAGTACTTCTGTGTTGAGGGAGGGGAATACATGGCCGTGTACCAGCTGGATGTTCTCACTGCCGAGACCAGGAAAGTGGTGAGTGTCATGGACACAGCAGTGACTATCACCCCTCATTCCTATAGAAATCGCAGAACTAACCATGATACCAGGGCAAAACGTTTCAGACCAAATATGGAGTTAATTCAAATTTATTATTTTTGCACTATTTTTTAATTATTTTGCACTAAAATAGAAATATATGATGCATTGGGTTAAAAAAGAAATTCATCCAGTCTACATTCAAATTCTCTCAATTACAACAATTTATTAAATTCATTAACGTTCAGTACACATGGAATAGTCTGTGCTCTAAGTCCATGTCCATTGAGAACAACTTGAGAACAAGAGTCATCAGAAAGATGACATATCCCCCCGACAGCTGTCTGTAAAGTAACCACAAGTAAATGTGCAATGTATGTAATGAGTCAAGAGTTGAATGTTCTTTAAGAAGCATACATTGTTTACCAACAAAAGATCCACCATGGTTGCATCCATATGAAATGGAAAGTAAAACATGTGTTTTCTGTGGGTTTTTTTTATGCAAACAAATGACAAATTACAAGAAACAAGCGTATAGTCAACGAAGTCATCTATATCCCCCACCCATTTTAACACGTTATGGTCCCAAACCAGGTAACTGACCCAACATTTCTCTCAGCCCATGTCAAAATAGCTGCAATGGAAATTCTAAAATAAACATTTCTAAAACTCCTTAATATCAAATGGCACCTGTTCAGTATGTACTTTATATATGGACATGCAATGTTTGGCAAGGAAATATTTAACAGTTTATTTGTTATACTTCATTAGTGAACCCACCCTATATGAAAACTTAAATCCAACTTGTTGCCATGGAAACGTAAAAAATAAAAAAATAAAAATTCCTAAATAGCAAAAGGCACCAGTTCAGTATGTGCCTGGTAGACATGCAAAGTTTTGTAAGAAAGTATTTAACAGTTTTTGAGTTACGCTCCGGAAACGAACACCACCCTTATAGAACCTAAGTCCAACTTGTTGCCATGAAAACGTAAAAAATAAAAATTTCTAAAATTCCTAAATAGCAAAAGGCACCAGTTCAGCATGAGTCTGATAGACATGCAAAGTTTTGTAAGAAAGTTTTGAATAGGTTTTGAGTTATGCTCTGGAAACGAACTCTACCCTATAGAACCTAAGTCCAACTGGTTGCCATGGAAACGTAAAAAATAATATTTTTTTTTTTTACTAAATAGCAGAAGGCACCAGTTCAGTATGTGCCTGGTAGACATGCAAAGTTTTGTAAGAAAGTATTTAACGGTTTTTGAGTTGCGCTCCGGAAACGAACACCGCGCTCCGGAAACGAACACCACCCTTATAGAACCTAAGTCCAACTTGTTACCATGGAAACGTAAAAAATAAAAATTTCTTAAATTCCTAAATAGCAAAAGGCACAACTCCAGTATGTGACTGATAGATATGCCAAGTTTCGATCAAATACACTGAATTATTTTCGAGTTCTGCTCCGGAAAAGGAAATGATTACGGACGGACAGACGGACAGACGGACGGACAGACCGACTGGCTGATCGTTATATCCCCCTGCATTATATGCCGGGGGGATAAAAGCAGAAAATACAGAAATAATTAAGTCTTTGAAAGGCCTCTAGAAGTGATACACACAAGAAAGAGAATTTATGGATGTCAACTTCTTTATTATAAGGAACACAACGTTTCGGAGTATATGCTTACTCCTTCACCGGTTGAGGGAGTAAGCATACACTCTAAAATGTTGTGTTCCTCATAATAAAGAAGTTGATATCCATAAATTCTATTCCTTTCAGAAATAAATGTCACTGAGTTCTGCAATAACCTAGTAGTTTAACTCCAAGTAAGATGATTGCTCTCAAAGGTGCTGGAGAAAGACAAAGGAAATCTACTGCCAACAGTTGCGTTGTACAAGTCCAACCTGAAGCTGTTGACCAGCTGGACGGAATGGAGCCAGTGCAACCATTGCGGCAAGCCTGGCCTCAGAAGGAAGATCGGGCTCTGCATGGTGAAGGTGAGCCAAGCATGGGACTTTAGACCGTTAAGAAGGACAGTTAACAAAGTTAACAAAACCAGTGGTGCTGGCATTGGACTGGAATTGTCCCAGTAGTGTGTCTGGTCAAGGTGCTGTAGTCAGTATTGTCAAAGTAAAATCAAAGAATAGTTATCATTGTGTATAATTCCAGGACGTAATTCTAAGGTAGTATTCTTAGTATTATAAACAATGATATCTATTCTTTGATAATTCCTTAGTATACCCTGCCCCTATTAAATCGGGAATTAGTCCCTCCCACCACCCCAAATATCTGCATCGACTTGATGAGGGTTATGGGTTGAAAAAAATGATGATTTCCCGCCTTGTGCATACTCAGTTGCATTTACTGCGGAGAACGTCTGTCGAAAAAAAATTTATAGTGTGATTCTCAGCCTAAAGAGGTAGGGTAATTGAAGGAATCATACAAAATACTTTACAACTAAACATTTACACAGAGCTGTATATGTTAGATAGATTTCAACTTTATTTTCGCATCAGAAAATCTGGGCGGGTCAAACAACAAAGCCTTTTGACTTCCCACTGTTGGCACTGTACAAGGATGGCGTCCCTTGTCGCTCGACAGCTCTTCCTAAAGCCATTTCGCGCCTTCCGGGAATTGCTAAGAGACCCAGCGAGGTTCTGCTGGGTAACTGCCAAGTGCCTTGCCCAACCCAGCCGCCCCCTCTCAACATCACAGATGCAACAGGGAAAGTTGTGGAGGTCATTGAACCAGGATTCTACTCCATCAAAACTCACCCCAAACTGCCTCCAATTGTCAAAAGAATAGTTCAGTACCACGAAGCAGGGATCCATTTGGTGCTCAAATGTCCTAGGTAAGTAATGTTGAAGCTTGGCAGAACTGATCAAATCTTGCATGTTGATCTTTCTCCAAAGGCAGTTTACCTTTATCTACATCTTGCTCTTTATCATGTTTATCAACCTCGATTCGGCTTCAGTAGCACCATGTTGATTTAAACTCCCATTATTTTGATATATTACCTACGAGGGCAAACACATCGGGGTTCATAAAAATCATATGTGCCCTAGGGTGATATCAGGTCACAAGACAACAGTGTATTGGCTCTGTCATCCGGACAGCATTGTTGACGTCATTCAAATCTTATAGTGACATGAGGTCGGAATGACATCACACTAGAAACGAGGTCATAGTTGTAGATTGTTAATGTCCTTCGACAAATTGTGGTTCGGCTGCTGTTGCAACTTGTGTCCTTTTAGGCAAACACTTAAATGTATCTCTTGATGTAGACATCTTCTATGGATATATATAGAAAATCAAATTCGTGTTCATGTCATACCATGTTTACGACACTCGTGCCTAATTCTGGTATTTCCTGAGTGAGACACTCATGTCCTGAACATAGTATGACATGAACACGAACATAAAATCCTCTATATAATCCTATGGAATCTTTGTTGGCACACAAAATGTAATGTGGGCATTTGATGTGCGCCACAAGTAACTTGATACACATAATGGTCCTCAGGACTTCATTGTAATTGCAATGAGCGTATCTCTCATATACTGTGAAACATTTCAGTGATGAAGATGATGAAGGGGATGACAATTCAATAGTGAGGTGGCAGCGAGGTAAGCGGCAGATTGATCCCCTGAGCATCAAGAAGCAGACGCGAGGCAGGGTGTTTGTGGACCAGGAGAACAAGCTGCACATGAGGAGGCTCTTCACTTCAGACACAGCGCCATACAAGTAGGTCACTCAGACACAGCACCATACAAGTAGGTCATGTAGACAGCCATACAAGTAGGTGACTCAGACACAGCACCATACAAGTAGGTCACTCAGACACAGCGCCATACAAGTAGGTCATGTAGACAGCCATACAAGTAGGTGACTCAGACACAGCACCATACAAGTAGGTCACTCAGACACAGCACCATACAAGTAGGTCATGTAGACAGCCATACAAGTAGGTGACTCAGACACAGCACCATACAAGTAGGTCACTCAGACACAGCACCATACAAGTAGGTCATGTAGACAGCCATACAAGGAGGTGACTCAGACACAGCGCCATACAAGTAGGTCACTCAGACACAGCGCCATACAAGTAGGTCATGTAGACAGCCATACAAGGAGGTGACTCAGACACAGTGCCATACAAGTAGGTCACTCAGACACAGCGCCATACAAGTAGGTCATGTAGACAGCCATACAAGGAGGTGACTCAGACACAGCGCCATACAAGTAGGTCATGTAGACAGCCATACAAGTAGGTCACTCAGACACAGCGCCATACAAGTAGGTCATGTAGACAGCCATACAAGGAGGTGACTCAGACACAGCACCATACAAGGAGGTGACTCAGACACAGTGCCATACAAGTAGGTCACGCAGACACAGTGCCCTATAAGTAGGTCGTGTAGACAGCCATACAAGTAGGTCACGCAGACACAGTGCCATACAAGTAGGTCATGTAGACAGCCATACAAGGAGGTGACTCAGACACAGCACCATACAAGTAGGTCACACAGACACAGTGCCCTATAAGTAGGTCGTGTAGACAGCCATACAAGTAGGTCACGCAGACACAGTGCCCTATAAGTAGGTCATGTAGACAGCCATACAAGTAGGTCATGCAGACACAGTGCCCTATAAGTAGGTCGTGTAGACAGCCATACAAGTAGGTCACGCAGACACAGTGCCATACAAGTAGGTCATGTAGACAGCCATACAAGGAGGTGACTCAGACACAGCGCCATACAAGTAGGTCACGCAGACAGCCATACAAGTAGGTCATGTAGACACAGTGCCATACAAGTAGGTCATGCAGACACAGTGCCATACAAGTAGGTCATGTAGACAGCCATACAAGGAGGTGACTCAGACACAGCGCCATACAAGTAGGTCAGGCAGACAGCCATACAAGTAGGTCATGTAGACACAGTGCCATACAAGTAGGTCATGCAGACACAGTGCCATACAAGTAGGTCATGTAGACAGCCATACAAGGTGACTCAGACACAGTGCCATACAAGTAGGTCACGCAGACACAGTGCCCTATAAGTAGGTCATGTAGACAGCCATACAAGTAGGTCATGCAGACACAGTGCCCTACAAGTAGGTCATGTAGACAGCCATACAAGTAGGTCATGCAGACACAGTGCCATACAAGTAGGTCATGCAGACACAGTGCCCTATAAGTAGGTCATGTAGACAGCCATACAAGTAGGTCATGCAGACACAGTGCCCTATAAGTAGGTCATGTAGACAGCCATACAAGTAGGTCATGCAGACACAGTGCCATACAAGTAGGTCATGTAGACAGCCATACAAGGTGACTCAGACACGGTGCCATACAAGTAGGTCACGCAGACACAGTGCCCTATAAGTAGGTCATGTAGACAGCCATACAAGTAGGTCATGCAGACACAGTGCCCTACAAGTAGGTCATCTAGACAGCCATACAAGTAGGTAATTCAGACACAGCACCATACAAGTAGGTGACTCAGACACAGCTCCATACAAGTAGGTCATGCAGACAGCGCATTACAAGTAGGTCATGCAGACACAGCGCCATACAAGAAGGTCACCTAGACAGCCATACAAGTAGTTGATTCAGACACAGCACCATACAAGTAGGTCGCGCAGACAGCCATACAAGTAGGTTACTCAGACACAGCGCCTTACAAGCAGGTTACGCAGACAGCGCCATACAAGTAGGTCACACAGACAGCACCATACAAGTAGGTCATGTAGACACAGCACCACACAAGTAGGTGACTCCGACAGCGCCATACAAGTAGGTCACACAGACAGCGCCATACAAGTAGGTCACACAGACAGCGCCATACAGGTAGGTCACACAGGCAGCGCCATACAAGTAGGTCACACAGACAGCGCCATACAAGTAGGTCACACAGACAGCGCCATACAAGAAGGTCACGCAGACACAGTGCCATACAAGTAGGTCACACAGACAGCGCCATACAAGTAGGTCACACAGACAGCGCCATACAAGTAGGTCACGCAGACAGCACCATACAAGTAGGTCACGCAGACAGCATCTTACAAGTAGGTCATGCAGACAGCGCCATACAAGTAGGTCACACAGACAGCGCAATACAAGTAGGTCACACAGACACAGCACCCTACAAGTAGGTCACGCAGACAGCGCCCTACAAGTAGGTCACACAGACAGCGCCATACAAGTAGTCACACAGACAGCGCCATACAAGTAGGTTACTCTGACAGCACCATACAAGTGGGTCACCCAAACAGCGCCATACAAATAGGTCACACAGACAGCCATACAAATAGGTCACTCACAGACGGCCATACAAGTGTGACTCAGACACAGTGCCTACAAGTAGGTCACTCACAGACACATAGAGAAAAAACTTGCCAAATGCTTGTCGTAATTACGCACCTTTGAGGGATGATCAACTTTCACTTTCATTTCAAATAACCACTAGAAAGGGTCAATGATTTGACTTTTCAGCTGTTGGATCCTCAAACGCCATGTCGCCACAATAAAGGTCATTGTGATAGAGAAGTTTGATGCCAATCTCAAGGACTACATATCTTACGGTGGGTTCATCCTCACTGCCATCGCTGTTGTACTGGTGTGTCTCTGCGTGTGCTGCCGACGCGGACAGAAGACAGCCAGGTGAACAGACAATGCACAGACGAATAGACATCAACATTCACTGATGTGTGTCCTAATGTTTTGCCGATGAAGTCAGAAAACGGCCAGTTCACAGACAACAGACATCAGTACTGGAAGATGAGCATATGTTTGTATGACCAATGTTAATAGAAGACAGTCAGGAAAAGGACTGCTCTCAGGTCAGTTGCCATGGTGAATGTATCAGTCCCACCGGGTGTGGTTGCTCCAGGACTGATGCCAGCTGACCGGCTGAGGCTCTCACTATACTGGAGTATGGAAGACTCTCTCAGGTCAGTTGCGATGGTGAATGTATCAGTCCCACCAGGTGTCAGAGGTTGCTCCAGGACTGATGCCAGCTGACCGGCTGAGGCTCTCACTATACTGGAGTATGGAAGACTCTCTCAGGTCAGTTGCGATGGTGAATGTATCAGTCCCACCAGGTGTCAGAGGTTGCTCCAGGACTGATGCCAGCTGACCGGCTGAAGCTCTCACACTACTGGTCATCTGTGTGTTGCTGGCACAAGGTTCACCCCAGTACATGGAAATAACCCGCAACCATGACAATCAAGTAATATGTGCAATTAATTGATCCTTGACAAGAAAATGGTGTTCTTAGAAAATAAAGAATTATGTCATCATATAGAGGATATTACTATTCTATCTTGCTTTCTGTCATATTTCTCTCATCACGTATACATGATATGGGAGAAAGGCACATAACACAACACAAGATTAGCATGTTAGTAGGTAAGACAGTTCTACGTCTTGTAATAACTACATATACAATGTGTAAAATTCATATGATTTCCTTCTTACTCTGTCTACGAGCTGGCAGACGCACCATGGAAGCAGATGACACGAGCCATTGTTTGCAGATGTCACTGGTCACTCTCCTACCCAGAGTTCATTGGGTAAACCTGATACCATAGTGCAGTGGGATGTGATGATTCAACACATCTTAAATAGTCCATTCAACAAATTATCTATCTCATCATACATGTCTCTCATAAACAGTCGACACATTTAGATAAACATATGCCATGAAATGGTTAACTTTCACTGAGCAAAACCATTTAAAATTTGTGTATACAGCCTACGTGAACAATGGTTGTATGGTCCATGTTGGTGTGTGCGTGTCTGTATCCATGCGTGCGTGAGTGCGTGCGTGCGTGCATGCGTGTGTGTGTGTATGTTTGGTTTGTTTGTTGTTTAACTATATAACTGCGGTCTGTAAATAATCAAGTCTGGACCAGACAATCCAGTGATGGATAACATGAGCATCGATCCAAGCAAATGGGATCGATGACATGCATCAACCAAGTTAGCGAGCCTGGTTTGTGTGTATGTGTGTGCATGTGCATGTGCATGTGCATGTGCATGTGCATGTGTGTGTCTTCTTGTATTACTTCAAACCAATGCTGGTTTTAATATGCTAGCCACTGAAATATCATGCCACAGTTTAACATGAACAGCCTACACAGACACAGTGTACTGACTCCGAGCTGACCAGTCCTTGCTTTATCCCACCAATGCCAAGTGCAGGGTAACAACAAGTACCATCTTTTAACATCATTTGGTTTGACAAGGCAAGGGATCTAACCCCAAACCTTCGGCTCTCCGAGCAGACACCCCATCCACTAGACCACAGAGGTGGTCCTATAAACATGAAAATGTGGCACTCACCATGACCCCAAATGCAGCGGGATCAGCTCCCGTCTTGGGTCGCAGTGACGGCGGGATCATCTCGGGGGTGAGCGTCGTGGGCGGCTCCACTCCCTTCAGCTTCTGCTGCACCAGGTACATGGACAGGGCAAACTGCTCTGTGTTCAGCTTCCCAACACCGTTGATGTCAGACAGGTTCCTGCAAGTCAATGAGTGGGGATCAATGCTGCTTTGAACAGTATTCCAATATCACTGCATATCAGGGGGTCCTTGAGATTTGCTGGGGACATGATGACGACCCCTTAATTTGGATGCTTAACTTAACAAATGTGTGTGTGTGTGTGTGTGTGTGTGTGTGTGTGTGTGTGTGTGTGTGTGTGAGTGAGTGAGTGAGTGAGTGAGTGAGTGAGTGAGTGAGTGAGTGAGTGAGTGAGTGAGTGAGTGAGCAATATTCCAGCAATATCACAGCGGGGGACACCAGAAATGGGCTTCACACATTGTACCAATGTCGAGAAACAAACCCGGGTCTTCGGCATGACGGGCGAACAATTTAACCACTAAGCAACCCGACCGCCCCGGGTGTGGGAGGAAAGTAGGAAGTGACTTTGTCACACGACAAGTGGAATGACAGACCAAGGATAGTAATCGGGTCAAACAGCAAACAAACACGCTCTCCCCCACGTTTGTAAATGACACAACTGCTTCTCACCATATATGAGCCAGTAGAGGATTGGGCAGGTTGCTCTGTACCAAGATGCTGCGCACCTCTGCCCCCGTCACGAAGCCGTCCATGTCTGTGTCCAGCTTCATGAACATCACGTCAGCGTTGGCCTTCTCCGCAGCCGTCACCACCCACGGCTTGCCCCCGGCCTGTCAGACACAAGGAGAGGAATCACTGACATGGCCAACATTGTAACACACTGCTGGGACAAGCCCGTTGGGAGGAAATAGTCTCAAAAAGCAGCTTTAAGGAAGAGAATTTATGGATGTCAACTTCCTTGTTATGAGGAACACAACATTTCGGAGGATATACTTTCTCCTTCATCAGGTGAATGAATGCTATGAGGCAGAGAGCAGCTTTAGTGTTAAGGGAATCTCTGCCAATTCCTCAAAAACAGGAAGTCATTTCTTAACAAAATTGTTCAATGCCACTTCATAGATTATCGTTATTATTACAGCATGATAACAATTTCAACAATCCCGTTTCATCACCAATTATCAGCGTTACCATGGTTATGTGATGTGTGATATATAACAAACGAATGCTCACTCCTGGCCCATCTTTCTGTGGTGGTGTGGCCCGTCCAGTTTCAACCCCGGGGATACCTGGCATCACCGGCACAGCCCCTGGGAGCGTGGAGCCTGACTTCCGCTTGGATGGAGGGATGAGCGCTGGGGGTATCACTGTCGGGGTGGGGTCGTTCTCTCGTGCACGGTACACCAGATGCATAGTCTGCAGACAGTCACATCAAGTTGTATCAGTACTCCAGAACAAGACTCAGGTTACATGTTTACATAATCAATCAAAACCAATCCATATCGGTCCAGAAATTATCTGATAATAATCATAAGGATCATCATTATACGCAAAAATATGTCTCGTACACGAAATGTGAAAACGATAAATCTATGACCTTCTGGTCGTCATGCCACAACCTCTTTGCATAACCATACTGTATCGACAAAAGAAAAGAAGAAATAAAGTGATAAAAAAAATAAAAAAATTATCATCAATATTTAAGGAAAAAACAACATCCTCAACTGAACGGCAACTGTGTAGAACCACTCACAACAGCAAACTCATCCTTATCCAAGTATCCGTCCTTGTCGATGTCACTGAGGTCCCATATTCGGCCCAGCACGTCCGTCGGCAGCTTGGAGTTGAGCAACACCTGCAACACGGGCAGAATTTCATCATGAGGGGTAACACAGACACTACTCTCTTCCATACTCCCTCAAAGTACATGTGTTCTCTAGTGAGGAATGGAGAATCTCACCCTTGTGTCTGTGATATCAAATATAGCAACACAAGTCAATAAAAGATAAAAACTCAAGTTTGACAAAAACCAAGTGTGTATGTACCTATGGCTCTGAAACATATCATGTGAGTCCAGCATTGAGTAAAATATCTACCATCAGCGTTCCCGTTTACTGGTAATTACCAGTATTTACCGGTAAAGTTAGGCTTGGACCTGCCAGTCCATTGACTGTAAGTCCCTATGGACTGGCAAATAAAGTACCTTATAAATCTTTGCTGTTGAACAAAACATCAGTGATATTCATACAAGTACATTTTTCGAACAAAGTCAGCTTGTCTGTTACCATCAGGGTTTCCCCATGTCTATTTCTAGGTGAAATATCCATTTGTAGTGACTTTGTCTCGAAATATTAAAAAAAAAGAGAAACTTGTGACTGAAGTTTTGGTGAATGAGGTATAGATCTAACTAAGTTACTTCAGACATGACATCTTTGCACTGAACATGATGCTGAAAGAATTAAAACCAAATAATTTTCATATGTTTATTATTTGTTAAAAGTTGGGACTGGTAAAATTTAGGGGGGGGGACTGATAATTTTTAGAGTTGCCAGTCCACAAGGACTGACAGTTTCAAAAGTCAGCCGGAACACTGTACCATGATCAGGTTGTCATGGACTAAACGGGGCGGTCGGGTAGCCTAGTGTTTAAATCGTTCGCTCGTCACACCGAAGACCCGGGTTCGATTCCCGACATGGGTACAACTTGTGAAGCCTATTTCTGGTGTCCCCCGCCGTGATGTTGCTGGAATATTGCTAAAAGCGGCGTAAAACCATATTCACTCACTCACTCTTGGACTAAACATGATAATTTTTGTTCATGTGTTGTGTTGTTTAAGGCTGCACTTCGCAACATTCCAGCTATATCATATGATGGCTGTCTATAAACAATCGAGACAATCCAGTGATTAATATCACAAGCACTGATCCATGCAACTGGGGTATAACGGTGCATTATGGCCCAGGTCACTGGGCCTTGCCGCCCGATCCTGTAATATTCTTACCCGGAGAGTGTGTGAGTGAGTAGTGTTTTACGCCACTTTAAGCAATATTCCAGCAATATCACGGCAGGGGACACCAGAAATGGGCTTCACACATTGTACCCATGTCGGGAATCGAACCCGGGTCTTCGGTGTGACGAGCGAACGCTTTCACCACAAGGCTACCCGACCGCCCCCATACTTACCCGGAATGACTGCAGGTCAAACATGATGATAGCTGACATCAAATACTGTGAATTTAAGAAATAAATGCCCCTCATGGTTTATTCTCCCTGCAGTGTTTTATTGTTTGACAAACAACAACCACGAGTCGTTTTTTTCTTATATGAGATCTCATCATCATGGACACCTTTTTTAAGCTGTAAAAAAATATTTAAAAATTTTAATAATGACGACTCCCTGAATAGAATCCGACCTCGGAAATGTTGGACAAGTCCCTTTTACGAACAGGTCGGTTAAGTTTGGTATTTCCTGCATATTCTCACAAATCATCACGTTGATTATCTGTACTTTTTCTCCTAATACCGGTTGTCCTATCCCTCCCACTTTTGGACGCAATCATTCGGCCACTGCGTTTATCTGCGTAGCCCAGCTACATCAATGGGGAACAACTTTCTAGACACTTCTCTCTCATAAATACCGTCGTCCAATATATGACGTCATCAAGTTGTGAGCTAATATTTGACATACACATAAGCAATGACCATGTTAACTGGCCCTTCTTACGAGCACGTCTATCGCTATTTTCACAAACTCCCCTGTCTACAGGAAACACAAAGAGTTCACCCCACTTACCGGCTTGACCTTGTCCCCTGAGAGAAGGCCATTGACCGGGCCAAGACTGTCAAACACTTGATCATACTTCGACTTTTCTGATGGCTATAAAAGACAATACAGCAATGTGAGTGTGCTGCGACTTGATTGGTTATAAAACTGGTCACATGAATATAAGCAGTGAAATCTTGTAGACTAATCATGAACATGATGAATAGATTTCTTTCAACATGTTCAAAACTACCAGTTAGCTTTTTTCTCAAGTTCTCTAGCTCTTCCTTAAGATTTTTCAGTTTGAAAAAATGTGAAAAATGTAGTACTAACTACAATCTTGTATTCATTCCATAGAAAATCTTGCCTGTATATTTTCTGCATTGTATCATTGAAGCTGTGCAGTTGTTTTTTCTTGTTATGAATACAAACAACAATATCCAATTTCCAATGACATCCTGTATTTTCATCAACTGTTGAATGATGCCCAGGAAGTTTGTCATTTGACAAAAAATTCACATTAAAAAAACCTGGTGACATACACTGCAAATCTGAAAACTCATTATGCTTATCTCCAAGTGAACAGCGTTTCAACTCACAGTGGGACAAAATGCAAAATCAAGTTATTCAATCATGATTTTCGTCGAGCCATGTCATGTCATGTGCTCACTGACATTTTTTTACATCAAACCGGTGACACACACATATCTTGCAGGTTAACCATTATATCATGGTTTCATGGTCACGATGACTATCAAACTGTTACCATGGTTACCCACCTTTACAACCCAGGCAGAATGTGTAGGACTTTCAACAAGCACTGGTTCAACAGGACCCTGAAACAAACAGTCACAATATCACCATGCATCATCAAATGATACTCAAATGAAACACTTGTGGATACGGTGAAACATAATGAAATCAACAGAGTTGGAAAAAAACAAAAATACACTTTCTAATTTTTGTTTCTCTTTGCAGAATAAATAACATGACAGTCACAACATATGATGTCTTCTATCAAGTCAATACGTGTAATAAAAAAGACATCCTCCACACATATCATATGACTATGAGACATCCTACATATAACATACAAATAACTCTTCTTGACCAGGGCCCACTTGCACAAAGCAATCTTAGCGCTAAGATGATCGTAACCCCCCATACTTTAACATAGGCTTACGATAGTCTTAGCCCTGGTAAATATGGGAAAACAAAGACACAAGGACCCGACAGCTGGGGTGGTCTGACCGCCGTAGGGGTCAGGTCTGGGTAATCCTTCGGGTTATTATCAAGAGTAATCATTCGTTTTGTTGCACCGAAATTCACCTTAAAGTTTCTGAAGCCTTTAAACCATCATCTGTTTCCTTACAGTAACTTAGCTGCGGACCATGGAATGGTAGTACCAGACGCCATCTTGTTTTCTAGCAGTCACATGATCCTGGGGTTCTACATTGATATGTATTATTTTGTCACGTGGTAAGGAGTGAGTGAGTGAGTTGGGTTTAACGCCGCTTTTATCATTATTCCAGTTATATCACAGCGTGTCAGCTTAATGTGGGAGGAAAGCCCGAAGTGATGCAGGTCTCAGACGTTTTCCACTTTGGTGAAACCCACGAGCACGGGTATGGTGCTGACAAACCTAGAAACATAAACGTGGTAAGGAGTGAGCGAGTGAGTTGGGTTTAATGCCGCTTTTAACATTATTCCAGTTATATCATATCGTGTCAGCTTAATGTGGGAGGAAAGCCCGAAGTGATGCAGGTCTCGGTGAAACCCACGAGCACGGGTATGTAGCTGACAATCCTAGAAACATAAACGTGGTAAGGATCAAGCAGTGGAATTTCAAGATTCTTGACAGAGGTATAACAATGCAAGATATCGGTTATCTAGCAGGGGCCAAACATGGACAAGGTAATTTCACTATTATTGGAAAGACACAAAAAGTACACATCAGTCGTTTCTTTGTTTGTTGTTAAACATTTCACTCATGAAATGTAGAGCTATATAACGGCAGTCTGTAAATAATTGACTCGGGACCACACAATCCAGTGATTGATATCATGAGCATCGATCTACGCAACTGGGATACGATGACATGCATCAACCAAGTCAGCGAGCCTGACCACCCGATCCCATTAGTCTATATGATATGGGACTTCTACATGTGAGACATTCACCACATAAATGATGTACACACGACCTCCTCTTGAGACAGGGTGTAACTAAAGACTGTACTACTCATCTGGACTTACAAGATTCGGCGGCGGTGTATCTACAGTGATTTTAGAAATGCTGAGGTCCTGCCCATTCTGAACCAGCGCTATCAGTTTGAGGGCGATGAAGAATCCGCTCTTCTCCAGATACCCCTTCCCAGTGGGGTCGGACAGATCCCATACCTACAACATGAAACACACCCTGCACTGCAGCAAAACCACTGACAAACCAGTCTGAACAGTGAGTGAGCGAGTATGGTTTTTCGCCGCTTTTTAGCAATATTCCAGCAATATCATGGCGGGGGACACCAGAAATGGGCTTCATACATTGTACCCATGTCGGGGATCAAACCCGGGTCTTCGGCGTGACGAGCTAATGCTTTAACCACTAGGCTACCCAACCGCCCCTCCAGTCTGAACAATGCTCTACAATTACACATTGTAGACCAGTCTGAACAATGCTCTACAATTACAAATCAATTTACAAGTCTTGGCATAGAGTGATGTGAACTTTAGAATTAATAAACATGCTTATGTTTCAAATTATAGAACAGCTGGATCCCTAGACTAACATCTAGTCTCTGAAATGAAAATATTTTTTTAGAAAAACTGTTGTTAAATTATCTTAATGAAATATAACAAACACGATAAAAAAGAGCCAAGAGACACTCTTCACTTTAACTGAAACAGTAATCGAAACTTGCTAACTATTTTAGACTTGCAAGGACTGTATTGGATATACTTGTTTCAGGGTCTGTAATGACTGGCTATGGTAACCCATGTGGTGAACATGGCGGCCACAAACAAACGACAAGAAACATCAACAAACTTGTTCTCATCATTGCAAATCTTCATGAACTTACTGGACAAATCTTTGTTCAAGTGCATCTTATTATATAGTTACATGCATAAAGTGGAATTTATATCAAGTTATTGATCTGATAGTATCCATACTGATAATAGCGTTTCTAAAATTGATTTACATGTGTCTGGAACCTAAGCTTAAATTACAGGCGACAAGAGCAATATATCATGCAAGTTGGCCGTCGTAGTGACACTTGCTGGGGATTACGTAACCTTTACACGCTAAAAACCTCCAACCCACCACCAGGCAAGCAAGATCAATAATGTTCCAGATAATGGGCTTGTGTCAGGAATAAAAGCACATTTATGGCAGAATATACACTCGTAACTTGTGAGTAAGGCGCTGTCATCCTGTTGCAAGAAATGATATATCGGCTGACAACTGTCTCAGCCAGCACCTAGCATGCCGTTGTGCATGTTGAGGGAGATCCAGTAATCGGAGATTATCTGTCCCAAGCAAAAGCATTCACAAGCTCCTCACAGTGACAGCCCCTTCTCGATACTATCACCGCCACACTTCACAGCTCCCCACTGTGCTAGGCGGCCTGCAACCACGCATGGAGTAAAACTCGCAAATAGTTTACAAACAAGTGATGACTATCAAGACACCCAATACACTTCCCCCAGTTAAATTATTTTAATGTTTGTCAATTTGAATCCAAACTAAAATCTCACCTGAGACAAAATAGTGTCTGTGAGTTTTGACTTCTTGAGAAAGATAGCAGCATCGAGAGCACCTACGCTTCCTGTACCTTTGGGGTCAGCCTGGAGGAGAGAAGTACAATGTGCTAACATGGCATTTGCTGCTACTGACTGCTGACAGGCATGGCAGGGAGACATAACACAACACGTATGTGCTGGAAGGGACCAGACCACAGACTGGCATCAGCTTCAGTCCACACTAAGGGTGTGCGGTATTATCAGTATATCGGTAAATTGAGGTTCATTCTTTCCACGATACATATCACAATAGCACTTTTTTATGCTCGATACATCGGGTGATGTCAAATAGCGATTTTTATCATGTGTTTAATGTTACATACTTGCCAAATGCCTTCACTGCCCCTGAACGTGCATCAGGAGCCCAAAGATGGCTGCGTATTTATTGAGTGAGCATTTTGTTGAACCAGCATCTTGTTTTGCTCCACTTATGAACTTCAGTTCACACCTTAATGTATCAGATTGATTCTGAGTTCAAAAATTAGAATTATACAATATATTGTGATACATATCGCAATACGGCCTTGTGCATCACAAATATTTCGTGTGCAAAGACATGTAGTGACAGGCCTCAAAGTTGCGACTAAAACGGTCGCCAATTCGACCTAAATTTCAATTTGACACTCTAAAATTCGGAGGTAGCCAAATGACTACCTTGAAAAATATCTTGTGGCAACTAAATTCTATTGCTTCACATTTTAAGACACAAATGGGGCATTGATCAATTGATTAATGATTGATCATGACAGGGAATTGAAAAATCTCACAACGAAATAACTCTTCTCTGTCTCGCCGTGGCCTAGTGGATGGGTGGATAAAGATGTTAAAAGATGGTACTTGTTGTTACCCTGCCTGGCACTCAGCATTAAGAGGATAAAACAAGGACTGGTTGGCTTGGAATCAGTATACTTTGTCAGCGTGGAGTATGAATGTTAAACTGCAGCATGGTATATCAGTGGGCAAGCACCATAAAATCGGTAGTAGTCCAAGCTGCTAAAACACACACACACACACAGACGAACACACACACACACACACACACAGACACACACACACACACACACACACACACACACACACACACACACACACACACACACACACACACACACACAGAGACACACACACACACACGAACACACAGAGACACACACAAACACAGACACACACAAACACAGACACACACACACAGACAGACACACAGACAGACACACACACACGAACACACACACACACACGAACACACACACATACACACACAGTCACTATATAAGTGCAATAATCTTAAATACAACATTAAACCCCGTAGCAGCTCAGCTCACGTCACCTCCCTGTAAATCATCTTAAATTCAGTTATAAATAAATAAACAAAATTCCCCAACTGACCTATTAGTATTACCAGCATGCCATGTACCATACACGGTTATGTGAGATGCACATATCAGAGAACCATTGCATACAGTTTGCTTGGTTCACCTCATTACATATTCAACAACTTCAAATGTCAGCTAAAGCTGACAAAAGATAGCTCCTATATGCATTAATATTCTAATACCAGCTTCCAATGCTGTGCTTCCAGAGCTCCAGATAACTTTTTGAGCAATTGAGTTTTTACTCCAGGGTTTCTATCTTAATTGGGTTTTTACATTTTTCATTGGGTAACCAATATTTTTTCACTCATCTATTCATCACTCTATTGGGTTTTTTCCAAAGTTAGTGAACATTTTAAGATTAAAAAAAATATGAAATAATGTTTTAGATATATGTATATAACTGTTTTAAATATATAGACTTGACTCGGTAGAAAAATTAGCTCATAATTGTCAATGTGTTTTGGAAATTAGCTCCATTGTACGCATGCTGAAAAAGCTTCATTGGGTATTTATGCGTGCTGTTTTTATACATCTGAGTTTTTCATTAAATGTATGAGTTTCTGTATGCAAGTTAATTGAAAGTAATTGGGTTTTGAATATTTTGGGGGGTATTTTATGCAAATAGCTCTGTAGCTCTGTCTTCACATGACTAATCCAGGTATCCACTGCCATTGTTAACATGAGAGCTTTAACAAACATCTTCAAATTTTGAACTGACAAATTTCTGGCAATTTTCTAGAACGGGTGATTCAGGAGAGGGGAGATGAAATGGGGTTGAGGATTATTGCACTTGTATTGCAGAGTGCAAAGACGTGTAGTGACAGACCTCAAAGTTGCGACTAAAACGGTCGCCAATTCGACCTAAATTTCAATTTGTCTACTGTCTAAAATTCAAAGGTAGCCAAATGACTACTTTGAAAAATATCTTGTGGCAACTAAATTCTATTGCTTCACATTTGAAAACACAAAAATAAATAATAGCTGATTGTGGAAAACATGTCTGCTAATAACATGTCCTAAAGTCGACAATGAAAGTCGAATGCTCACTGGATCAGCAAAGATATACCTAAATAATCTAGTAACATAAATTGCATCATTGTTGAGTCACAAATAACAAAAATCAAGTACAGTTTCCACTAACATACAATTTCAAGGCTAGTGCAATGACTTGTACATATCATAATAGTTATTTGATAAAAGATAATTTCAAATGCTTTTGGCTACCTACAATATTGGCTTGACTTCTTGATTTTACCACTGGCTACCTGGAAAAAAATACTTGTAGCCATATGGCTACTTGGTAAAAATTTAAACTTTGAGGCCTGAGTGAGTGTGTGGCTGCTTGTACTATTCCGGACTTAAGCAGGTTTTATTGTCCTAGCCATGTCTCAGATACCATGCTGCAGTCTAACATGCTTAGCCCACTCAGACACAGTATTCTGACTCAGAGCCAACCAGTACTTATTTTAGCCCCTTAATGCAGAGCACCTGGCAGGGTAACAACAAGTACCATTTTTTAACATCTTCTGTTATAAAGCGGCCAGCCTCGCATCAGAAAACCACCACAGAACACAAATATACTCTCGACAGTATACCCTCCTGGGTGAAGGTCATGCTAATGGTGCTCACGACAGGAACCATAAAATACCCACAACAATAACATAGTGCAGCTTTAGGTTTTTGCATTCGGAACTCGATTATATTCATTTTGAGATAAAGAAATCAGATATGCTTGTCAGGATGATTCACTCACTCATATCATAAAGTAAGAAACCTTGACGCTTATTGGATAATTGAGTTCACCTTAAGTGACCTCCTAGTCCTACGTAGGTGAGATCTTCATACAGAAAGATATTGTACTGGAGCAAAAGATAGGAGATTGACATGTACTTAACTTTCATAAAAAATTAATACTATTAGCACATTGAGATACCATGTCACAGTTTAATATGAATACGCCACTCAGACATAGTATACTGACTCCAAGCTGACCAGTCCTTGTTTTAGACACTTAATGTCGAGCGCCAGACAGGGTAACAATAAGTACCATCTTTCAACGTCTTTTTGTATGACTCGGCCGGGGATCGAACCCCGGACCTTCCGCACTCTGGGTGGACCCTCTACCACTAGACCACTGAGGCGGTGGGTCATTAAATGTGCCAAGTTGGGTATCTTTCCATGGCATTGACGTAAAGGCAGATAAACATTCTCTTATTTCCACTTGGACAGTGCCGAACAGTTGTAAACATGACAACTGCCCTAATAACCATGATGAGCATGCAAACACTTCACATGCTTAAGACCCAGTGGATTAGTCTAAATAGCCAAAAGGTTTCAAATATTTCTAGACAGCAAGTTTAAAAAAATGAAGCATCAGCTTGTGCAATGATCAACACCACTGGGGCTGGGATAACACAAACTGCCATTTCAACACCATTGCCATGGTAACTAAAGTCAGCATGGCACGGTCATGGTCAGAACTTGAGAGTATATCCATGGATCATCCATGCAAAATTTCATCACTTGAATGATTTGGAGTGAAAAGTGCAGACTGCACGTGCACTGCGCTTTCATAGTGCTGACGGGAAACATTATGATGGGAAATCCGAAACACAGAGATTACCAGAACGAGTGAAAGGCACAGTCGTCGGTAATTAGGTATTTTGCCTGTAAGCAAAATTAAACATTTGGAGAAGTATACAATGTAAAACATTTATGGTGAACAAGGAAGTAGACGGCAGATAACTAGTGACAACGGAGAAAGGTTGTTTGTCACTAACCTGGTGGTAGTAGCCTTCATACACTCCAATGTGACTGCCCACGATCTGAAAAGAATCACATTCTGTTATTATAACCAAGATAACAACAAATATTGTCAGGCCATACAAAATACAACAAGTCTAGCGCTTAACTATATCAAGTGAACAGCTGTAAAATTCTACAATACTTACATCATTGTATATGTGAATTTTGTGACAAATTTCTAACGTTACAGAGTTTTTCCTTTCCACTTCCTACCACTTCCCATCATGCCCATTCCAGGAATAATAGCTTTCTTCCTTTTTAACACAGCCCTCTTCGTTATAGGAAGGAACGAGGGGCGGAGCCAATCCATGCTCTTACTGCCCTAACAACGAGTAGGTGGGTGTGTTGTAAGTGACTTGTAGCACGGGTTACGACGGTCATTCCAAAATTGCGCGAGTTTGTGTAAAATTTAGTGACGTATAATATGACGTTAAATATGACGACACATGCTTTCTGCCTTCGAACCGTTTTTAACTTTTAATCTAATTGTTAAATCAAGTGAAAACTTTGGAATTTTCAAAGGCACATTAGACATTACAAATTTCAACTATTAATTTTCCGAATTTAGCAAAATGCGTTCTGTGTCCAGTTGTTTTTATGTTTGACAGTTACATTGTAATCTTTTAATAAAGTTATAAACATTTCTATTGTTTTTTGTTGTTTATTTACGTTATCACTCTTGAACACTGTGTACAACACTAAAGAAACATTGTTGTAAGTTTGAAATTTCTCAAGCCAGTAGGCGGGGTTTGCTGATCTTGGCATCAGCCAATGGTAATAATCTTTAACAAACCGTGCTCTTACTACCATGATACAGCACGGGTAAGATCAAAGGTACCGCTCGCAACCCGTGCTACAATTTCACATATGGTTGCTCATCATGTCGCAGAAACTCGCTTTGGAAAAACAAAGTCAGCAAGTATGGCTGTCATTTAGAATCCATTTAATGCACCCTCTTTTAATTTAAAAATTGAGGCTCTTGAATAATGGCAGACCCATCCCATATTCCTGTAAATTGAGGCAATGTCGCTGATTCATTGCAATTTGCAAAATCAGCTATGTTAGCAGAGAGTAACTTGTGAGCAACTGTGCACCAACAACCAAGTTAGTTTGTGAATAAATATGATGATAATGATGTTAACCAAATCTATTGTTCTACATACATCAACAATATTATGTACCATACGTCATTGTACATATCATAGAGTAAAGATCCACACAATCAATCGTGCAATGATCACACAGTCATGTGGATGCATGGTGTGATTTATCTTCAAAAAACACATTGAAACTACTTAGTGCTACATCTGTCCAAAGAAATGTATGTCTATGTATGACAGATGAATGATGATTAATAATATTACCATTGGCTGACAAGCATCAAACCAAGTATGTCATCAATGTATATTTATCTACAACGTTTACTTTATTTGAACATGTATTTTTAAGATGGGTCTGCTTTTGTCAATCTGTGACCAGTATTGGGATATTTTCGCCAAACTATTGCAGCCGCTTTCACCAAGCCAGGATCATTTTCACACAACCATATCATGTTCATGCAACTACCAGACAGTCAAGCTTTATGAGAATCACATCCATTAAATGTTCACAAATGTATTGAACAGTTCATTGGATAAATATATACATAAATAAATGATTCCAGGTTCACAATATTGAGGGGCGGTCGGGTAGCCTAGTGGTTAAAGCGTTCGCTCGTCACGCCGAAGACCCGGGTTCGATTCTCGACATGGGTACAATGTGTGAAGCCCATTTCTGGTGTCTCCTGCCGTGATATTGCTGGAATATTGCTAAAAGCGGCGTAAAACCATACTCACTCACTCACTCACAATATTGAAAGATTTGGGTGAAAATCTAATAATTATATTATTGTGGCCTTACAAACCTAAACAAAATGTTTTCCCCAATGCATGAACACATTTGAATAGTCAAAAGTCAGTGTTAAGTCACACACAAATCCATCGCAATATACAAATAATTAAACAAACATAACATTTTGACATGCTGGTGAGGTAAGAAATCCGAACAGCCAGGCCTACTTTTGGGCCCTTCTTTTAACACAACATATCTGCAAGTGAGGCCAAGTGAGACATGCGTTGAATACAAGCGTTATTGGAAACAAGACGATAACTGAAATTAGAACAGCGAGACAGCTTGACATTTAGTTGAGCATCTTGAGTATGAAGGATATTTCAGTTTCTACACTTGAGCAGACGAAGTGACATGACTGACAGTGACAAGAGCCTACAGTATGTCATTAGTGAGCAACATGGCGAAAATAACTTCAAGTTTCGTGTCATTACCGCTTAAATCTTACAGAATATATGCATATACAAAAACGAAGAAATAAATATTATCAATAATCCAAAGAGCTTATTTACTACGCAGAAATACCGCATCACGAACTTAGATGACACTCGAGATGATCGTCCTCCAATTTACCGTTCAAATTTCATCTAATCGCTTGGCCTCATCAATTATGAACATGTCATCAGACGATCTGATGTAAGGCAAATTCAATTTCTACTTAAGCTCACAAGGTGTCTTGACAGAATCACGTGCATATGCATGGAGAATAACCATTTAATACCACTATCAAATCGTACGAACCTGAGCAAGCGGTGGGACGGCCGCCATGATTCTTGCCAGTTAAACTGCATAGAATAAATGACGATTCGTGATTGGTCAAACAATTGGAAGGTCAAAGGGTAAAGGGAGGCGTGTCAACTGTATTGGGATTGAATAACAAATAGTCATTTTAAATAACGTTTCCCTTTCATGGTATTTTCTGCTGCTCACATACAGATATACCAGGAATAAATCTGCCGACATCGCAACAGATAATAAATTAGATATGTTAATACCTTCATCGCGACGAACTGATCGGACCTCATCTGTGATCGATGATCTGTTTATTATCAACCACACCCTGTGTGTCTGTATTTTTCCCGCCCCCAAGTACGCAGAGTCTGTTTACGAAAGTCCATTGTATACAGGTGTTTATTAGTCTCTAATTCAGGCATCATTAAAGAACCAATTTCAAAAGTCCGTTAAGCTATCTGGGATCTGTGAATGCAATACTCTGTCATTTCGCAGAAAATATTTCTCTTATTTGACTGTACGGTTACTGGGTCGCGAATCACTGTGTTAGTTGTTTAAATGGAACATGTCACCTAAATGATCAACTCTGTTGAGAGTGAGTGAGACAGCGTCATAGTTACGAGTGACGATTTACCGAGTGAGTGACCGCGTGTGGGGTTTTTCTTAGTGTGTGTTTTGTTTGGATTGTTGTTTAACGCCGCAGTTATCACTGGTGAATATTCCACCTATATGACGTCGGTCTGTAAATAATCGAGTCTGAACCAGACAATCCAGTGATTGACATCATGGGCATCATCTACGGATTTGTAAGTAAGCGAGCCTGACCATCCGATCCCGTTAGTCGCCTCCTTCGACAAGCATAGCTGCCTCTTACGAGCAGCATGGGTTGCTGAAGACCAATTCTAATCGGATCTTCCCGGGTAGAGTGACTGGATGTGTGACTGCGCGAGTGCGACATAAAGTAAAACCAACACCAAGTTCAACATAGTACGTACAAGAAATCCAGTACAAACCAGATCATGTAGAGTGATCATCCACTGAGCTTCCTCTTCAACGTGAAGGAAGGAAGTTCTAAGTGTGTTAAACTGCATATCACCCTATACCACTGCTTCAACATAGAGGGGTATACAAGTTATCCTGTACTCTCTCAGACTGAATATATGAGTTTTGCTATCCGTGGTACATTATGCGAATAAAAAGGTACTGCCACTCGAAATGTAACCATTCGAAGCATGTACTGTAAATCTTGAAATTTACGCGAGCCTGAATTAAATGCGAAAAATGGGAGTGGTCTTTGTTCGCATTAATAAAACTTCGGATTTATGCCTCCTAAATTACACACTTTGGTACTGTGCCGTACTTCAATTGATTTTTTGCAATACTTTTCGGCATACTTTTACACAAGAATAGACTGCTTGCCATATAAAACAACTTTACATACATGTATTTACAGATAATTATCAAACACGCATTTTCATGTAAACAGTTCACCGATATCTGGTTAGTGAACGTGTTTGCCTGCATGGACGAGGGTCATATAGTCCATGAATGGGTTGGATAATTTCAGTTAATTCACATCGAGAGTGCTTTGTCAGCATTAGTACTGATTAGGTGCTGAGAAAAACAAGGATCACAATCAGGATGAATTGGGATTCGAATGGACAGTTACAGGATCCTGACACGCCTAAGGGACGCAACTGTGCAAAGAGAATAGTGAAGTCTTAGACCACTTGGAAATCCGTGCAAAACGACAAAAAAGCTATTATATAACTAATACATGCATAACACCATATGAAACATTATCTATATATACTGAACCAAATTAAAAACTTCACAATCCTAAAATTTGAACATTTTGACCCCTTATTGTGTATTTAAACAGTAATGGCCACTATAGTCTTCAGATAACACCCGTTTTTGTGCAGGTGAATCGATCAAAATCATGTGGTTTTTCACGTGCAACTGGTCACGTGGCCATAATACCGCACGTGTTTTCAGCCATACTCTTAGCAGTCATTAACAAAAAAAGAAAAACACAAGAAAACAAAAGTCTTTACGGCCATTTGTCATGCCACGCCTTTCAAATGTGCAACGTGAACGTGCCATCGGCATGTTGCAGACGGGAACGTCCGTAGCTGAAGTCGCAAGGACGCTGGGTTGTAGTCGACGGACTGTTTATGATTTACAGACGCGTCTACAGCAAACGGGTACCAACGCTGATCGCCCTCGGCCAGGTCGACCACGTGTGACGTCACATGCAGAGGATCGTCAGATTGTCTTACGTCACCTCCGTAACCGATTTTTGACGGCTACATCAACCAGAAATGAACTGTTTAGGGGTAGACTGAGTGCGCAAACTGTTCGAAACCGTCTGACTCAATTGCACAGACGTCAACGTCAATTGTTGGCACAGCGACACTTACGATGGACTCAGAGAAATTGGAATCAAGTCGTCTTCAGTGATGAATCCCGATTTAATCTTCGATTTGCTGATGGTAGGGCGAGGGTGTGGAGGCGCCGTCATGAACGTTACGCCTAGTGTTGTGTACAGGAAGTTGACAGATTTCGAGGCGGAAGTGTCATGGTGTGGGGTGCTTTCTGTGGCAATGCACGTTCCAGGCTTCTTGTCATCCGTGGCAACCTCAACGCTGCTGCTTACCGCGACCAGGTACTGGCACCAGAACTTCTGACCTTTTATGGCAGCAGATGGACCCGGTTTGACCTTCCAACACGACAATGCCAGACCCCACACAGCAATTTTGACAAGGAATTTCCTTCAGAATGCGGGAGTCAACGTCAAAGACTGGCCGTCAAGGTCTCCCGACCTCAATCCCATCGAACACGTCTGGGATGCTCTTGGCAGAAGTCTGCGCACTCTCCAGAACCAACCACAGAATTTGCAAGATCTTGGCACCATTTTGCAGCAACAATGGCGTCGTCTTCCCAATCATGTGTTCACAAGCATCACAAGGTCCATGCGGAGGCGTTGTGTGGCAGTTGTCAACGCACATGGTGGCCATACACGCTACTGAACTTGTGTGCCGTCAGATTCTCGTGCTTGGGACTTATGATTTAAACTGTTGATGTTATTACCGAATACCATAGGTGCTTGGAACAAATTATGGTTACCACCGTTAATTTAAATCCTTCTTTGGACATTAATGATTAAAAATTTTCTTCTCTGATACATTTGTCCGTTGTATATCGTATAAGAGATTACTTTTAAAAATGTGAAGTTTTTAATTTGACTCAGTATATTTCTCCTTTCCACACACAAATGTAAAACAACGCCAATGTGAAGTCTCTGTAAAGACTGAGGTCGGATTTACAGTGGAACTTCGTAGTTTGGTTCATTGAATGTAGAATACATAACTGAAATAGCAAAAGCTCTGTCGTGAATGTGATTTCAACGAATGGTTATTTTATTCACAACGCACGGTACTATATGTATATATATAGATGATGAGTATCCGGTATGATACCTCGTTTATCTAGTGAGTGAGTGAGTGAGTGAGTGAGTGAGTATGGTTTTACGACGCTTTTAGCAATATTCCAGCAATATCACGGCGGGGGAAACCAGAAATGGGCTTCACACATTGTACCCATGTCGGGAATCGAACCCGGGTCTTCGGCGTGACGAGCGAACGCTTTAACCACTAGGCTACCCGACCGCCCCCGTTTATCTAGTGTATTTTATATCCATTCTACTTTGATTTATTAAAATAGAATGACGATATAACCTGGACACTCTCTTTGATCTCGCCTCCCACCATGCTAGACATCTTCATTCACCAGTCTGTCTGATCTAAACATGCATATAGTCCTTCATTAATATTACTGTTCTATTTCTGATGATATGCCTTTTCACGGACTGTGTAAATCCCTTTCCTCTAATATCTTGATCTTATTGTTGTATGTTATTGAGTTATAGATGTTTACAACAGATTTAATAGCATTTCAGTATTTTATATACGATGTGTCCGCTTAGGTTTGAAAGAAAGACAAATATGGCTTTAGTCTTATAATCGTTCTATCACGAAAGCTGGCATAGAGCTGACAGGCTAAAGACTTTAATGAGGATAATTCTGTATTCGCACTCACGATCAACGGATCCTGGCACTGAAAAGGGACACAATTCTGAGAAGTGAAGTGCGGCGCCGTAAAGCACTTGGCCAACCAAGCCTCATACAGTTATTACAGAAACAGGACGAAATAGCAAAGTGAGCTTGTGTGAACCGTTTGTTACGCGTTACTTATCGAAACCTATACTGTCAACAACGTTGTTTGTTCGTTTGTTGTTTAACGCTGCACTCAGCAATATTCCAGCTATATGACGGAGGTCTGTATAAACTCGAGTCTGGACCAGATAATCCAGTGATTGACATCATGAGCATCGGTCCACGTATTTTGGAAACGATGACGTGCATCAACCAGGTCAGAGTTCCTGACCACCCGACCCCGTTATAGTCGCCTCTTACGACAAGTATGGGTTGCTGGAAACCAATTCTAACCCGAATCTTTATTGGTAATCAACAACGTTGTGATTAGACACGTGCCTTAGTGTGAGTGAGTGAGTATGGTTTTCCGCCGCTTTTAGCAATATTCCAGCAATATCACGGCGGGGGACACCAGAAATAGGCTTCACACATTGTACTCATGTGGGGAATCGAACCCGGGTCTTCGGCGTGACGGGCGAACACTTTAACCACTGGGCTACCCCACTACCCCTCATACCTTAGTAGATTGGCTGAATGAAAAGCAACAGTTGATGTGAAATAAAACAACACAGATGTGGTTCTTGAAGTTTCATTTTGATTTATAAACAAACATTGACATACATTAAAATTTGTTTCTTCTAAAAAGTTTGCTCAAACGACTAAAAAACGAGTTCGACCTCTGAACATTTTCGTTGTTTTCAGATGAATGGGCTGAGCTTGATATTACGTCGTCATTTGAGGACATATTACGTCGAGGGAGTTCATGATGGCACCCTTTGGGGATATTGTCCTTTCTATGACGCAACACACTGTTTGATTGTTGCACGTGATCCGAGCACGTGGTCTGGGAAAGTCCAACACCTTCGCCGCCTGCTACATGTGCAGGAAGTCCCTTTCCTTTCAACATGTCCACCTCCTTCACCAAGCCATACGCCTGCTCCCCGAGGGAGACTTTCTGGTCCGAGAGTTGTCTAACTTGTTTCTGAAGATGGAGGTTGTTCATGTCCAGAGAATGAATACGGAGTCCAGCATCTCGGAGGTCAGCGCGGAGACTGTTCGCCTCGGCCAGGACATCCTTTAGCTGCACGTGGAGCTCGTGCTCCTTGGCGTGTTTGTCCTCCTTAACACAGTCCCTCGGCTCGGGGCGGATGGGAGTTGGCTTGATTGTGGCAAACTTTGGAGCCGAATCATGAACGGCCAGGACATCCTTTAGCTGCACGTGGAGCTCGTGCTCCTTGGCGTGTTTGTCCTCCTGAACACAGTCCCTCGGCTCGGGGCGGATGGGAGTTGGCTTGATTGTGGCAAACTTTGGAGCCGAATCATGAAATTCTGAAATATATACAAATAGTAAATACATTACTCTTTCATACCTGACACTGTTTGACAAAATCATGTTTATGTAGTGAACTGAGTATTTTTTGACTGGTTGGGAAACACGCGGTCTTTGTGAACCCTGATTAAGGCAAATTGATAGAAACAAATTGGTTTCGGAATCAACGTTGATAGTTTACTTTAGATTCGAATATGTTTAAAATCTTATATCATAGAAAACCTACCTATTGGTTCTGTAGTAGCAAAACATTCCGCCACCTCGGGATCGAACCCCTCACATTCGGACTTCGACAGTCCGACGACCGGCATTTTGGTCTCCGCGAATGACTGGAAACAAGTATAGTATTTATATGAGATTTGAAAGATGTATTTTACTTGATCAAACAGGACCATGTATATAACAAATAGCTCAGGACAAATGGGGATTAGAACTGAAGTTCGATTTTCATGACATGACTTAATACATAATCAATACATTGTTGCATTATCTTACCTTTGAGACGCTTGTCGACTGTAGAATATTTCCGTAGCGGCATAAAACTCGAGAGACGTGATCCGTGTCTTGTTGCTGCTGCAGTATTGCTTAGACAATGACGGACAATAGCGTGACGTCATAATACTCATAGTGACGTCATAACTACCGAAACATCGGACGTTTCCGTTGCAGTACTTTCTGTCATTCGGCGAACCTCTGTACGTGGATGTTCTGAATGTATCACACAGTCCATCTTGATGAAATTTGGCTTGGAGAAAATATAAGTAAATAAAGAATAGGCAGTACATGTTAGGGCTTTCCCTCTCGCTGCAATGATGTATTGCTCTTCCATTCGTGACCAACTCATGTTATTCCGGGACAAGACGATATTGCAGGTTACGGAAAGGGGCGAGCGGTGACGAATGAGGGGGGCGAGTCATCTTGCAGGTTACGGAAAGGGGCGAGAGGTGACGAATGAGGGGGACGAGTCTTCTTGCAGGTTAGGAAAGGGGCGAGTGGTGACGAATGAGGGAGGCGAGTCTTCTTGCAGGTTACGGAAAGAGGCGAGTGGTGACGAATGTTGCTCTTCGTGCCTTTGCTTTACTTCATATTCATGCAGTGGTGGATCTGGGGGAGGGTTTGTTGGGGGTGTCGGGGAGAGGAAACCCCGCGGTTTTTTTAAATCCTGGATCCGTTCCTGTCATGTACACACTATGTTTCTGTGTCATTGGAACCATCATTAAGTAAACAAGACGGAAAAACAACAAGGAAATGTTTAAACAGTGATTGCAGATTGTATTTCATTGTTGTGATAATAATGCCTTGTGTTGCAAGCATTCAGCTGCGGTCAAAGGTAAGTAACTCTGTCGGACATATGTTTAAATCATCCACAGTTAATTCCCTTTGTTTGGGCATAATAAAATTGTGTAGATGACGGACCCTGTTATCAAACTCTCAGTGCTGATCTCACTACATTTGCATTTCACACCTCTACAATCTAATTTTTTAGGCAGAAGTATCTGAAGGCGAACCCAGGCTCCAACATACTGAAATATTATAGAGAAAAACAAATGTTTTATCCGTTGTACATTTACGAATGCTTCAAGCAAATATATATTTCGCATTCAGTCAGTTTATGCATTGCATTTATATTAATATTGCAAAACTTTGTGGTATCGAAGTGTCGATATTTTCAGAGGTGAATAGCAACAGAAGAAGTAATTAATCCGCTTTGCGGAATTAAAGATGAAAGTCCATCTAATGTCACGACATGTCGGGGGAAAACGATGACGAGTGTTTTGGAAGATCCGAATATATATATTCCTCTATTTCAAGATACATGTATATTTTCCATTTTAAGTTAAGATAGCTGAAACTTTTAATTGTTTTGTTTACTGCAGGTTGAACATCCGCTTCAATGGAAGTGAAATATGTCGTCAATATACTGCTGTGTAGAACATTAAATCTTTGACTCCACAAACAACATTTTATCAACGCATTTCAGGCCAAGAGTTGGTTAAACATCGCTGGATTAGAACGCGTTACTGAAATAAAAGTTCAAATCCTATCATCTCATTACTGTATGAATCACTGCTGTTTCTCCAGACTCGCCATTATTGTGTAATTTCAGGGGGCACGGGTTGCCCAGTCGTCTAAGGCGCCGCGATTCGCTGTGCAGAGTTGCGTCCCTTGGGTACGCCAGAAACCTATGATTGTGGGTTCGAATCCCGGTTCACCCCGATTATGTTTCTAGGTTTGTCAGCACCATACCGTGCTCGTGGGTTTCACCGAAGTGGTAAACGTCTAAGATCTGCATGGAATACTGTTAAAAGCGGCGTTAAACCCAACTCACTCACTCACTATTGTGTAATTTCATGATTCTTTTTTATCAACTTAGATTTACCAGTCCAGTAAATATGTTTTTACGGCAGGGACACCCATAAACCATTGCTGAATGCAATTCAAGTGTCGATGTCTTCTGAGAGATTAAAGACAAATGGCCATCTACTTCATGGCAGAGGACCCGTGAAGATCCGGCTAGAATTGGTCTTCAGCAACCCATGTTTGCCGTAAAAGGCGACTATGTTTGTTGTAAGAGGAGACTAACGGGATCGAGTGGTCAGGCTCGCTGACCTGGTTGATGCATGTCATTGATCCCAATTGCGTGGATCGGTGCTCATGATATCAATCACTGGATTGTCTGGTCCAGACTCGATTATTTACAAACCGCCGTCATATAGCTGGAATATTGCTGTGTGCGGCTTCAAAAACAAACCAACCAGCCAACATATGGTTACACGGTGGGGATCCTAACTGTGTCCAAGTTATAAAATACATGTATTGCTGAGTGCGGCGTTAAACAACAAACTCACTCACTCACTCATGGCAAAACAGGGTAGTGAGTGAGTGAGTATGGTTTTACGCCGCTTTTAGCAATATTCCAGCAATATCACGGCGGGGGACACCAGAAATGGGCTTCACACATTGTACCCATGTCGGGAATCGAACCCGGGTCTTCGGCGTGACGAGCGAACGCTTTAACCACTAGGCTACCCGACCGCCCCCCAAAACAGGGTAAGGCATATGGGCAAATGATGAAGGTTGTTATTCTGTCTTTTGACTGCAGATTGAGGAATCTATTTCGCACTGACACAGAGGAAAAGCGAGGACTTCCTCTTTAAAGGAAATAAAACGTTTCGTCAATCATCTGCTGTTGGAAAGCAAACATTTGACTCCACACACAACTTTGTGCTTTGTGCAAACGAAACCCCCCAGACGTTCATAGTTGCATGTATGGCGAAAGGTTGCATTAACTTTGCTGGTTTGGAGCACGCGTTATTGAAATAGAAGTTAAGAAAGCTGTTATTTTATGACAGTCTGATATAACTAATATGGTGTCCGAAACACGATGATCCGCTGGATTATTGTGGACCTATTCCCTAATATTGCTATATTGTGTGTACGGTTCGAAAGACACGGCGCTACAAATCCAATCAAGATTTATTCTATCATAATGTGCGAGTCTTGTTGAGCGTCAAAAGTAACTGGTATGGGAGATGGTGATAGTGACGTCACTTCCCAGATGAAGCTATGATATACAAAGCGAATGGGGCTAGGGTATTTTTCGTGATGGAGAGAGGGCGCATATACAACAGGATTTGACAAAGCGTATTCACTCAGTCAGTTGAACCGGAAGAGTTTCACACAATTGATTATATTCAGTTTCACTGTCAACATAGATATTAAATCATGCTTTGATCATATTCCCTGTTTAAACATGGACACATCTTATATTAGCAGAACATACTGAAATATTGTCGTTCCCTATATAATATTCGGAATATACATATTACTTTACGTTATTTCAACGGGCCATTTAACAAGTCTTAAAGGGGCACTGATCTAACGCAATTCCCCGGGACTGGTTGTTAGCTTTGTTATCGTTTTTTCCCAGTGAGTACCCGGATGTATAGCAAAAATCTAGACTAGTCCGCGACCTCTGCTGCGCCATTCGTAAGCGCATTAGTCACTTTTATGGATACCGGTAGTAATAAGGGCGTATGGTCACACTGATCAACAAAATGAAATACAGTTTTCGAGATAATAAGGAAATGTAGGTATCTTTGTGGGTAGCATCGGTAATGGTGACGAAGTTTTGATAAGTCACTTGCTTGGTAATTTAGCGATTTTCGTTTACACTATTTTTACTTGCAGCATAAAGTAAATATTTCACCTGAGCATTGCTTTTTTTATAGTGTGTATATTATTTTACTGTCAAAATGTGCAACATATTTATTAAACGTCTAAATATTCAGTTATTTTACAAATTGACTGAAAAACATTTCCATCTCTATTGTTATGATAACGAATTCCAAACATTTTGATGTTTAATGTCATCACCAAGAGACTGAAAATGTTACGTTGAAAAGTACATTTCTATGTTGTTTGGCTTCTAATCCTACATAATAATCTGTTGTGATGTTTGTAGGCCCTTTTGATAGTCTTAATCAATCTGGACAGATTTTTTAGTCAAAATGACTGACTGACTGACTGATATAGAAGATTTAACGTGCGCTTTCCGACGTATTTCGCACACGGCCCTGGCCGGACCATTTAGTGTATTCCGAAAAGGGTGAAAGTGGTGTGTGCAACCCAAGAGGGGGCTTTTAGGGGTTGCTTGTATTGAATTTTTGGAATTTTTAAATTTGGAATAAAGGACTGAAATATTTACACATTTTATATATTGCCTGAGAGAATCACATTTTACAAATTGACGGTAATATATACACGCTTACAAAGGAAAAGACCTGTGAAAACAACGTCTATCGCGCATTGAAGAATTTCCCAACCAAGACGTAGAGAAACAAGAACGAATTATCGGTTCAAATGAAGGAAAACAAAATGCAAATACCATAATTACAACCTACCAAATTTATGTGTATAAATTTTAGGCAGCTTCCTTGTTCGAGGAATGTATCCGTGAATATCCACACAAAGGAACAATATCCCACTCGTCTGCAGCTGTACAAAGAAACTTATTCGATGTCACGTGCCTCTGTAACAATCAAATATTTTAAAAGATATATATCGTTTCGGGATATTATAACCCGTGTTCGTTTCTCAACTGATCACTTGGATTGTTTCAGGTGTTTCACATAGGTGTCAAGTCTCAAGGGTCGGCTGAGAAAGCCCACGTGACAACTATTTTCATAACGTCCACGGTTCCTAAAACATCCATTGAGTGATAGATAACAATGATCAATCAATCAACGTATTATCAGTTAACCCTTTGAACAAAGTATGTTGTTTTTACATGGGCACTTCACGCCATGATATGAGTGTATTCCCTTTGTTTTAGTAAAACCTAGACATGTAAACACTCACTTTTGACATATCCACTGTGCAAGATAACAGTGATTAATCAATCAACATATTTTCTGGTAATCCTTTGATGACTAGGAACGATCCGTTGATATACACAAAAAGTAAATCAACTGATCATTCATCTCTTGCTGGGCTGCCACGTGCATATTACATAACACACATTTCACCTCACTTCAAACCTGGATTTAGATTGAATAATTACCCCAGACACAATAAATGCCAAATGGGAACCTTTTTAAGGTAATCTAAGTGGTGCTACCACTAATTGTACCTGTAATACATTCATTAACTGAGCATCAAGTGAATGACGACAAATACACAAGTGTAGGGGTTATACGAGAAAACGTGGATGACAAGGGAGTAGTAATCGTATTATCGACGCAAGCCGAAATCCGAAAATTCTTTCACTGCATGGATACTTTTTTTATTATTAAACTATAACCATCTGGGGTATTTCCAAATGACGACATCCGATGAGCTCCGCCGTTCTTTTTGTCTGTTTGTTTGGGCTGAAGAAATTAATTAACATGCGCCCTTTGTCGAAATCTTTATAGATCACAGTTAACCAATCAGTGTTTATGCAAAAATGCGTAAAACAAATATTGCCTCAAGCCTCCAAGTTTATTTAACTGTCCTTGCAGACGGTAGCCCAGTCTCTGGTCACGCTCAGTTGCGTTGCGTATCATCCGGGTACTCACGGGGGAAAAAACAATAACAAAGGCAACAACCAGTCCGGAGAATTGCGTTAGATCAGTGCCCCTTTAATTGCTTTGACGGAACTATTGTCACACAAGAGTTACCTCCCCGCAAATCATCCCCCTTTATTGTAAATGTCTTAAGCTCCTCGTGACTGGGAAAAAAGGAGATATTTTCATGAGGGGCCACTATTTTTGCAGGCATCAAGGTTACCAAGGTGACAAAGGTGACCTGGTATTCCCAGTCTTCCCAGTTACAATGTGCCACAGCTCCAGTGTTCCTAGTCACAATGTGCCACAGCTCCAGTGTTCCCTGTCACAATGTGCCACAGCTCCAATGTTCCCTGTCACAATGTGCCACGGCTCCAGTGTTCCTAGTCACAATGTGCCACAGCTCCAGTGTCCCTAGTCACATTGTGCCACAGCTCCAGTGTCCCTGTCACAATGTGCCACAGCTCCAGTGTTCCTAGTCACACTGTGCCACAGCTCCAGTGTTCCCCGCCACAATGTGCCACAGCTCCAGTGTTCCCAGCCACAATGTGCCACAGCTCCAGTGTTCCCTGTCACAATGTGCCACAGCTCCAATGTTCCCTGTCACAATGTGCCACGGCTCCAGTGTTCCTAGTCACAATGTGCCACAGCTCCAGTGTCCCTAGTCACATTGTGCCACAGCTCCAGTGTCCCTGTCACAATGTGCCACAGCTCCAGTGTCCCTGTCACAATGTGCCACAGCTCCATTGTTCCTAGTCACACTGTGCCACAGCTCCAGTGTTCCCAGTCACAACGTGCCACAGCTCCAGTGTTCCCAGCCACAATGTGCCACAGCTCCAGTGTTTCTAGTCACAATGTGCCACAGCTCCAGTGTCCCTGTCACAATGTGCCACAGCTCCAGTGTTCCTAGTCACAATGTGCCACAGCTCCAGTGTTCCTCGTCACAATGTGCCACAGCTCCAGTGTTCCTAGTCACAATGTGCCACAGCTCCAGTGTCCCTGTCACAATGTGCCACAGCTCCAGTGTTCCTAGTCACAATGTGCCACAGCTCCAGTGTCCCTGTCACAATGTGCCACAGCTCCAGTGTCCCTGTCACAATGTGCCACAGCTCCATTGTTCCTAGTCACAATGTGCCACAGCTCCAGTGTTCCTAGTCACAATGTGCCACAGCTCCAGTGTTCCTAGTCACAATGTGCCACAGCTCCAGTGTTCCTAGTCACAATGTGCCACAGCTCCAGTATCCACAATGTTCCCAGTCTCAAAACAAGGGCAGTTTATCCATGGCATGAATTTTTCTGAAATATTTTTTTCTAGTCAACCCATTATTCCATGCAACTGCAAAACTAATCATTATCAATGCGAACATACAACAAAACATATCGGATCATGTGATGTCATTTATTTCATGAACAATGGTGTTGATTGATGCTGAATGAATGAATGATCTTGAAAATAAACAAAGATGTATCAGTTGAAACTGTACAATGATCTTAGAGTCAAAACAAATTTGATTAACAAACCATCAAAACGGTTCACTTGACCTAACCTTCCTATCAAATATGAGTAAATAATTCAGAATAACCAACAAGCAAAAGAAATTCCAAATTCCATGTACAAAGTTACAAGCAAATGTCTCATAAGATGAGTGAGTGAGTGAGTGAGTTTGGTTTTATGTTGCTTTAAGCAATATTCCACCAGTATCACGGCGGGTGACACCAGAAATGGGCGCCTCACAAAATGAGTTCATAAGGGACGGAGCATCCATAATAATCAATTTCAAGTAGGTTATTCTGAAGAATTTGTTGTCATTTAACAAAAACAAAATGAGAGACATGTATCCACACTAACGAAACTATATATATACTGTAAATCTTGAAATTAAAGCGAGCGTGAATTAAATGCGAAAAATGCGAGTGGTCTTTGCTCGCATTTTTAAACATCACATTTATATCAACAATAGGACACTTTGGATAGCAAAAATATCAACTTAGACATACACCGATGTATTCCACACCACTGTTTATTGAGCAGCACTTGTATATAAAGTATATAAACAATGCCATTCAAACACTAATTACATCCTGTGAATTGTCACTGCTGGGGTAAGACAAGAGTTCTACTCACTTATGTCGTCACTGATCACACCTGCAATTCCAGACAGACGCCACCCTTTGTTCTTAGCAACTGCGTCAAAGGCCAACACGAGCCAGCGCTCATGTATTGTTTTTGCGGAAGTACTTTACTCAGCGCTAATAAGCGGTGCTATTTGGTGTGTAATTGGATTAATGTAAGATTGGATTAGGGTGAGGATTCTAAACCTGACTGAGGACATTTTCTTTAGATAGAAATCAACTGATGCTTGAGAGGAGGGGATGTTGTATTCATATTGAGTCGCATTTTTGGCTAGGGTCCAGTGGTCGCATTCTTTTGGAGACTCATTAATTTCACGATTTACAATATATATGATATATGGATATATGACAGTAACCATGGTAACACTATTGCCTAGAACAATGGATATTGTCAGTATTCTTACTGTGCCACAAATGCCGTGATATGAAATCATTTTGTTGGCAGTTACTTACAGAATAAACACAATTTACATTGAACAATACAGCATGTACCAGTATCTCATATGTCCTACTAAAGATATACCACAATAATCCAAATGAACAAGCAGAGGACCTGTCTGACTAGTGTCTCCAAGTTTATGGAAGACGTTATTGTTGAGAAAGTTCATTCACACAGTCACTGAAAGACAACTCCTGCAAGTACAAAAAGCCACAAGATAACACTGTTACAACCAATGTTGGCAGGTAGGTGAAAAACTTTGGCATTGGGATCATGAAAGTAGAAAGAAGTACAAAGCTACATTTTGTTTTTGTTATTTAGAAACCTTTTCATGAGGTCCACCTGGATCCCGTTCAATAAGTGCTACGATGAGAGTAACTCCCATTCTATCTCAGATCACCAGAGTGCCGAGTTGCCTTGTGATCTTTTGATTCTCTCTCTTCCTGTTTCTGTTCTATAATATATATCACGTCAATGCCAGAGAATAACCAGTCTCGATCATCCCCCGCAAGAGTGAGTGAGTGAGTGAGTTTGGTTTTACGCCGCTTTTAGCAATATTCCAGCAATATCACGGCGGGGGACACCACAAATGGGCTTCACACATTGTACCCATGTCGGGATTCGAACCCGGGTCTTCGGCGTGACAGGCGAACGCTTTAACCACTAGGCTACCCGACCGCCCCTCCCCCGCAAGAGATTCCATTGGGTGTAGAAGGCAAAATAGTGGGGAAAATTACATGAATGGATCACTGAAAATCAGTTTAGACACCAGGTGTTCAAACAAAGGGTAAGCATGCCCTGCCCTACTGGGAGCACCTGCCACTCACACAATGTGCACTCACAGAAAGTGCACAAAGCAATCTTAGTGGTATGACTCATACAGCACTCAGATTGTTTTGTAGTGGAACAGTCTCGGCCATTATCATAATCGTTATCATGATCAATATAATTTTCACAACAGGGAACAAAGACACTTCATGACACCTTCAATGGACATATTGCAATAAACAGTGTCAGTGAGACTCACAGGATGAAGCTGGAATAGTCATCACTCACTCACTCACTCACTCAGTGAGTGATGTGTATTCCAGCTTCATCCCGGCGTGTCAGCTAAACATGGCAGGAAAGCCTCAAAGTTATGCAGGTCTCAGATGTTTACAATGAATGGTGCTGACAAACCTAGAATCATAACCAGGGCAAACCAGGATTTGAACCCACAATCATAGGTTTTTGGCTTGCTCAAGCGACACAACTCAGCACACCTGTCCCTCCAAAAGAGAGAGTGAGTGAGTGAGTGAGTGAGTGAGTTGGGTTTAATTCCGCTTTTAACAGTATTCCAGTTATATCACGGCTTGTCAGCTTAATGTGGGAGGAAAGCCTGAAGTGATGCACGTTTACCACTTCGGTGAAACCCATGAGCACAGGTATGGTGCTCACAAATCTAGAAACATAATCAGGGCGAACCGTGATTCGAACCCACATTCATAGGTGTTCGGTGCGCCCAAGGGACGCAACTCTGCACATCAAATCACGTCACCTTAGACGACTTGGCCACCCGTGCCCTCTCCAAAAGAAAGATGTGAACAGAATATTCAAATATGTTTTCAAGATATCCATCAAAAGGCAATACTGGAATATACAAAATTAACAACAATAGAACTTTAATGTAATGCATTTTGTATTATCATGATGGTCATGTTATGATATTATCATATGATGGTCTCAATAATCAGTAAGCACTAACAAAGGCATGAGATTGTGAAAATGGAAGTCATCAAGGACATAGATTATCGGGTAAGGTTCTCTGATAAACAAAATATGGCCACATGAGTTATATTTTCTTAAAAAATATATATCAGCTCTCACTCAGGACCAACTTGTCACAAACAGAGAAAACAATCAGAGAAGGTAATCTGGACAAGAATATACAAGTATGAATGATCTCTATTCACAGAACCAACTTCACATTCTGTTACAATGGCGCCCAGCAGCAGACAGAGAACTTGGGACAGCAGTGTTTGACACAAACCAAACTTTGTCAGTGGGTCAAAGAAACAATTTCTAGTTCTGTTGGCTCTCTACTAGACACAATGGTCCTGACCTAAACGTGTTGTAATAGGTACCACTTCATTGTGCAATTAGACTGAGAAACCAGCCAAGAAGGTTACCACTGTTCCATGCAGGGTTGTTCGGGTGGCTGGTTCTGCCTCGAGTTTAGAGGTGGTCTGCTGCTTATTTCAAAAGTTTTACAACCTAAAATTGTTTTGTTCATTGCTCAAATACCACTAGACCACCGGACCAGCATTTATCTATTTGTACTGGTCCTTAAGAAAAAGTACTAGACTTGGACCAGCAGACAAGTGTTTGTGTCAAACACTGGACAGGGCACTGTGCTGTTGTACCTTCATGTATCAACAATAACGTACTCTCCCAAGGTCTTTCTACTACGTAAAGCACAGACTTAATCACATTTTGATTGAAACATACAGCACAGAATCTGGCATACAAGTGCCCTGCACATAATCACTTTCTTCAACCAGGTGTCTGATAACATGGATTCATCCAGGTGTGTCTGATACCATGGATTCATCCAGGTGTGTCTGATACCATGGATTCATCCAGGTGTGTCTGATAACATGGATTCATCCAGGTGTCTGATAACATGGATTCATCCAGGTGTCTGATAACATGGATTCAACCAGGTGTGTCTGTTAACATGGATTCATCCAGGTGTGTCTGTTAACATGGATTCATCCAGGTGTGTCTGATAACATAGATTCATCCAGGTGTGTCTGATACCATGGATTCATCCAGGTGTGTCTGATACCATGGATTCATCCAGGTGTCTGATAACATGGATTCATCCAGGTGTGTCTGATAACATGGATTCATCCAGGTGTCTGATAACATGGATTCATCCAGGTGTCTGATAACATGGATTCAACCAGGTGTGTCTGTTAACATGGATTCATCCAGGTGTGTCTGTTAACATGGATACCAACCAGGTGTGTCTGATAACATGGATTCATCCAGGTGTCTCTGATACCATGGATTCATCCAGGTGTGTCTGATACCATGGATTCATCCAGGTGTCTGATAACATGGATTCATCCAGGTGTGTCTGTTAACATGGATACCAACCAGGTGTGTCTGATAACATGGATTCATCCAGGTGTCTCTGATACCATGGATTCATCCAGGTGTCTGATAACATGGATTCATCCAGGTGTGTCTGATAACATGGATTCATCCAGGTGTCTGATAACATGGATTCATCCAGGTGTCTGATAACATGGATTCAACCAGGTGTGTCTGGTAACATGGATTCATCCAGGTGTGTCTGATAACATGGATTCATCCAGGTGTGTCTGATAACATGGATTCATCCAGGTGTCTGATACCATGGATTCATCCAGGTGTGTCTGATACCATGGATTCATCCAGGTGTGTCTGATACCATGGATTCATCCAGGTGTGTCTGATACCATGGATTCATCCAGGTGTGTCTGATAACATGGATTCATCCAGGTGTGTCTGATAACATGGATTCATCCAGGTGTGTCTGATAACATGGATTCATCCAGGTGTCTGATAACATGGATTCATCCAGGTGTATCTGATAACATGGATTCATCCAGGTGTCTGATACCATGGATTCATCCAGGTGTGTCTGATACCATGGATTCATCCAGGTGTGTCTGATACCATGGATTCATCCAGGTGTGTCTGATACCATGGATTCATCCAGGTGTGTCTGATACCATGGATTCATCCAGGTGTGTCTGATAACATGGATTCATCCAGGTGTGTCTGATAACATGGATTCATCCAGGTGTGTCTGATAACATGGATTCATCCAGGTGTCTGATAACATGGATTCATCCAGGTGTATCTGATAACATGGATTCATCCAGGTGTGATATACCAGTCATCATGTTGAGCAGATGGCCAAAAGACTATGGCACATGCTGACCAAGATATATTGTCATCTGTACACGCTGATTCCCCTTCGCTTCAACCAGGCCACTGCTTGATGCGATGTATTGACAGTGATAGGGAACTCAGTACATACAGTGAGCATTGTCTGGAGATTGTCTGGAGATCAAGATGGAGAGGGCATCAGTTTTAATACGAAACAAACAAACCACTTTCATACACATGTGGTACTTCATTACTAATAAATCCTTATTCTGTTACATTTTCATGTTGATAATACCTTCCTTGATCCATTCACTTCTGGCTCAAACACACATTGTTACAAGCTTTCACTTTCTAGTGACACACAATCTAACTTTCCTGGAATCATTCACTTCTGGCTCAACCACTCATTCTTACAAGCCTTCCCTCTCTACTGACAGAACATCTAACTTTCCTGGAATCATTCACTTCTGGCTCAACCACATAATGTTACAAGCTTTCCCTTTCTACTGACAGAACATCTAACTTTCCTGGAATCATTCACTTCTAACTTAGTCACACAGGTGCTATAGAGTTGTCTCCCTTTAAATGTTTCAATGACTTTGGCAGGCTTATAACATACACTGACTTTCACTTTTCACTTCGACAAAGACAACCGAAAACACCCAGACAACAATAAGTACCTCACAGTGTTATTTATCAGTGCAGTAAGGCAGCTCAGCGGATAGAGTGTTAGCTTGACACATCACAATCCAGCATTCTAATATCATTATGAGAAAAACATAATAAACTCCATTCATGTTCTCCCTTGCCAGCTTGTCACATCCCGACAATGCTGATATCTGACATAGACATTACTATTTATTACTCATCATGAAATCACCAGTGAACATAATGCATGATGATAATCCCCCAATGAGAAACTAGGGTTGTTTTGAGCGGATACATCACAAGGCGCACGTTCCTCACGTCAACTGTCTGTCTCCATGAACACTCTCCTAGTAGTTCAGAGAGTCACCGTTATCGTCTGTGCCTGGAACACCCCGGCATGTTACTGAGGAATCATTGTTACCGTCTGTCCCGAGAAGTCTGTTTGCTGGCTTCTCTTCTCCGCTTATTTAGCGGATTTCGAGGATCGTAAATTTCATATCTGTCCTCATCAGTTATATTGGCATCAATGACTTTCCTGGATTTGTCCTCAAAATGTAATTTGTGTCCCAACCTGCAAAAAGGAAGAGATACTGATTATTCAGAAAACACAGTTGACTCTACTAAATTCAGGACCTGTCACAGTTGACCCCTACTAAATTCAGGACCTGTCACAGTCGACCCCTACTCAAGTCAGAACCGGTCACAGTCGACCCCTATTAAATTCAGGACCTGTCACAGTGGACCCCTACTAAATTCAGGACCTGTCACAGTCGACCCCTACTAAATTCAGGACCTGTCACAGTCGACCCCTACTCAAGTCAGAACCGGTCGCAGTGGACCCCTACTAAATTCAGGACCTGTCACAGTCGACCCCTACTAAATTCAGGACCTGTCACAGTGGACCCCTACTAAATTCAGGACCTGTCACAGTCGACCCCTACTAAATTCAGGACCTGTCACAGTGGACCCCTACTAAATTCAGGACCTGTCACAGTGGACCCCTACTAAATTCAGGACCTGTCACAGTGGACCCCTACTAAATTCAGGACCTGTCACAGTGGACCCCTACTAAATTCAGGACCTGTCACAGTGGACCCCTACTAAATTCAGGACCTGTCACAGTGGACCCCTACCCAAATCAGGACCTGTCCCAGTGGACCCCTACTCAAGTCAGAACCGGTCACAGTGGACCCCTACTAAATTCAGAACCTGTCACAGTTGACCCCTACTAAATTCAGAACCTGTCACAGTTGACCCCTACTCAAGTCAGAACCGGTCACAGTCGACCCCTACTAAATTCAGGACCTGTCACAGTGGACCCCTACTAAATTCAGGACCTGTCACAGTCGACCCCTACTAAATTCAGGACCTGTCACAGTGGACTCTACTCTGTGGACCACCTGTGAAGATCCAAGGTAGGATAGGTCTTCAGTAACCCATGTTGCCATAAAAGGCGACTATGCTTGTTGTAAGAGATGATTGGGTGGTCAGACTTTGTTGATGCATGTCATCATATCCCAATTGCATGGATTGATGCTCATGATGTCAATCACTGGATTGTCTGGTCCAGACTCGATTATTTACAGACTGCCGTCATATAGCTGGAATATTGCTCAGTGCGTCGTTAAACAACAAACAAACATGAACGGACTTGGTTCATCCCTACTAAAATCAGGCTACGCACCAGGACATATCATCATCTTCCAGTTCTTCTTCTGCTTCTGCTTCTTTCTTCTCTTCCTCCATTTCCTCTTCATCATCGTCTGTAGCTAACTTCCTGACATTCTCAAGTTTATTCTGGAACTTGGCGAGCATGGCAAGTGTGTCTGCCTCCCGACTGGACCCCTTCTTGCTCTGCTTCTGTCGCAGGTCCTTGTACTTCTGCCGCTCCTGCTTGTACTCCTCCAGCATGTCCACCTTGGGCATCATCTCTGAAACACAGACCACGCACACTGACTGAAACACAGACCAGGCATAGTGACTGAAACATAGACCAGGCATAGTGACTGAAACATAGACCCTTCACACTGACTGAAACACAGACCGCGCACACTGACTGAAACACAGACCGCGCACACTGACTGAAACACAGACCACGCACACTGACTGAAACATAGACCAGGCATATAGACTGAAACACAGACCAGGCATAGAGACTGAAACACAGACCAGGCATATAGACTGAAACACAGACCACGCACACTGACTGAAACACAGACCAGGCATAGTGACTGAAACATAGACAACGCACACTGACTGAAACACAGACCAGGCATAGTGACTGAAACACAGACCAGGCATATAGACTGAAACATAGACCCTTCACACTGACTGAGACACAGACCAGGCATATAGACTGAAAAATAGACCCTGCACACTGACTGAAACACAGACCAGGCATATAGACTGAAACATAGACCAGGCATAGTGACTGAAACATAGACCGCGCACACTGACTGAAACACAGACCAGGCATATAGACTGAAACATAGACCCTTCACACTGACTGAAACATAGACCAGGCATATAGACTGAAACATAGTCCGCGCACACTGACTGAAACACACACCAGGCATAGTGACTGAAACATAGACCCTGCACACTGACTGAAACACAGACCAGGCATAGTGACTGAAACACAGACCAGGCATATAGACTGAAACATAGACCCTGCAGACTGACTGAAACAGATCAGGCATAGTGACTGAAACATAGACCGCGCACACTGACTGAAACACAGACCAGGCATAGTGACTGAAACACAGACCAGGCATATAGACTGAAACATAGACCCTTCACACTGACTGAAACATAGACCAGGCATATAGACTGAAACATAGACCCTGCACACTGACTGAAACACAGACCAGGCATATAGACTGAAACATAGACCAGGCATAGTGACTGAAACATAGACCCCGCACACTGACTGAAACACAGACCAGGCATAGAGACTGAAACATAGACCCTTCACACTGACTGAAACATAGACCAGGCTTATAGATTGAAACATAGACCAGGCTTATAGATTGAAACATAGACCAGGCATATACACTGAAACATAGACCAGGCTTATAGATTAAACACAGACCAGGCTTATAGACTGAAAAACAGGCCAGGCATATAGACTGAAACATAGACCAGGCATATAGACTGAAACATAGACCAGGCTTATAGATTGAAACACAGACCAGGCTTATAGACTGAAACACAGACCAGGCATATAGACTGAAACATAGACCAGGCATATAGACTGAAACATAGACCCTGCACACTGACTGAAACACAGACCAGGCATATAGACTGAAACATAGACCAGGCATAGTGACTGAAACATAGACCGCGCACACTGACTGAAACACAGACCAGGCATGGAGACTGAAACATAGACCCTTCACACTGACTGAAACATAGACCAGGCATATAGACTGAAACATAGACCAGGCTTATAGATTGAAACATAGACCAGGCTTATAGATTGAGGTGAGGTGAAATTGGGTTTAACGTCGCGTCCAATATTATTGCACTTATATAGCGACGTGCGTGCACGTGTATTTGTGTGTGTGGCTGCTTGTACTAGTCCGGACTGATGCCGATTTATAGTGCTAGCTCACTGAGATACCATGCCGCAGTTTAACATGAATACCCCACTCAGACACAGTATACTGACTCCGAGCCGACCAGTCCTTGTTTTAGCCCCTTAATGCCGAGCGCCAGACAGGGTAACAACAAGTACAATCTTTTAACGTCTTTTTGTATGACGCGGCCCGGGATCGAACCCTGGACCTCTACCACAAGACCACGGAGGCGGTCGGCTTATAGATTGAAACATAGACCAGGCATATACACTGAAACATAGACCAGGCTTATAGATTAAACACAGACCAGGCTTATAGACTGAAACACAGACCAGGCATATAGACTGAAACATAGACCAGGCATATAGACTGAAACATAGACCAGGCTTATAGATTGAAACACAGACCAGGCTTATAGACTGAAACACAGACCAGGCATATAGACTGAAACATAGACCGGGCATACAGATTGAAACACAGACCAGGCTTATAGAATGAAACATAGACCAGGCATATAGATTGAAACATAGACCAGGCATATAGACTGAAACATAGACCAGGCTTATATATTGAAACACAGACCAGGCATATAGACTGAAACATAGACCAGGCATGTAGACTGAAACATAGACCAGGCATATAGACTGAAACACAGACCAGGCATAGTGACTGACACACAGACCAGGCATAGTGACTGAAACACAGACCAGGCATAGTGACTGACTCACAGACCAGGCATAGTGACTGACTCACAGACCAGGCATAGTGACTGACTCATAGACCAGGCATAGTGACTGACTCACAGACCAGGCATAGTGACAGACACACAGACCAGACATAGTGACTGACACACAGACCAGGCATAGTGACTGACTCACAGACCAGGCATATAGACTGACACAGAGACCAGGCATAGTGACTGACTCACAGACCAGGCATAGTGACTGACTCACAGACCAGGCATATAGACTGACTAATAGACCATGCACACTGACTGAAACACAGACCGGGCACACTGACCACTGGGCTCGTGAAAAATAAATTGTAGAGAATGACAGTTGAGAGAATCTAGCATGAAGACCAAGCTCCTGTACCTATATCTGCTCCTTTCTTCCCTTTGTCTTTTGTGTCTTTTGTCTTTCCTTCAGACTTCACATCCTTCTTTGCTTCTTTTGGGTCTTCTTGTTTCTCCTGCTTTTCGTCTGTCTTTCTCTCACTCTTCCGTTTAGCTTCTGACAGTTCCTTTTGTAAATGCTTTGACTCCTTTTTCAGCTCCTCACTGAAACAAAAGGGTGAGGAAGTCATCTCATAAATGGGGAGGTGAGGTGAAATGGGGTTTAAACCCTGCGTCCAAGATTATTGCACTTATATAGCGACGTGCATGCACCTGTGTGAGTGTTCGGCTGCTTGTAATGCCAATTTAAAGTGATGCCAATTTATAGTGCTAGCACACTGAGATACCATGTCAGTATACTGACTTGTTTTAGCCCCTTAATGTCGAGCGCCAGACAGGGTAACAGGGTAACAGGGTAACAACAAGTACCATCTTTTAACCTCCTTTGGATGACCAAGATCATCATGATCAGAGGGGAATTGTAATTGTGAGAGTAAATCTTGGATCCCATGATCCTTGTAATTGTAAGAGTAACTCTTGGATCCCATGATCCTTGTTATTGAGAGAGTAACTCTTGGGTCCCATGATCCTTGTAATTATGAGAGTAACTCTTGGATCCCATGATCCTTGTAATTGTGAGAGTAACTCTTGGATCCCATGATCCTTGTCATTGCAAGAGTAACTCTTGGATCCCATGATCCTTGTAATTGTGAGAGTAACTCTTGGATCATATGATCCTTGTAATTGTGAGAGTAAATCTTGGGTCCCATGATCCTTGTAATTGTGAGAGTAACTCTTGGATCATATGATCCTTGTAATTGTGAGAGTAAATCTTGGATCCCATGATCCTTGAAACTGTGAGAGTAACTCTTGGATCCCATGATCCTTGTAATTGTGAGAGTAACTCTTGGATCCCATGATCCTTGTAATTGTGAGAGTAAATCTTGGATCCCATGATCCTTGTAATTATGAGAGTAACTCTTGGATCCCATGATCCTTGTAATTGTGAGAGTAACTCTTGGATCATATGATCCTTGTAATTGTGAGAGTAACTCTTGGATCCAATGATACTTGTTATTGCAAAGGTAACTCTTGGATCCCATGATCCTTGTAATTGTGAGAGTAACTCTTGGATCCCATGATCCTTGTAATTGCAAGAGTAACTCTTGGGTCCCATGATCCTTGTAATTGTGAGAGTAACTCTTGGATCCCATGATCCTTGTAATTGCGAGAGTAACTCTTGGATCATATGATCCTTGTAATTGTGAGAGTAAATCTTGGATCCCATGATCCTGGTAATTGTGAAAGTAACTCTTGGATCACATGATCCTTGTAATTGTGAGAGTAACTCTTGGATCCCATGATCCTTGAAACTGTGAGAGTAACTCTTGGATCCCATGATCCTTGTAATTGTGAGAGTAACTCTTGGATCCCATGATCCTTGTTATTGCAAAGGTAACTCTTGGATCCCATGATCCTTGTAATTGTGAGAATAACTCTTGGATCCCATGATCCTTGTAATTGTGAGAGTAACTCTTGGATCCCATGATCCTTGTAATTGCGAGAGTAACTCTTGGATCCCATGATCCTTGTAATTGTGAGAGTAACTCTTGGATCCCATGATCTTAGTGAGAATATATCTTAGGTTCCCAGCCGAAAACCAGCAGGTCCATGAAGCTACAAAAACACCCTGGTCAGCTAGTTGTGGTGTATCAAACAAGGGGCCTCCTGTGTTCCATCAGGGCATGATGACGTCACACGAGTCCGTTGAGCATCATCTTTATGTATCATTTCCACCTTGCATGTGTTGGGATCTTTCGTACAGAATTAAGAGAATATGGTGTAAACACTTGGTCAAATATTTGGTGATGGCTACTTACGGATTGTCTGGGCATTTAGTTCAGGTGATGTAACTGTCAAGCCAACAACAACTAATGGAGTAATTGCCTTCAACATAGAGAACCACAATAGTCATAAAACAGACTTGCAAAACAAGTCATCAAAAGATGACAAATCCTGCCCTACCTGCCCACACAACAGCAAAAGGGACCAAGTTTGGAAGAAAATTCTTTCACGGTTTTGAAGTTATGCTCCGGAAATGAAATACGGACAGTGAGTGAGTGAGTGAGTATGGTTTTACGCCGCTTTTAGCAATATTCCAGCAATATCACGGCCGGGGACACCAGAAATGGGCTTCACACATTGTACCCATGTCGGGAATCGAACCTGGGTCTTCGACGTGACGAGCGAACACTTTAACCACTAGGCTACCCGACCGCCCCGAAATACGGACAGATAGACGGAGGGACGGACAAATGATCACCATATCCCCCCATATTATATGTCGGGTGATGAGAAATGGAAGCATGTCCATCGCCAATAGTATAACTACTGACTACTACTGATGGAAACTAGGTCACCTGTTTGCTGGCTTTGGTTTTTCTGACTCTCTGTCGCTGTCTTCCTTTTTTCTGTCTTCTTTCTTCTTGTCTTCCTTCCCACCGACATCCTTCTTCTTGTCCATCTCATCTATCTTGAGTTTCTTCCTCACAACCTCTAATGACTTCTCTTTACTGTCATCGCCTGTGTCAGAGCCCTGGGGAAACAAGCCAGTACATCAGCTGGTGGTAATGGGGATGATGGGGATGTTGTGTGAGTGATTGTGTGGGTGGTTGTGTGGGTGATTGTGTGGGTGGTTGTGTGGATGGTTGTGAGTGATTGTGTGGGTGGTTGTGTGGGTGGTTGTGTGGGTGATTGTGTGGGTGATTGTGTGAGTGATTGTGTGGGTGGTTGTGTGGGTGATTGTGTGGGTGGTTGTGTGGATGGTTGTGTGAGTGGTTGTGTGGATGGTTGTGTGAGTGATTGTGTGGGTGGTTGTGTGGGTGATTGTGTGAGTGGTTGTGTAGGTGGTTGTGTGGGTGATTGTGTAGGTTGTTGTGTGGGTGGTTGTGTCAGTAATTGTGAGTGTTAGTGTGGCTGACTTGTTGATCAAGTGTTTTGAGGGAGTTTATGTGTGTGGTGAGGTGAAATGGGGTTTAACGTTGTGTCCAAGATTATTGCACTGTGTGCGTGTGTGCGTGCGTGCATGGGTGGGTGTGGATGGGTGTGTTTAACGTTGTGTCCAAGAATATTGCACTTATATACTTATAACCTTATATGCGTGCGTGCATGCATGCGTGCGTGCGTGCGTGCGTGAGTGTTGATAATATTAACAACAACAAGTGTATTTATATTGTGCCAGATTCCACTCACCAAGTGGATGCTCATACGCTTCACTATTATTACACGGTCAATGGATCAGTGAGCCCTTGATTTTCATGCTCAGCTCCCTGGGGAGTAATAATCAGTGATTTACAATTTGTGCATTGTTAAAGTATTAAGTCCAAATCATCTCAGGGCTAAGACTACTCTGCATCGCCCTCACCTCTGTTTCTCCGCCCGACTTTCTCTTTTTGCCGCCATCTGGTCTCTCATCTGTCTCCAGGGCTGGGACAGAACTCAGCCGAGGGTCGTCTATCAGATCATGGCTGCTTTTACTCTTTCCTCGCATCGTCTGGAAGGTCAAGAGTAGGTTGACTTCAATGAAGTTATTTGTGGGAATGAAATGTCAGATATTTTACTTCATTTTCTTTTCAAAATGATCATGAATTATGTGGAAGTTGAGCTCGTTATAACCGTAGTTTACTAATATTTTTCTTTTAACATCTTTTGGTATGATGCGGACAGGATTGAACCCCGGACCTTTCGCTTTCTGGGTGAAAACTTCAAAAAACAGAAAAACTGTCCATGAAGACTTTCACCATTCCTTCAAAGTTGCCGGTCCAGATTTACACTGGAATTATTTTTGCGAAGTTGTCTGTGAAATATTAATATAGGGTCATTTAACTCTAAATGCCACTCACAATATAAGTTCTTATCTTTTATTATATCCTCTAAATCTATAAAAAAAAACAAGGGCAAAAGTGAGCGTGGCTCACTAATACCCCCGACCCGTCTAGGGTGTCAGTAGTTTCAAATTAAATAATGGATAGGGTTAGGGTTTGAAAAATTCATTAAAAAAATGGAAAATTAATAAAAACAATTTTTTTCTTTTGACTGCACCCCTCCATATGACACAGATTATATGTACTAAGTTTGAGATGAATCCACTGAATAGTTTAAGAGAAATCGTGCAGACGAAGTATTTGGACGGACGGGCGAAGGGACAGACGGACGGATGGACGGACGGACGGACGGGGGTTTAAAAACCAGCTAGACCATCGGACATGCATGTCCTGACATGGACAGTATGGCATGGGTTTTGTAAACACAGATGACACCAATCTGAGACTGACAAGCCCATTAACTATGTCAGAGAGAATCAGTACTTTGCTGGTCAAATCAATATTAAAACAAAACAAAAGCAAATTCATTCTTATTTCATAGGCAAAGTACACATTCATAGAATCACATTGAAATATGTAACTGTGTTGTGTGTTAAAACTATGTATATTATAGTTGCAAACATCAGTATAGTGTAACTATTTAATTAAATACAATCAATTGATGTTACAACTATAACATACAAAGTTCTAAGACATGAATGTAAAAATAAGTAACAAAAATCAAAGGACTTTACAATTGATCCAGACTATTACAGTTACATTGCCTGACAACTCCCAGCCCCCTCACACAAAATGTCTGCTGCCAACCTTTGATGCTTTATCCGTCTGCTCCTCATCTTCCTCTGCCTCCTCCCCAAATGACAGCAAGCTGAAATTTCTGACAAAAAAAAGGAGGGTGTAATCAAGGCTGTTATAACTCTGTGACTTTGTGATTCCAAATGGATAAATCAGCAGAAAGTCAAATATGCTAACAATTGTATGAACATAAAATCAAATCGCAACCTAATATAGCCATCATTGGGTGAAACATACATAAGCTTCAGCTTTAATTTTCAGCCGTTTTAAGTGAGTGAATGAGTGAGCCGGGCTTTACACCCGCTATTAGCAATATTCCAGTAATATCATGGCATTCAGTGTGGTGAGCGAAAGCTTTAACCATGAGGCTACAGCACCACCACCTAGACATTTTAAAGGAGAACAAGTTTACAGATGATATGGATGTTTACCGCACAAGGTTTCAACACATTTTGACAGATTTTCCAAGGTTCCAACAATATACAGCATGCAAGGGGGAAGTAACGTGAATGTTGGTTGGTTGGTTGGTTTGTTGTTTAACGCCGCACTCAGCAATATTCCAGCTATATGACGGCGGTCTGTAAAAAATCGAGTCTGGACCAGACAATCCAGTGATTAATATCATGAGCATCGAACCATGCAATTGGGATGAATGACATGCATCAACCAAGTCAGCAAGCCTGACCACCCGATCCTGTTATTCGCCTTTTACGACAAGCATAGTCACCTTTTACGGCAAGCATGGGTTGCTGAAGACCTAGTCTATCCCGGATTCTTCACGGGTCTTGTGAATGCCTGAGAACTGAAATACTTCTGTGTCGTGACCAACAGTGACATGAAGTCATCGTATGTCTACCACTTCCGGTATGACGTGGCAGCTAGGGATGGGGGGTCCTGCTACGGAACAACATCTTTATTTATTCAAGCAGGATCAATCACAGCTTTCACTACTGTCAAAGGTGAGCAGTGAATGCCTTAAGGTGTAATGCGGGATAAGTGAAAAATGACTTCTTTTACTTCACCCACTTTGTGGCCTTGGATTTACTCTTGTGTTTCTTTGCTTCCTCTCCTTCTAGTTTTTTCTTCTTTAGGACTCTCGGTTCAATGTCATCAAACGGGTTGGAGAGGATCTGAGACAAAATGCCAAACACTAGAACGACTTTCAAACTTTGTATTGAGTGACGGAGTGAGTATGGTTTTACGCCGCTTTTAGCAATATTCCTGGGGACACCAGAAATGGGCTTCACACATTGTGCCCATGTCGGGAATCAAACCCGGGTCTTCGGCGTGACGAGCGAACGCTTTAACCACTAGGCTACCCACCCGCCCCACACACTTTGTATTGAAAATACCCATCCCTCAGTTTAACAAAACAATATAAACCACACATTTAATCTTACTTAAAATAGGCCATTTAATAATGAATCTAATATGTTGTTAGTTTGTTTTTTAACTCTGCAATATTCCCGCTATATGATGACAGCCTGAAATTAATTGTGTCTGGACCAGACAATCCGGAGATGGATGTTGTGAGCAATGATCCATGGTGTCAGGATACCAGGACATGCTATCAACCAAGTCACTGAGTCTGACCACCCAGTCCATTTAGTCAACTTTTACAACCAACATAAGACCTGTGAAGATCCGGGGTGGAATAGGTCTTCAGAAACCCATGCTTGCCGTAAAAGGCTACTACGCTTGTTGTACGAGCCGATAACGGGATTGAGTGGTCAGACTCGCTGACTTGGTTGATGCATGCAGCATGTCATTCATCCCAATTGCATGGTTCGATGCTCATGATATCGATCACTGGATTGTCTGGTCCAGACTCGATTATTTACAGACCGCCGTCATTTAGCTGGAATATTGCTGAGTGTAACATTAAACAACAAACCAACCAACTAAAAACCAACATAGGTTGTTGGGGACCAATTCTAACCCAGAATTTTCTGTCTGCTTGGGCAGTGATGGCTGCATATTGTACAGATCCGTGTATAAAAGTTACCACTGTGATAATTCCTCCACCAGGGAGAGAGAACAACAACTGGATAATAATGGATAAATATATGTTAAAAAGAATTGAGTGAGTGAGTGAGTTGGGTTTAACGCCGCTTTTAACAGTATTCCAGTTATATCACGGCGTGTCAGCTTAATGTGGGAGGAAAGCCCGAAGTGATGCAGGTCTCAGACGTTTACCACTTTGGTGAAACCCACGAGCACGGGTATGGTGCTGACAAACCTAGGAACATAATCTGGGCAAACCGGGATTCGAACCAACAATCATAGGTTTCTGGCATGTCCAAGGGACGCAACTCTGCACAGCGAATCGCGGCGCCTTAGACGACTGGGCCACCCTTGCCCCCTGTTAAAAAGAAAGTAAATGGTAACATGAATATTTTTTTAGATAAGTACTGTTAGTACAAACTGTCTCCTCCTATTATAAATACTGCATATTAACACTACCTCTCCCTTGAGAATCTTGTGTGGGTAAAGAGGTCGTTCATTGCCATCAGTCTCTACATCTTGTAGTTTGATCATGTTAAACAGTGTGTTACCTGCGACCTGAAGCAACAAATTAAAAAATTGAATAATTCAGAGCAATGCAAATAATCTATAATAAATGATAACATCCATCACATTTGACATTTTGGCTAGACAACAGCTGAGATAAGTTTGAGTTTACTAAAAGTATTATGAAGGCATTCTATTGTTTTAATCGGTCACAGATGCACAAGGCAAAACCTGTGCTTGATTGTGTGAACACTGAACAAGAGTGAGTCAGTGAGTTGGGTGAAGTGTTTAACAGTATTCCAGTTATATCACGGTGTGTCAGCTTAATGTGGGAGGAAAGCCTGAAGTGATGCAGGTCTCATCCATTTACCACTTGGTGAAACCCACAAGCAGGGGTATGGTGCTGACAAACCTTCAAACATAATCAGGGCGAACAGGGAATCGAACCCATGCTCATAGGTTTCTGGCTTGCCAAAGGGATAGAACTCTGCACAGTAAATTGCGTCGGCTTAGAGTTAGACAACTGGTCACCTGTGCCCCCACAATGAACATGAACAATTGGAGTACAATGGCACAGCTGAAAGATGATCTGCCTTGACAGTCATCCATACCAGCATTATTCATACCATGCAGCCATTGTGACCATGTAATCCACATTTCACTCATCCCTTAGGAATGGGATATCAGGCAATCTCATTAAAATCAGATCTTAGTTCTCGCTACCGCCAGACAAAGATCTGAGGACATCCCATTACAGGTCACGTCAGACCAACCTTGCGCGAGCTTTGACCGACTAATGGAATGACCAGTCAGAAGGCAGCTCTCTTGTGCTTTACGGCACAAATTTCAAATTGGCGACTACGCTTCGAATCATATTTTAACAAATTCTCGATTACAAATTTGAAACCTGAACAAAAAGAACATTCTGGAATGGCTAATAGATGGTCTAGATTGTATGAATTCAGTCGTTAAGCCCGTAATTATCGTTCGGAATACCCCGTGTTAAAGTTTTCGAGATTGCATGATTAGAAATCACATTCCGACTGTCACTTTCATAATCTGGTAAGCCACGCACTGATTGGTCGGATGAAAGGTCGTTCTGACAAGATAATGGGATGTCTTCAGATCTTTGTTTAGCGGTAGCAAGAACTAAGGCCTGATTTTAATGAGATTGGGTATCAGGGATCTCTGACAAACAGTCATAGGAAAACTAAAAGGATTGTGTTATCAAACAATTTACCAAATGATTAAATGAGTGAGTGAGTTTATGCTTTACGTCACATCGGCAATATTTCAACCATATCTTGACGAGCCGAATGATTAAAAGAGCGAGTGAGTGAATTTGGTTTAACACAGTTTTGAACAGTATTCCAGATATATGACGGTGTGTTAGCTTGATGTGGGAGGAAATCCTGAAGTGAATGATTAAAAGAAGTGAAATTAAATACATAATAACCTTTCCAAATATGGTGTGTTTCTTATAGAGCTCTGGAGCTGGGCCTAAAGTGAAGAAGAACTGACTGCCATTATCATTGGCACCAGCATTTGCCATAGCAACCAGACCTCTACGAACAAATCGCAAACGGGAATGAACTTCATCCTGAAACAAAAATCATTACCCTTAACATCTGTAGTTTCAGAACCACTGTAATAAAACCATATTGCTGTTTGTTGTTTAACGCCGCACTCAGCAATATTTCAGCTATATGACAACGGCCTGTAAGAATCGAGTCTGGACCAGGCAATCCAGTGATTGACATCATGAGCATCAACCTATGCAATTGGGATACGATGACATGCACCAACTTAGTCAGCGAGCTTGACCACACAATCCAGTTAAGTGCCTCCTACAACAAACATGGGTTACTGAAGACCAATTCTTACACAGATCTTCACAGGGGTGATATGGTGTAACTTTTTTCTAAACTAAACCTCACAAGAACAAGATATGTAGATCTCCACCTTGATGAGACATGGATTCTGAGTAGGATAAATACATGATTGTTCACAATATGAACTCTTTAATCAGTAGGCGATGCCTCTAATTAGCGTACATGGTGGAACTAAATTCCACTTGAAAGTGGTGCATTGTGTTAGTCCATGTTAGTCAGAAGTCAGTGAAGCAAATGCACAATCCAAAGATCTGAAAGTTTATCACCATTGTAACCCTGACATACTGAACCATATCAGGTTACCGTATTCAACATAATAAGCGCCCCGCTCTAATAAGCACCCCACGGCGATATTTGCTAATATATTGGCTAATGAACAATCCCAATAAGCACCCCTTCCGATTGATCAATGTACACAAGACTTATTTATTGACTCATATTCACTCGTGTGTTAAATGTACTCTTAATTATGGGCAATTAAATTCTGAAAAAATATATCTGTCGTATATAAACAGTCAGGCCGTCAGCATAAACCACCAAATTTATCTTTCAACTCTGTTTTTTCCACCAAAATTATATTCTAATAAGAGCCCCCCATTTCTTATTTTGAGAGCGCCCTGGGCGCTTTTTATGCCGAATACGGTAATTCCTTTTCAAAAGTTTATTTTGTACATGTTGTAAGAGTTGAAAAACAGTACATTTTATCACATTTTCACTGTTTTTTAGTTCAAAGTTAAAATAAAAATCATTTTTCTTAGAATATGTCTTATTGTTTTCAACATATATCATATGCATCCATTTCACCAAAACCATAATGGTCCTGCAATTCCATGCTATATAGAGGCATCCCTGACGGCTATTATCCAATGAAAAGGCTTTAAATTTCAAATTTATGAAGTGTAGGATTGATTAACACTGCTGTAGGATAAATATATTACAAAATAATTTTCTCTCGTAATGCAAATAGGTAAACATATACAATGATATACATATATAAACAGAAATAAAAATGTTTGTTTAATTGTCGTTTAATGCCTCACTCAGCAATATTCCAGCGGGCTGTAAATAATCGTGTCTGAACCAACAATCCAGTGATTGATATTATGAGCATCGATCAAACCGAGCCAATCCCATTAGTTGCGTCTTATGACAAGCATAGTCGCCTTTTACGGCAAGCATGGTCGCTGAAGACCTATTCTACACTGGATCTTCAAAGGTCAAACAAATATTTGGTCTGTATCTGAACATGTGACTCAACACATCCAATAACAAGTCATCAGAATAAAAATATTGGACCTTTAGAACTAAATACATTTTCTAGACTTGGACCAACTAAACAAATCCTCATTCTGTGGAACAGAAGCACCCAGTGAGACCATGCTTCAATTCAATCATTTTAAAATTGTGGAAAAACCTTGATCCGGCCACATTGGTGAAAAACTGTACGATGTGATAAGTTCTTCACCTTAAATGGTTCTCCATATATGGATTCACCTCCTTCACCAGTTCCTGTGGGGTCACCTCCCTGGACTATGAAGTCCTTGACTAAACGGTGAAAGATTGTCCCATCGTAGTATCCCTCCATCAACAACTGAACAAAATTCCGGCATGCCTTGGGAGCCTCTTTTGACCATAGCTCTATATCAATATCACCAACAGTTGTTGACAGCAAAACCTGAAACACAAAAAGACATGAAGTAAATATTCCCCATAAGCATTCTAGTAAGGGTGAAAATATGATGTGATGTCACCCATTGTTCATGATCGACAGGATGATTTTAGTAAAATATCATAATGCATAGTCCCAACAGAGTTCAGAAACTGGTCAAAATTGCTCTAAATATTTAAACACTTAACTAAGATGAATGAATAAATTTCAATACTGCACTCCTGCAGTAACCAGTATTAACATGATTACAGCTAAAGCATATCACATCAGCCTGTACAGCGTTAGAAACTAACAGTTTTCGTCCACTAGTCCTTATAATGATAACATATAGCAAGACCCTTATAAATGGCAATTTTCTACTAGTCCTTATGATACCTTTACCATTGGGCAGTTTGGCAAGGACTATAGGACTAGTGCCAATTTCTAACCCTGCTGTAAATAAGTCAATTTGGATCAGACAAACCAATGGTCAATGGCATGAGTAATGATCTTTCCTGTATAGAGACACTGATTCACAAGCCAGGTCACACATTGTAATTTTAGTCAGCTTTCACAGACAAATGAACAAAAATATAAGCAAGAGGTCCTTTCATTTTGTTTCTTAGACATGGTGTTATTTTGGGAGAGGAAACAAATGCAATTACGCACTTAACAGTAATGGCAAGATCATTGAAGCAATTAGTGAGACAGCAGGGGGCTCTACAATCACAGCAAGTACCGGGCATTGTGCAAACCAGCATATAGTACTGCCAGCAATAGTCACAGTGGCAATTGAGGTGAGATGGGGTTTAGTGTGTGTGAGTGTGTGTGTGTGTGTGTGTGTGTGTGTGTGTGTGTGTGTGTGTGTGTGTGTGTGTGTGTGTGTGTGTGTGTGTGTGTGTGTGTAATACCTCAGTTTTAACATAGATTACCCACTCTGACACAGTTTACCTGTATAATGATCACAAGCTGACCAGTCCTTGTTTTATCCCCATAATGCTGAGCGCCACACTGGAGAACAACAACTAGATCTACCATACTTTAATGTCTATTTAGTATGATTCGGACGGGGATCTAACCACCAACCTTCTGCTCTCCAGCTCTATCCACTAGACTACGATTACAAGGAAATTACATAAGGAATCACACATAGACAACTCAAAATTATAATTTTGAGGAGGACTACTTCTTCAGTACTGCATACTTGTACCCCCATCTTCCCGAGGCAAGAGAGTTAACTGACTTTAAAAAGTCCAGTTTCCACCCTTGCCGAACTAGGCTGGAATTCCTGGGCTCTATCGTACCGCCACCAGTGGCTACTACGAGTGATGTCCCTTCTGAGCCTCTCCTTTAGACCAATCAGATTCCACCTCTCGTATCACTTGCATTTGCTTGAAACAAAACAGTGGTGCCCAGTCAAGACGATCTGATCGATAATCAAGGTCTATGTTGCGATAAAACGAGTCTTACATCGCGCAATGCGTGAGCACCTTGATTAAAAACATGAAAAGATTTGGAAAATATCTGTTGACAACGAGTTGGCTGTGCACATGCTTTGCAAATCCTGCAATCGACCAAAATCTGCAGGAGAGTTTACGAACCGGATTTCGATGCACGATTTTGATTGGACTATGCATAGACTCGTTAGTCCAGCCAAAATGTAACTCCATAATACCAGCCTAGTTCGGCAAGGGTGGAAACTTGGCTTTTTTAGTCAGTTAACTCCCTTGCCTTGGGAAGATGTTGTACCCCATACTGAAACAAAATTCCAATCTGTTGAGTGTATGACCTGTCTCATTGAGTGTCATCATCCCTTGGCATTTAAATGCATGCAGAGCATACCACTGCTTTGATTCCCACTAATCATTTACAGGCTACCACAATCCACATTCTGCGTAAAACATAAAACATCAATCACCAGTCACTCACTCACTCAACACCACTCCAGTCGATAGACATATTTGTGTCTTGTGTCTCCTGAAAATGACATACCTTTCCATGAGTAGGAGGTTCTTGGATATAGATGTTACTCATGATTAAAATGTGTGAATGCGACTAAGTTCTACAGTGTATCAGAAGAATACGCGTATTGTAGATCAACAACTGCTACCGGCTTTCTTTTCCATGGACGCAGCCATTTTGTCTAGTGAATACTAGTGGTAAAATAACTAAGAGTATTATTTATCAAACGCACATAATTTTATAACAACATTAAATAATTAAAGATGTAAAAAGTATTATACATACATTAATATTGTAAATTAGTGTTTCTACAAATTCTTCAATGTTTTTGATATTATTACTGTATTGATATATTTATCGACCCTACCGAACCATTTTCACAATCTCGTGTAAATCTCGACAGTGAACGAGACCTGTCATGGCTGTATGAAAGGTGAATGAAAGGGAACTAGGCTCTGACCAACTTCGAGTTTAAAGACATTTCACAACAACCACTTGTCATCTGGAAGTGATAGTATAAACTTTGATCGTATCGGCATGTAAACAGTGTCAACTGCGATTTATGACGTGCTCAAATCAGACAAAGGGTGCACATATTTTGGGGATCGCAACAACTGCACATGATGGGCTTTTTTTAATTCATCATGTTAATTACGCTAAGGATATAAAGTTTTTGAAACATTTATAAACTATGAAAGAGAATAATCTTTAAACTGATGTCTTGTTACAAATGTGAGAAGTAAAACCTTGGTACTGAACAGTTCACTTGCCACTGCCGAACAAAACCCTCAGTTTATCAAGATCTTGATGACTGACAAGTTGAATGTGAAGTTGACGTTTTAGGCCTCTGATATTTCTGCATGAGATAGCGATAAGATAAACTTTTGTCCATACCACAATTAAGCATTTGAAATATGTTGAAACAGACAAATGTTGATTTTGTAAAGTTTGAAAAGCTTGGGGAATATCCATGTAGGACCATGGCATACATTTGCAAATTGTGTTGTATGTGTGCATTTAGATTTCTAGAATACCATTTTCTTAAAAATTGTGTTTCGCAAATAAATACTTTACTGCGAATGACATTATCAAATCTTACACAAATGGTAAATTGCATGTTACAATTGAAAATATTATTCTAGATGTAGGCCTAACATTTCTTTTATGGTTGAAAACAGAATCAGCCCAGCAAGAATTATATAGGTCCTATAGTAAATGGAAAGGAAAGTCAAATGTTCATAGATCTGTGTTTGAAAATAATGCACAGTGATGTGTTTATTCCATGAAAGATTAGTAATGTGTATAAAGAATACTGTTGAGGCCTAGTCTTTTTCCAATCATAGCAATTACACTTTTTATTTTATTGAATGATCTAAAGTAAATAACTTACTCTATGGTGCATGTGAGGTGTGTCAGTGAACCAGGAAGTCCAGAACTTGACTCACCATTTTAATGATGATTTGATAGGCTGTTGTGAAAAATATTAGTTATTGGCTAAATAAGCCTTTATGATTACGAGAATGTTAGGCTTTGTTTTGTTATTTCAAGGTTAAAGCCAATATAAGGTACAGGAGTAGGATACAGCCACTGGTCTGTTAGTCCGAGACAAGTGAAAATCTAGAGGGACTCGTCATTATCTCCCTAACTGTAATTTTACATCATCCATTATTCCTGAAGTAAGCTGTGGACAAGTTGGATATGACCATTGGCATGTACCTCCTCACGAAGCAGTTAATGTTCTTTACAAGCCGGATTAAATTTTATATTGGGGGAGATAACATGTCACCTGGTTATCTTTCAAAGTGATGTCGTAATTATCTTAGTCTGATATAAGACATTTCTTGTAGCTTGAGATAATGCTGTGACTTTTGGGTTAGTCTGTAACAGATTGTGTTATTTACCAAGAAGCAATTTTTGCCAAGGTTTCCGAAAAAATGAGGTCCCCTCGGACTTGTTATTCGCAGAAGCCGCAGTTGCGAAGCTATCTTGGGGGTTTGGGTGCATGCCCCCACCCCTCCCTTAATCATACAAAAAAGAGAAAAGTTCCTTTATGTGATAAACCTACACTCACAGTGTGGTCACTGGAGCAGAAATGGAATAGGGCGATCAGAGCCTCGTAAGCTTGGGGGTTATTGGCTATTGTTTTCAAACAAACCTTCAGAACGGTCAACGGCCTTTCCCTTTAATGTACTGTCAGCAAATCAGTGTACCATATTCACCATATTAAGTGCCCTGTTGCTATAAATGCCCCATGATCAACTTATGACATGTCTGTAACGCCCTGTATAAAGTAGACACAATTTAGGACAACAGCTTCTATATTTCCTCAAAAGGCGACATTTAGGTATAGATCCTTATCCTGTTGTCAAGCAAGTTCATAAACTGTGTCTTCTTTGTCATCAGTCAACTTCTAAGTAATGCCTATCAAACTATGCCCCTGAATAATACAGAAAATTTACACGACGGTCCATATTTTCTTGTGTATGTTACACATTTTTTACATAAAATAGCAGCTTAGGAGGGGTATATAATTGCCAAGTGACTATATATTATCGAAAAGGTCAATGTTTGAACTAAGATTGTTCACTCCTGCTTGATCTCTGAAAACAAATTTAATTAATTGTGTATGGTTTTGATAGGCGCCACCATTTGTCAATTTTCCAAGCACCCAGGGTTCTTATTATGGTGAATACAGTATTTGTCAATTTTGTCATTTGTCAATTTTCTAAGCACCCAGGGTGCTTATTGCGGCAAATACAGTATTTGTTCAGCATTATCAATGAATAGAGTTAGGATATTTGCCTGTATACATTAAATGAATTTCTGGGTAACATTAAATTGCATTAATGTTGACCAACAAAAGAACATGATTTTCCAAGTTGAGGACATACTGACATGGGTGAAAATATTAACCCTGAAATGTTCCTGTTACAGATTGCCTGTCAGAGAGATTAATTTCATGTTCATTGTATCCAAGCTGCAAGTAGTCAGATAGTCGGCAAGATGGAATTCTCTGCTGCAAATGTGGAGCAGGTTGGTTCCTTCTATTCATGGAAATTCAGTGGTAGAGTACCCTCTTCTTATCTTCATGTCACATGATGCAACTCAAAGTAAAATGGTGTCAGGTCACAATAGCTGATTAGTGTTGTTGGGATTGGTAACAGCATTAAAACACTCCTTTCACCTGTCCTTTTTGTCTAAGCTGGATTACCTCAGAAGCCTTTATTATAAATATGTCATCGTATCCCAATTTCGTCACGATATGGCTGAAATATTGCCGATGTGACGTAAAGCTTTAACTCACTCACTCGTATCCCACTTACGTGGATCGATGCTCATGATGTCAATCACTGGATTGTCTGGTCCAGACTCGATTATTTATAGACTGCTGTCATATAGCTGGAATAATGTTGAGTGCGGCGTTAAACAACAAACAAATAAACCCAACATTATAAATAGCTGTAATATGTAACTATGACACACAGTACCCACTTTTGACAGGAGCATGTCACTTTTCTTCAGGGTAGCGTATCACATAGAATCAGTGAAAATGTTTTTTTCAAATCTTTCTACATATTCTGTTGAAGAAGAGGCAATCAACTTACTGGTTAGATTGTAACATTATGGGTCTTGTTAACACTTCGATTCCCTTGAGAAAAACTGAAAAATATGCAAATATTTTGTGACGTGTTTATCGTGAAGTATGACAACAAAAGTACCTACACATATGCTTAACAGTTTGAGTGCATGTATTTTACTGATACATCTGCACCAACATTAGTGAGACAATCCATTTATCATGATGATGTTCTCATAATAACATAAGACCTGTGAAGATCCGGGGTTGAATAGGTCTTCAGCTATCCATGCTTGCCGTAAAAGGCGACTATGCTTGTCTTAAGAGGCGATTAACATCATCGGGTGGTCAGGCTTGCTGATTTGGTTGATGCATTTCATCGTATCCCAATTGCGTGGATAGATGATGTCAATCACTGGTCCAGACTCGATTATTTATAGACCATCATGTAGCTGGAATATTGCTGAGTGCGGCGTTAAACAACAATTGAACAAAAACATAATATAATACTATCAAATACAAGATAAATATTCTGATAACCATCTATACCACATATGTTAAATGTAGAATATTCTATTCTATTCAGCATCCTTGGATGTTGGAAGGAAATACATTGCTGATGTTGATGTTGAAAATAAACATCCTCCATGATCGTGATAGGTGTTTTTGTTGACCGTCCCATGTGTTTATTTCTGCAGGCAGTGCAGCAGTTTTACTGCAATGCCAGTCTTCAGCATGAAGTTCACCAGTGGCTTAACTCCGCACAGATCTCGCCTGAAGCCTGGTCATTTTGTTTTGAACTGTTGGCACCAGAAAAAGTAATATATGTTACCGATTTGTTTCCTAAGCCAGAAAAGAAACAGAAAAATATTTTTTACTTATTCTGCTAAACCAGAAACAAAAGAAAAAAATGACCTTATGTGTTTGTAAACCCACAAAATAAGATATGTATTTTTATTTCTTTTAAACCATTAAAATGAAATGTAGTTATTTAACAAAGTTGATCAAATTTCAAATCCTATTTAATGTTTTTAACAGTGTCACCATTAAGTGTTTCTCCTGAAGATCCCATATCTAATTTCAGGGCCCAGAAGTTCAGTTCTTTGGTGCCAGCAGTCTTCATGCAAAAATTTCCAGATACTGGTAAGAATTAGTTTGGTTCACAGCTGAGATCCTTCTTGTCAAGACTTCAAGAAAACGATATGGTTCATAATAAAAAAAAATCAGGGCGGTGGGGTAGCCTAGTGGTTAGAGTCTTCACTTGTCACACAGAAGGCCTGGGTTTGATTCCCCACATGGGTACAATGTGTATAGCCCATTTCTGTTACTGGCATGACATTGCTGGAATATTGCTGTCGAGCAACATAAACGCCACACCCAACCACCCACACATAACTGATGGCTGTGATGTGACTGACATGGTGTTATACCAGAGCTCCAGATAAGCTGCGTATCTGCCTAAAATACGCATCAGAAATGCAGAAATACGCATTAAAATTAAATCCAAGCTTATCAAATACGCAACGAACATTACAGATACGCTACAAAAATAAAACTTGTGCATATCATCAAAATATTGTGAAGTAACCCTGCGTATTCGCTTAGCAAACCAGCAACTTAATTTGAAATTATAAACAGGCATTCCGTCAACCTTGCCAAACTCAACGATGACAGGTGCATCATGATCAGTTGCCATCACACTTTCTTATGGAAGTATCAAAGCATTCAAACCCACAGGACACCAGTTTACAAGGACTTGATGAATAGTGTTTTGAAATATTTAACTTAAATACCCACATGTGTAAAAACTAGTGGGTAACAGAAATTTGAATACCCAGATAGAATTACTGATACCCAATGATTTTAAAATGCATGGGTAAAATACCCACAACACCAAAAGCTCATCTGGAGCTCTGTATATGTTTTTTCACAGCGATGTATTTGTGATGTGAGGAGTTATTTGTGTTGTGAGTGCTGCAGCTCACCTGGTACCGTTATGTTGAAGGCATGAAGTCCCATCCAACCAATATCTCACACTGAAACAGAAGCTGTTAGAGAAGATCATACAGTTTGCTAATGGGCCCAAGATGATCCAAACAAGGCTGTGTGTTGCTGTAAGTAGACAAATCCTTTGCACTTATTTTATCAGCAAAAGTAAATCATGATTCAATAAATCTCTTGGGGAGACCGGGGTGCATTGGGACAAAATTTGTATTATCCAGTCCATGTCCCATTTGAAATGGATTCATAAAGAAATAGACACATCTTCTAATCAACACTTTAATAATGAATCACTGAACAAAAAATGTATTTAACAAACATGAAATTAACTGAAACACAGGCTGGGGTGGATTGGGACATTAACAAAGACATGGGGATAGAACTTTGGATAGATCTTGTCTGTATTTAACTAGTTCTTTTTCAGGACTCTAACTTCACAAAGAAACAACTAATTAAATATCAGAATGTAACTAACTTCACAAAGAAACAACTAATTAAATGTCAGAATGTAACTAACTTCGCAAAGAAACAACTAATTAAATGTCAGAATGTAACTAACTTCACAAAGAAACAACTAATTAAATGTCAGAATGTAACTAACTTCACAAAGAAACAACTAATTAAATGTCAGAATGTAACTAATTCTTTGACTGAAAGATATCTGCAGGTGAGCTCAATAAGCTCCACTGGAAAGTCAAGGAGACCAGTCATTGAACCTACTAGAAAAGTATCAATTGTTTGATAGGCATTACTTAGAAGTTGAGGGATGACAAGGTAGACACAATTTTATGGATTACAACTTCTTTAATACTGTAAAAAGAAATGTTTTGGCATAGATCCTTATACCGTTGCCAAGCAAGAGTGTATGAGGGTCTTAGTTCAGAATATATATAGTAGGTGGAGGATTAACAGTAGAAGATTAACAGTAACAATAATTGCATTTGAGTGGGATAACACAGGTAAGCTGTTGACAACAAGGGGATAATACTGTCACAAGACGATGGACTGAGAACACATAGGTGAAAGCCAATGGGACATGAAGCCAATTAAACAGGATAAGTGATTATTGCTTGATGATTCATAGTAGGCGGATGGGATGACATAGCCTTGATCTCTGTTGATTGATGGCTTGTGGCGGCGAATGTGGAATTGGCTTCCACCTATGTGCTCTCTGTCCATCGTGTTGTGACAGTAGTGTCCCCTTGTTGTCAACACCTTACCTGTTATCCCACTCATAATAGCTTTCATTGATATTTCAAGTTCAAGAAACAAATCCAAAGCAAATGTCAAAGTAACTACATTTTGAATTCATAATAATGATTACATGCTGGTCATTTAGAATCACATGTTTGGGGTGCATGTCCCAATGCGCCCTGACGCTACCCTTGCCATTTTTTAATGGCTGCTTGACATAACCATGTGACAAAATGAAATTCATCTCTAGGCAGAATACTTTAAGATATCACTGTTTTGAATAAAACTCATACATCAACTGAAAGATGGAACATTTTGGCATATAAAGCTTCAACAATAGGGGTCTGAATTTTACAATGAAGTGCAAATTACATTTACAGAGTTGCGTCCCTCGGGCACGACAGAAACCTATGATTGTGGGTTCGAATCCCGGTTCACCCTGATTATTATTTGAGGTTGTCAGCACCATACCCATGCTCGTGGGTTTTACCAAAGTGGTAAACGTCTGAGACCTGCATCACTTGGGGCTTTCCTCCCGCATTAAGCTGACACGCCGTGATATACCTGTAATACTGTTAAAAGCGGTGTTGAACCAACTCACTCATAAACCATCTACTAGAATTTGAGCACAGATGGGGAGGGGGGGTGTGTCATGAGTGGCACAATCATCCAAGGCTCCGTAGCTCGCCACTGTGCAGGTTGCTTTCTTTTGGCACGAGGGTTCAAATCGTAGATTTGTCCTGATTATGAGCCTTGGTTTGTCAGCACCATACTTATTTGTGTCACCAAAGTGGTAAGTGTCTATCACTCCTACCACATCAAGCTGACAACAGTGACATGCTGTGATAGGACTGAAATACTTATGATTCTCACTCACTCACTCACTCACTCACTCACTCACTCACTCACTCACTCACTCACTCACTCACTCACTCACTCACTCACTCACTCACTCACTCACTCACTCACTCACTCACTCACTCACTCACTCACTCACTCGCGCACTCACTCACTCGCGCACTCACTCGCGCTCACTTACTCGTATATGCTGATTGCCCAGAATTTGTTACCCCTGGATTCAGGGTCAATCAAGTTTGATGTTTTTGCTTTTTCAAAACCTTTTCACATGCTTTTGGGAGGTTTCTCTTGGTTGTAATGTTGAAGCTAAGTATGCCTTTTTGAAATTTATCATAACATTCCAAAAGGAGTGAGCAATGATGTGAAAAGCTTAGAATCATCCATTTTTTGTTTCCTTACTGCTTCATTTATAATTGCATATGACTGTCTTTGCCCTTCCAGCTGTCGTCGTTTATCATGCAGACAGCCCCGGAATCCTGGGCCGATCCTGTGGAGAATCTCATCACCACTTTCCAGAGGGAAGACGTCCCCAATATTTCTGTAAGCACTCTTTCTTTGCTTTGATTTTATTTAGTTGTGTACTTCAGGTTTCATTATCTTCTGCTTTTAGAGGAATTAGTTTAATAATATTGAGTGATTGATTGTTGTTTTAGGCTGTGTCAGAAATTGGATATTTTGAAAAAATATTGTCTTAAATGATTCTTGAACATGTATGTACGAAAATATTTGAATGATTAGTGTTTGTTGACTCAGTTTTCCATATTAATCCTAAAAGAGTTCTTGTGATGTATATTAAATATTTGGTACCAGCTGTAGCATTTAGCATTATTTAGTGTCTAACATGCCAAAGTTGCTGATGTTGTAATTGTTTTAAAGTGATACATATCATATCTTGCATCCTCTGCCATACCACTTGGGTATTCTCATCCTGTTTTTCAGAGTTTCCAAAGGTGCCAAATCTTGTTAGATATTCTAACAGTAATTCCTGAGGAGGTACGTTTCCTACATGTCTCCCAAAACTCCTTGGACCCACCCGTGAAGACCCAGGGTAGAATGGGTCTTCAGCAACCCATGCATGCCGTAAAGGGTGACTTTGCTTGTCGTAAAAGGCGACTAACAGGATCGGGTGGTCAGGCTCGCTGACTTGGTTGATGCATGTCATCGATGCCAATTGTGTGGATCGATGCTCATGATATTAATCACTGGATTGTCTGGTCCAGCCTCGATTATTTACAGACCACCGTCATATAGCTGGAATATTGCTGAGTGCGGCGTTATACAACAAAGCAACCAACCAACCAACCATACCTGGTATTCCTCTGTGCACACACAAGATGAGCATGATGAGGCCAGTATTCGCTGTGCAGCGTTGTGTCCCTTGGGTGTGCTGGAATCGTATGGGTTTGAATACTGATTATGATTCTTTGTTTGTCAGGACTGTTTTTGTGCTGGTGTTGTTCACCAAACTGGTAAATGTGTGTACATGCATCACCTCAGACATTCCTCCATCCTCAAGCTGACACAACGTGATATAACTGTAATAATATTCAAAGCTCTGTTGAGCTCATTTCACGTACTCACTCTAACAAAGGATTTATTAATCCTGGCATCTAAGCAATTGAACTTTGCAGAGTGATTAAGACATAAGGTTTTCCCCCCACATAAACAAACTTCTTGCATTATGTTAACTTCTTTTTCCAGCCTCAAATCCCTTCTGAAATTATTGCATTTGCCATAGCCTTTTTCATTTAGGTAATACAGACATGTCCTTTTTTTTAATGGCTGCCATAGTATTTTTATTATTCCCCCATCATATAATCAGGGGTGGGGGGTAGGGGTGTGTGTGTTGATATAGTCCTGTGTACTTGACATATACAGATACAAAGTTCCAAATCCCAATTCCATGGTATTGTTTTGATAGCTCAAAAACTACTCTTGTATATGGACAGACAGATTAAATAGAAATTCTCTCTTCTTGTTCTTGCGCATTTGTAGGGGCCAGAGGGATTTATCATTTCCTGATGACTCTTGTAAGCCAGTGATAGTTTCAGTAGTTGGTGACTAGCATATTCGGATTGTTATTTCAGTTTTTTGGGTCAAACCTGAGCCAACAGAGAAGGCTGTCCCTGAGATCAGAGTTCCAGAAAGGACTTCTACATGGTGAGTGTGCAGGGTTAAACTGGTGTGTTCACTTAGACTCTGCTCATGGCTTACTGTCACTGGAAACACATTTTTCACAAAATGTAATCAAAATTGGAAGATTGGATGTTGGGACTGTGATTGCATTTTGACATTTCACAGAAAATCATTTGCATTACACATGTATTGATGACCATTTTATCGTCAGGTCGTCTGTCCATCTGTTGGTTGTCCGTTTTCTGTTTCCGAAGCAGAACTCCTAAACCGTTGAATATTTCAAGTTGAAACTTGCTAAACAGATCAGTCTAGTGGTGACCTTGTGCCTTTTGATGATTTCATATTATTATCGTTTCTTTCCTATTACTACAGTTAATCTGTCATGTAATATGAAAGAATCAGGTGATCCTGAACTTCTTTTGAATTGTATATTATGGTAACAGCTGACTGTTGATATGGTGGAGTGTCTTTGTTGCAGTGTTGACCCTCCTGCAAGGACTGCTGACCCCCCACTCGCCCACCCAGGTGTATGCAGGTGCCCTCAAGTGTTTCTCCGGCTGGGTGGACTTCGGCATCCCCATCATCGAGAGTGAGACAATCATCCTCCAGGTGTTTCAGTCCATCCACAACCAGGAGCTGTTTGAGGTGGCAGTCGAGACTCTGTCCAGCGTCTTCTCCCACCCAGAATCATACAGGTGAGTCACATTGCCTTCATCAATGTACAGGTCACTTGTACTGGTAAGTGTGTCTCCTACATCTGGGCTCCTATTGGTGTTCTCATACAGGTGAGTGTGTCCCCCCTCTCAGAATATACAGGTCTCTTTTACAGGTAAGTGTGTCTCCTACATCTGGGCTCCTATTGGTGTTCTCATACAGGTGAGACGCGACGTTAAACCCAATTTCACCTCACCTCACCTCATACAGGTGAGTGTGTCCCCCCTCTCAGAATATACAGGTCTCTTTTACAGGTAAGTGTGTCTCCTACATCTGGGCTCCTATTGGTGTTCTCATACAGGTGAGTGTGTCCCCCCTCTCAGAATGTACAGGTCTCTTTTACAGGTAAGTGTGTCTCCTACATCTGGGCTCCTATTAGTGTTCTCATACAGGTGAGTGTGTCCCCCCTCTCAGAATATACAGGTGGGTCTCTTTTACAGGTAAGTGTGTCTCCTACATCTGGGCTCCTATTGGTGTTCTCATACAGTTGAGTGTGTCCCCCCTCTCAGAATATACAGGTCTCTTTTACAGGTAAGTGTGTCTCCTACATCTGGGCTCCTATTGGTGTTCTCATACAGGTGAGGGTGTCCCCCCTCTCAGAATATACAGGTCTCTTTTACAGGTAAGTGTGTCTCCTACATCTGGGCTCCTATTGGTGTTCTCATACAGGTGAGTGTGTCCCCCCTCTCAGAATGTACAGGTCACTTGTACAGGTAAGTGTGTCTCCTACATCTGGGCTCCTATTGGTGTTCTCATACAGGTGAGTGTGTCCCCCCTCTCAGAATGTACAGGTAAGTGTGTCTCCTACATCTGGGCTCCTATTGGTGTTCTCATACAGGTGAGTGTGTCCCCCCTCTCAGAATGCATACATATAAGCCTGTCGTCCCCATCAGGATTCTTACAGGTGATTGTGTCTCCTTTCCTCTTGAAAGATGTTGAATTTAAAGTACCTGCTTGAAGCTTTGAAAATCATCACCAAAATAGCTTTACAAGCCTAGAATTTGTATGAAATTACACATGCTTGTTAATAAAAGTATTAAAACGCACAGAAATATGTACCAAGAATGTTTGAGCGTGATTGATCACAGTGATAGATTTTTGTGCGTTAGACCATAAAGAATTCATGACAGACTTAAAGGGGCACTGATCTAATGCAATTCCCCGGGACTGGTTGTTGCCTTTGTTATTGTTTTTTCCCAGTGAGTACCCAGATGAAGAGCAGAAATCTAGACTAGTTCGCGACCTCTGCTGTGCCATTTGTAAGCGCATTAGTCATTTTTATGGGTAGTATTAAGGGAGTATGGTCGCATTGATCAACAAAATGAAATACAGTTTTCGAGATAATAAGGAAATGTAGGTATCTTTGTGGGTAGCATCGGTAATGATGACGAAGTTTTGATATGTCACTTGCTTGGTAATTTTGCGATTCTCGTTTACACTATGTTGACTTGCAACACAAAGTAAATATTTCACCTGAGCATTGCTTTTTTTATAGTGTGTATATCTTTTTACTGTCAAAATGTGTAACATATTTATTAAACGTCTAAATATTCAGTTATTTTACAAAGTGACTGAAAAACATTTCCATCTGTATTATTATGATAACGAATTCCAAACATTTTGATGCTTAATGTCATCACCAAGAGACTGAAAATGTTACGTTGAAAAGTACATTTCTATGTTGTTTGGCTTCTCATCCTACATAATAATCTGTTGTGATGTTTTTAGGCCCGTTGGATCGTCTTAATAAATTTTAGTCAATCTGGACAGATTTTTCAGTCAAAATGCCTGAAATATTTACACATTTTATAAATTGCCTGAGAGAATCACATTTTACAAGTTGACGGTTATATATACACGCTTACAAAGGAAAAGACTTGTGAAAACAACATCTATCGCGCATTGAAGAATTTCCCAAACAAGATGTAGAGGAACAAGAACGAATCGGTTCAATGCTACAGCAAATGAAGGAAAACAAAATGCAAATACCATAATTACAACCTACCAAATTTATGTGTATAAATTTTAGGCAGCTTCCTTGTTCGAGGAATGTATCCGTGAATATCCACACAAAGGAACAATATCCTACTCGTCTGCAGCTGTACAAAGAAACTTATTCGATGTCACGTGTCTCTGTAACAATCAAATATTTTAAAAGATATATATCGTTTCGGGATATTATAACCCGTGTTCGTTTCTCAACTGATCACTTAGATTGTTTCAGGTGTTTCACATAGGTGTCAAGTCTCAAGGGTCGGCTGAGAAAGCCCACGTGACAACTATTTTCATAACGTCCACGGTTCCTAAAAAATCCATTGAGTGATAGATAACAATGAGCAATCAATCAACGTATTATCAGTTAACCCTTTGAACAAAGTATGTTGTTTTTACATCGGCACTTCATGCCATGATATGAGTATTCCCTTTGTTTTAGTAAACCTAGACATGTAAACACACACTTTTGACATATCCACTGTGCAAGATAACAGTGATTAATCAATCAACGTATTTTCTGTTAATCCTTTGATGACTAGGAACGATCCGTTGAATTACAAAAAAAGTAAATCAACTGATCATTCACCTCTTGCTGGGCTGCCACGTGCATATTACATAACACACATTTCACCTCACTTCAAACCTGTATTTAGATTGAGTAATTACCCCAGACACAATAAATGCCAAATGGGAACCTTTGTAAGGTAATCTCTAAGTGGTGCTACCACTAATTGTACCTGTAATAAATTCATTAACTGAGCATCAAGTGAATGACGACAAATACACAAGTGTAGGGTTATACCAGAAAACGTGGATGACAACAAGGGAGTAGTAATCGTATTATCGACGCAATCCGAAATCCGAAAATGCTTTCACTGCATGGATACTTTTTTTAATTATTAAACAACAACAATCAGGGGTATTTCCAAATGACGACATCCGATGAGCTCCGCCGTTCTTTTTGTCTGTTTGTTTAGGCTGAAGAAATTAATTAACATGCGCCCTTTGTCGAAATCTTTATAGATCACAGTTACCCAATCAGTGTTTAAAAATGCGTAAAACAAATATTGCCTCCAGCCTCCAAGTTTATTTAGCTGTCCTTGCAGACGGTAGCCCAGTTTCTGGTCACGCTCAGCTGCGTAGCGTATCATCCGGGTACTCACGGGGAAAAAAACAATAACAAAGGCAACAACCAGTCCGGGGAATTGCGTTAGATCAGTGCCCCTTTAATATACTAAATCTGGTTTGAAAATGTGTGATGTTCATACTGCTTTTTAGATCTTATTTCTCCTATGTCAGGACTCGCGTGTGTGCGTGTGTGTCTGACTGGGTCTATGTGTGTGTCTGACTGGGTCTATGTGTGTGTCTGACTGGGTCTATGTGTGTGTCTGACTGGGTCTATGTGTGTGTCTGACTGGGTCTATGTGTGTGTGTCTGACTGGGTCTATGTGTGTGTGTGACTGGGTCTATGTGTGTGTCTGACTGGGTCTATGTGTGTGTCTGACTGGGTCTATGTGTGTGTCTGACTGGGTCTATGTGTGTGTCTGACTGGGTCTATGTGTGTGTCTGTGTGTGAGAGACAGATAGAGACACAGAGACAAACCAGAGCCCACACAGGTCAGTCTGTGTGTTTTAACCAGGGTCCTTTCAGGTGAATCACTTTCCTGCATCAGTAAATGTCTAAATGAGCAAGTATGCTTTTTAAGGGCTCGAATAAGTGAGTCTGTCTACTACATAAGCACCTTGACAGGGTGACTGTCATTTCCATTAGAATTTATGAAGGTGAATCTGCATTTTCTCAACCTTAAATAGCCTCTGTTTATTCCAGGTTTCCATACACAATTCAGAAGTTGCTGCCCAACATACTGAACCTTAAATAGCCTCTGTTTACTCCAGGTTTCCATACACAATTCAGAAGTTGCTGCCCAACATACTAAACCTTAAATAGCCTCTGTTTACTCCAGGTTTCCATACACAATTCAGAAGTTGCTGCCCAACATACTAAACCTTAAATAGCCTCTGTTTACTCCAGGTTTCCATACACAATTCAGAAGTTGCTGCCCAACATACTAAACCTTAAATAGCCTCTGTTTACTCCAGGTTTCCATACACAATTCAGAAGTTGCTGCCCAACATACTAAACCTTAAATAGCCTCTGTTTACTCCAGGTTTCCATACACAATTCAGAAGTTGCTGCCCAACATACTGAACCTTAAATAGCCTCTGTTTACTCCAGGTTTCCATACACAATTCAGAAGTTGCTGCCCAACATACTGAACCTTAAATAGCCTCTGTTTACTCCAGGTTTCCATACACAATTCAGAAGTTGCTGCCCAACATACTGAACCTTAAATAGCCTCTGTTTACTCCAGGTTTCCATACACAATTCAGAAGTTGCTGCCCAACATACTAAACCTTAAATAGCCTCTGTTTACTCCAGGTTTCCATACACAATTCAGAAGTTGCTGCCCAACATACTGAACCTTAAATAGTCTCTGTTTACTCCAGGTTTCCATACACAATTCAGAAGTTGCTGCCCAACAAACTGAACCTTAAATAGTCTCTGTTTACTCCAGGTTTCCATACACAATTCAGAAGTTGCTGCCCAACATACTGAACCTTAAATAGCCTCTGTTTATTCCAGGTTTCCATACACAATTCAGAAGTTGCTGCCCAACATACTAAACCTTAAATAGCCTCTGTTTATTCCAGGTTTCCATACACAATTCAGAAGTTGCTGCCCAACATACTAAACCTTAAATAGCCTCTGTTTATTCCAGGTTTCCATACACAATTCAGAAGTTGCTGCCCAACATACTAAACCTTAAATAGCCTCTGTTTATTCCAGGTTTCCATACACAATTCAGAAGTTGCTGCCCAACATACTAAACCTTAAATAGCCTCTGTTTATTCCAGGTTTCCATACACAATTCAGAAGTTGCTGCCCAACATACTGAACCTTAAATAGCCTCTGTTTACTCCAGGTTTCCATACACAATTCAGAAGTTGCTGCCCAACATACTAAACCTTAAATAGCCTCTGTTTATTCCAGGTTTCCATACACAATTCAGAAGTTGCTGCCCAACATACTGAACCTTAAATAGCCTCTGTTTACTCCAGGTTTCCATACACAATTCAGAAGTTGCTGCCCAACATACTGAACCTTAAATAGCCTCTGTTTACTCCAGGTTTCCATACACAATTCAGAAGTTGCTGCCCAACATACTGAACCTTAAATAGCCTCTGTTTACTCCAGGTTTCCATACACAATTCAGAAGTTGCTGCCCAACATACTGAACCTTAAATAGCCTCTGTTTACTCCAGGTTTCCATACACAATTCAGAAGTTGCTGCCCAACATACTGAACCTTAAATAGCCTCTGTTTACTCCAGGTTTCCATACACAATTCAGAAGTTGCTGCCCAACATACTAAACCTTAAATAGCCTCTGTTTATTCCAGGTTTCCATACACAATTCAGAAGTTGCTGCCCAACATACTGAACCTTAAATAGCCTCTGTTTACTCCAGGTTTCCATACACAATTCAGAAGTTGCTGCCCAACATACTGAACCTTAAATAGCCTCTGTTTACTCCAGGTTTCCATACACAATTCAGAAGTTGCTGCCCAACATACTGAACCTTAAATAGCCTCTGTTTACTCCAGGTTTCCATACACAATTCAGAAGTTGCTGCCCAACATACTGAACCTTAAATAGCCTCTGTTTACTCCAGGTTTCCATACACAATTCAGAAGTTGCTGCCCAACATACTGAACCTTAAATAGCCTCTGTTTACTCCAGGTTTCCATACACAATTCAGAAGTTGCTGCCCAACATACTGAACCTTAAATAGCCTCTGTTTACTCCAGGTTTCCATACACAATTCAGAAGTTGCTGCCCAACATACTAAACCTTAAATAGCCTCTGTTTACTCCAGGTTTCCATACACAATTCAGAAGTTGCTGCCCAACATACTGAACCTTAAATAGCCTCTGTTTACTCCAGGTTTCCATACACAATTCAGAAGTTGCTGCCCAACATACTGAACCTTAAATAGCCTCTGTTTACTCCAGGTTTCCATACACAATTCAGAAGTTGCTGCCCAACATACTAAACCTTAAATAGCCTCTGTTTACTCCAGGTTTCCATACACAATTCAGAAGTTGCTGCCCAACATACTAAACCTTAAATAGCCTCTGTTTACTCCAGGTTTCCATACACAATTCAGAAGTTGCTGCCCAACATACTGAACCTTAAATAGCCTCTGTTTACTCCAGGTTTCCATACACAATTCAGAAGTTGCTGCCCAACATACTAAACCTTAAATAGCCTCTGTTTACTCCAGGTTTCCATACACAATTCAGAAGTTGCTGCCCAACATACTGAACCTTAAATAGCCTCTGTTTACTCCAGGTTTCCATACACAATTCAGAAGTTGCTGCCCAACATACTAAACCTTAAATAGCCTCTGTTTACTCCAGGTTTCCATACACAATTCAGAAGTTGCTGCCCAACATACTGAACCTTAAATAGCCTCTGTTTACTCCAGGTTTCCATACACAATTCAGAAGTTGCTGCCCAACATACTGAACCTTAAATAGCCTCTGTTTACTCCAGGTTTCCATACACAATTCAGAAGTTGCTGCCCAACATACTGAACCTTAAATAGCCTCTGTTTACTCCAGGTTTCCATACACAATTCAGAAGTTGCTGCCCAACATACTGAACCTTAAATAGCCTCTGTTTACTCCAGGTTTCCATACACAATTCAGAAGTTGCTGCCCAACATACTGAACCTTAAATAGCCTCTGTTTACTCCAGGTTTCCATACACAATTCAGAAGTTGCTGCCCAACATACTGAACCTTAAATAGCCTCTGTTTACTCCAGGTTTCCATACACAATTCAGAAGTTGCTGCCCAACATACTGAACCTTAAATAGCCTCTGTTTACTCCAGGTTTCCATACACAATTCAGAAGTTGCTGCCCAACATACTGAACCTTAAATAGCCTCTGTTTACTCCAGGTTTCCATACACAATTCAGAAGTTGCTGCCCAACATACTGAACCTTAAATAGCCTCTGTTTACTCCAGGTTTCCATACACAATTCAGAAGTTGCTACCCAACATACTGAACCTTAAATAGCCTCTGTTTACTCCAGGTTTCCATACACAATTCAGAAGTTGCTGCCCAACATACTGAACCTTAAATAGCCTCTGTTTACTCCAGGTTTCCATACACAATTCAGAAGTTGCTGCCCAACATACTGAACCTTAAATAGCCTCTGTTTACTCCAGGTTTCCATACACAATTCAGAAGTTGCTGCCCAACATACTGAACCTTAAATAGCCTCTGTTTACTCCAGGTTTCCATACACAATTCAGAAGTTGCTGCCCAACATACTGAACCTTAAATAGCCTCTGTTTACTCCAGGTTTCCATACACAATTCAGAAGTTGCTGCCCAACATACTGAACCTTAAATAGCCTCTGTTTACTCCAGGTTTCCATACACAATTCAGAAGTTGCTGCCCAACATACTGAACCTTAAATAGCCTCTGTTTACTCCAGGTTTCCATACACAATTCAGAAGTTGCTGCCGAACATACTGAACCTTAAATAGCCTCTGTTTACTCCAGGTTTCCATACACAATTCAGAAGTTGCTGCCCAACATACTGAACCTTAAATAGCCTCTGTTTACTCCAGGTTTCCATACACAATTCAGAAGTTGCTGCCCAACATACTGAACCTTAAATAGCCTCTGTTTACTCCAGGTTTCCATACACAATTCAGAAGTTGCTGCCCAACATACTGAACCTTAAATAGCCTCTGTTTACTCCAGGTTTCCATACACAATTCAGAAGTTGCTGCCGAACATACTGAACCTTAAATAGCCTCTGTTTACTCCAGGTTTCCATACACAATTCAGAAGTTGCTGCCGAACATACTGAACCTTAAATAGCCTCTGTTTACTCCAGGTTTCCATACACAATTCAGAAGTTGCTGCCCAACATACTGAACCTTAAATAGCCTCTGTTTACTCCAGGTTTCCATACACAATTCAGAAGTTGCTGCCCAACATACTAAACCTTAAATAGCCTCTGTTTACTCCAGGTTTCCATACACAATTCAGAAGTTGCTGCCCAACATACTGAACCTTAAATAGCCTCTGTTTACTCCAGGTTTCCATACACAATTCAGAAGTTGCTGCCCAACATACTGAACCTTAAATAGCCTCTGTTTACTCCAGGTTTCCATACACAATTCAGAAGTTGCTGCCCAACATACTGAACCTTAAATAGCCTCTGTTTACTCCAGGTTTCCATACACAATTCAGAAGTTGCTGCCCAACATACTGAACCTTCAAGACATGATGAAGAAGGTCATTGATGAGAAGGACATGGTGAGTCATTGACAAAAGATTCTAATCCTTCACCAGAGGATGTGTGGGCAGGGGTTTCCTTGTGGTCTTAGACATTGCAAGGGCTGTGTCAATTGGCTGATTGTTGTGAAACTATAACCATAAACCCTCTGTCACGCTGCTGATGCTGCATCGCTTTTGTCTTTCCTCATGCCTATGGAGGTCGTGGTCAATTCGGTGACCCCGATACCCCATGCTTGTCCCCTGAATGAGCCTCTGTGACAGAATGGTGACCCCGATACCCCATGCTTGTCTCCTGAATGAGTCTCTGTGACAGAACGGTGACCCCACTGAGATTATCTTTCAAAAGTCAGTCCCTAGTTCCCTATGTTTGTCAATTGAAATGAGGATCAGGTGGGTGCAGAATATGACCTGTCTGATGATGTCATACAACTAGTTTGTCATGCCACTTGTTTACTTGATTTATACATGACATATAGATGGGTTGTGTGAAAGATATATAGAATACTAAACGAGCTCCCGTGTAATACCAATTTTATGAAATGAGTGAATAGTTGTGGTATCTGACGAGCGAAAGCGAGTCAGATACCACAACTATTCATGAGATTCATAAAATTGGTTTTACACGGGAGCGAGTTTAGTATTTTATTTATTACTTGTCATTTATAACGTTTTTTGAATTATACTGTTGAGTATGAATAGGCTGACACCTACACGATCCACGGCATAGTCCAATTGAGTTTAACGAATAATACTTCAAACACGTCAAAAGTTAAAACGTATGATTTAATACCTTACAACGGTCCACCTTTAGAATTCACAAAATTATCGTAGGGCTAAGATTATCGCAACTCACATACTTTAACTTAGACTAACGAATGTCGTTGCACTATTGTCAGACAATACGATCGTCTTGTGGAACTGGCCTTGTACCTCAAAGTTTACAATCACGTCACAATACCTGATAACGTAATTTGTGGAATTTTGTTGCAAGATCCATCGGCGAAACAATGCCATGTGACGTCAACCTAGCAACAAGGTTGCTGGGGTCATTGAGTTTGCATAAGCTCCCATCAGTGATCTATCAACTCCACACGCAATGTCGTTGAATAAGCCAAGGGATGTTGAGAGCTTTCAATATTTGTTTGTGAAACGTGTTCCGAGAGTACATAAGCACGCGTTTTGGTATTACACAATGTGTAATACAGCTGTATGTTTATTAAACGGGTGATCTCTTCACGGGCAAGTAATAAATATTTTTATCTATCCATGATCATGATGATACACAAAACTGATTCTCATGATGTGTCAAGAGGATATCTAAATAGAATGACATGTCTGATTTTCCCTATGAAAGATTGAGCAGTATATTACCACCCACCACCCACCACCCACCACCCACCAATCCACTCACACTCTTTTCTGGTTGTGTCTCTCAATGTGCATGTTGTCGTTTCGATTGCATCGTTACCCTTCTCTGTTCTGTTTTACAGGAGACGACAAATGGCCTGTGTCGGATAGTCATGTCATTAGCGGAGACGCACACCAAGCTGATAGTAGAATCCTCTCTCGGGGAGAACCAGCAACACAAGGACAATGTCAACGAGCTCATCCAGATGGTGCTGGTAAGTGTGGTGGACTTACGGAGGGAGAGTAAAAATATAGGTCTCCGGTAACCTAAGAATGTCGTAACAGGTGATGATTGCCTGGTCAGGCTCGCTGACTTGGTTGATTGCATGACATCATATCACCATTGCATTTAATAATGCTTATGATGTCTGTCACTTTATTGTGTTGTCTTTAGTCTGTTATTTACAGACCGCCTTTGTATATATGAAGTAATGCTGAGTGAGGCATTTAAAATAGAAACAAACTTATGACGGGGCAGTTACTGTTAAATTCATGTTGCATTTTACGATAAATGATTTTGACTCTCTGCAGAAACAATGCTTTAACTTTGTTATGAGGGTTGTCTTCAAATGGTCTTCAGCACCCCATACCCATGCCCAAGAAACAAATAAACTATGTTAAAGTATAGGAGTTACCATGGTCGTAGGGCAATGATCGCTTTATCAAACAGGGACGCGCAAGTGATATGTATAAAGATTGTGTATGAAAGCATTCCCGGTCTTATTCAAGTGGTATGAAGGGAGGTAACTCTTAAGTGCAACTTTAAAAAACAAAAGCAAAATGTCTTTAAAAAAACAAAAAAACAATGGATGACGTCTTGTGTTCAAAATGAAACAGGATTTCAAGAATAAGAATATTTGATATTCTTGACATTAATTACTGTTGAACCCTGTTATCTCGAACCTAGCTATTCGAGATAAGAAGGTTTGAATATCAAGAAAGAGTAACAGTTTTATAGATTATTATATATTATTAAGCATTGCAGTAATCACTTTTTAGTCTGTCCACTTGACAGAAACAACAAGGTGCCACTCTCCCCTCGAGCATGTTATCCCCCGCCCAACAAAGTTGGCGGCGGATATAGAAACGGGCTGCGTCCGTCGGTCCGTCCGTTACGTTTCGTTTCCGGAGCATAACACAGAAACCGTTCAATATTTTTTCATCAAACTTTGCAGGTCTGTCAAGTACATGCTGAACTGGTGCCTTTTGCTATTTAGAAATGTTAGAAATTTTTATTTTTTACGTTTCCATGGCAACAAGATTGACTTAGGTTCTGTGAGGGTAGGGTTCGTTTCCGGAGCATAACTCATAAACCGTTCAATAATATTTCATCAAACTTTGCAGGTCTGTCAGGTACATGCTGAACTGGTGCCTTTTGCTATTTAGAAATGTTAGAAATATTTATTTTTAACGTTTCCATGGCAACAAGATGGACTTAGGTTCTGTGAGTGTAGGGTTCGTTGCGGGAGCATAACCATGATAACTCATAAACCGTTCAATATTTTTTCATGAAACTTTGCAGGTTTGTCAGGAATTTTTATTTTTTACATTTCCATGGCAGCAAGATGGACTTAGGTTCCAAACTCTTCTTTTTTTTACAATTTCCATGACAAGTTCCACCTCGGTTAAAAAAGGTGTGGGTTTGTTTAGATTTAATTATGTAATAAATTCTGCAACAGGGGCGGGGGATATAGCCACGTTAGTGGCAAACTCTTGTTAATTTGGATATTGCGCCACGAGCTTTGATTCCTTTAATCCGACTGTTTTAATTGTCAGTAGAGATTACCATTGCAATGCCAACTTCAAGATAAAGGTTCAAAATTCTAAAGTCAAGTCAAAGTTGGGACCGAGTCCAAGGATCAAGATAGTGCTGTGTATTTTCATTTTGAATACGGGTTCAGAGATCAAATTTATATCCAGTTATATAGTGAGGCGGTCGTTACCGGATAATAGGTTCGTGATGTTGGTACATTTGAGATAGCAGGGTTCCACTGTTTGATAAAATAAAGCATGCATACTGTCAAGTTGGACAGTGTTAATCCCATCCAGTGAATGAGAAAAGCTTTTCTCTTACTTATTTGGTGCAGAATAGGTCCCCAGTATCCCATGCTTGTCGTAAGATTTGACATATGAGGTGCAGGTGGTTGCTGGGGTAACGTGGCTCATTGCTCATGCTGTCAACCACTGACCTGGCTCAGACTGATTATTTACAAGTCGCCCCGATACAGCTAGAATACTTCAACAACATTTACTGCCAACTTGAAGCACTGACCCTGCATGTTTCAGAGGTTCACATCTCTCCCAGGACACTACCCAGTGGACGAGGCTTGCAGTGACCTGTCCTTCACGTTCTGGTACATCCTACAGGTAAACTGTCCTTCACGTTCTGGTACATCCTACAGGTAAACTGTCCTTCACGTTCTGGTACATCCTGCAGGTAAACTGTCCTTCACGTTCTGGTATATCCTACAGGTAAACTCTCCTTCACGTTCTGGTATATCCTACAGGTAAACTGTCCTTCACATTCTGGCATATCCTACAGGTAAACTGTCCTTCAGGTTCTGATACATCCTACAGGTAAACTGTCCTTCAGTTCTGGTATATCCTACAGGTAAACTGTCCTTCAGTTCTGGCATATCCTACAGGTAAACTGTCCTTCAGGTTCTGGTACATCCTACAGGTAAACTGTCCTTCAGTTCTGGTATATCCTACAGGTAAACTGTCCTTCAGGTTCTGGCATATCCTACAGGTAAACTGTCCTTCAGGTTCTGGTATATCCTACAGGTAAACTGTCCTTCAGTTCTGGTATATCCTACAGGTAAACTGTCCTTCAGTTCTGGTATATCCTACAGGTAAACTGTCCTTCACGTTCTGGTATATCCTACAGGTAAACTCTCCTTCACGTTCTGGTATATCCTACAGGTAAACTGTCCTTCACATTCTGGCATATCCTACAGGTAAACTGTCCTTCAGGTTCTGATACATCCTACAGGTAAACTGTCCTTCAGTTCTGGTATATCCTACAGGTAAACTGTCCTTCAGTTCTGGCATATCCTACAGGTAAACTGTCCTTCAGTTCTGGCATATCCTACAGGTAAACTGTCCTTCAGGTTCTGGTACATCCTACAGGTAAACTGTCCTTCAGTTCTGGCATATCCTACAGGTAAACTGTCCTTCAGGTTCTGGTACATCCTACAGGTAAACTGTCCTTCAGTTCTGGTATATCCTACAGGTAAACTGTCCTTCAGGTTCTGGCATATCCTACAGGTAAACTGTCCTTCAGTTCTGGTATATCCTACAGGTAAACTGTCCTTCACGTTCTGGCATATCCTACAGGTAAACTGTCCTTCAGTTCTGGTATATCCTACAGGTAAACTGTCCTTCAGTTCTGGTATATCCTACAGGTAAACTGTCCTTCAGTTCTGGTATATCCTACAGGTAAACTGTCCTTCAGTTCTGGTATATCCTACAGGTAAACTGTCCTTCAGGTTCTGGTATATCCTACAGGTAAACTGTCCTTCAGTTCTGGTATATCCTACAGGTAAACTGTCCTTCAGTTCTGGTATATCCTACAGGTAAACTGTCCTTCAGGTTCTGGCATATCCTACAGGTAAACTGTCCTTCAGTTCTGGTATATCCTACAGGTAAACTGTCCTTCAAGTTCTGGTACATCCTACAAGTAAACTGTCCTTCAGGTCTGGTATATACTACAGGTAAACTGTCCTTCACGTTCTGGTTTATACAACAGGTAAACTGTCCTTCACATTCTGGCATATACAACAGGTACACTGTCCTTCAGGTTCTGGTACATCCTACAGGTAAACTGTCATTAATGTTCTGGTATATCCTACAGGTAAACTGTCCTTCAGGTTCTGGTATATACTACAGGTAAACTGTCCTTCACGTTCTGGCATATACAACAGGTACACTGTCCTTCAGGTTCTGGCATATCCTACAGGTAAACTGTCCTTCAGTTCTGGTACATCCTACAGGTAAACTGTCCTTCAGGTCTGGTATATACTACAGGTAGACTGTCCTTCACGTTCTGGTTTATACAACAGGTAAACTGTCCTTCACATTCTGGCATATACAACAGGTACACTGTCCTTCAGGTTCTGGTACATCCTACAGGTAAACTGTCATTAATGTTCTGGTATATCCTACAGGTAAACTGTCCTTCAGGTTCTGGTATATACTACAGGTAAACTGTCCTTCACGTTCTGGCATATACAACAGGTACACTGTCCTTCAGGTTCTGGCATATCCTACAGGTAAACTGTCCTTCAGTTCTGGTACAACCTACAGGTAAACTGTACTTCAGGTCTGGTATATACTACAGGTGAACTGTCCTTCACGTTCTGGTTTATACAACAGGTAAACTGTCCTTCACATTCTGGCATATACAACAGGTACACTGTCCTTCAGGTTCTGGTACATCCTACAGGTAAACTGTCATTTATGTTCTGGTATATCCTACAGGTAAACTGTAGTTTATGTTCTTGTACACACTGGTTTGTCTGGGCCTGACTCAAGTATTTACAGACCTGTGATGTACCTGAGATCTTGTCTGGAGGTAATACATTCTGCTTGATTCTGGGTCAGCTCAAGTTGCAGACTGAATCACACTCGGAGGAAATGGAGGGGACACAGTAACTGTTCTCTCTGTGTGTAGGTTTGTCAGCACCATAGCCGTGCTCAGGGGTTTCGCACTTACTCATTCACTCACTCACTCTCTCATCCACTTACTCTCTCACATGGAGCACTCAGTCAACCTAGTGTTTAAAGCATTGGCTCGTCAAGCTGAAGACCCAGGTTCGATTCCCGACATGGGTACAATGTGTGAAGTCAATTTCTGGTGTCCCCTGCCGTGATATTGCTGGAATATTGCAAAAAAGGGCGTAAAACCATACTCACTCACTCACTCACTCACTCACTCACTCACTCACTCACTCACTCACTCACTCACTCACTCACTCACTCACTCACTCACTCACTCACTCACTCACTCACTCACTCACTCACTCACTCACTCACTCACTCACTCACTCACTCACTCACTCACTCACTCACTCACTCACTCACTCACTCACTCACTCACTCACTCACTCACTCACTCACTCACTCACTCACTCACTCACTCACTCACTCACTCACTCACTCACTCACTCACTCACTCACTCACTCACTCACTCACTCACTCACTCACTCACTCACTCACTCACTCACTCACTCACTCACTCACTCACTCACTCACTCACTCACTCACTCACTCACTCACTCACTCACTCACTCACTCACTCACTCACTCACTCACTCACTCACTCACTCACTCACTCACTCACTCACTCACTCACTCACTCACTCACTCACTCACTCACTCACTCACTCACTCACTGTGCCCTCCAGGATGAGCTTCAGGCTCTTGACGCGAGTCAGTTCCGGATTCTGCAGCCGATCTTCCACCGCATCTACTTCTCGCTGATGGAGGTGCTGTTGACCAAGGTGCAGTACCCCAACGACCAGGAGTACGAGGGCTGGTCCAGCGAGGAGAAGGAGCAGTTCCGCTGCTACAGGCAGGACATCGGAGACACCATGGTAAGTACACATCTTGGAATGTCAACAAATGTATATTTGGAAAGGTTGTTTTTTTCACAGATGTCTTCGTCAAAATGCCAAGAGGCAGGTGGCAAAATAATAAATATATACTTCGCTACTTTTACATCAGATGTCATTCTATGTAAATGTACACTTGACATGTTATGAGAGTCAGTGTTTTGTATCATGGAAAGATGAAAATATCAAAATTGGGGCAGAATATAAGAGAAATATTTACTGCTGAATGACATTATCTGGAAGACGTTCTTGCTGGTCTGGGACTTGCCTAAAATATACCGAACGAACATCCTCCTACTACTGTTATTAATGTTCTTCCAGTTAATTACAAAATGCATTTGTATTTCAGATGTATGCCTTCAACATTTTGAGAGAACCCTTGATTGGCTATTTGTGCAATATATTGAAGAATCTCCTTCAGTCACAGGATATACGCTGGCAGGTAGGCAGGAAGTTATGTTATCACATCAGAGAAAGGAGCCAATCAGAAAGAAGATGCTGATCCTTGGCATCAATTGGGTGGATGGGGAGTTCAATGATTAAAACATTGGCTGGTCACATCAAAGACCTGGGTTCACTTCAGCTTGTGGGTACAATGTGTGAAGCCCATCTCTGGTGATCCCTGCCATGATATTGATAGAATTTGTTTATATCAAATATTTTTTTAATGTTTGTTGTATTTTGGTCTGCATGTAATAATTATACCTCCTGACCTAAAGGGGCATGGGTACATGGTTACACCAAGGAACCTTCTAAGGACATTTTTTGTGCAACCTATAACTTGAAAGCTGCTACATAGATTCTTTCCAAACTTGGTGAACACTTTCTATACCAATAGCAGAGGTGCAGAGTGAAGTTTGATTTCTATATTTGGATTTACGGGGAAAATACAGCTTTTTTTCATGTGTTTAATTGGCTTGATTTACTTCAACATTTGTGCAACCTATAACTTGAGAACTATTTCATGGATTCTTTTCAATTTTGAGGAACACTTTCTATACTATATAGGAGAGGTGCAGTGCCAAGTTTTATTTGATTTGTGTATTTTCTATTAAAAAATTATTTTTTTTCATTGTTGGTCTAAGGGCTCACTCTAAGCCTTGTTTCATCTCACATTAATAAATACTTCATATTCTTAAAATGTATGTAGTTTTTTGATAATTTCACCTGTCAATTGTACAAGTATTATTTTTAATTTAATCAGCAATCTGTAGGATGAATTGTGCTGATTTTTTCCTTTCCAGACTCTAGAAGCAATGTTTTTCCTGTTTGGGTCTGTTGCCGAAAGTGTAGATTTAGAAGAAACTGTGTATTTACCGATGTTACTCGAGATGCTTCCCAGGGTGCCGTTCAACAACATCAAGCTGATATCAACAGCACTCTACATGATAGGTAAGCAACGAGGAACTACAACTAGGTGGGGTCAAGTCACTCTCATTTAAGTGATCAAGTCATTCTCTTATGTTTTGCATCAGTGCCAAGCATCTCGAACACATTGACTGATTCAATTAAGTAAATGAGTGTGTTGAGTTTAGTGTATTTTTTAATACATGTAGTGATTTTATGCATGTAGTATATGTTGTGAACTTATGGGTGATGAACGCCCTTAGTAAGTAACACAGGCAGTACAGAGTTATCAATTGGTGAAACCCATGAGCACAGACTTGCTTCTGACAGCCTATCATTCCCTTCATAAGGGGCCTACCTGTGAAGATCTGGGGTAGAATAGGTCTTCAGCAACCCATGCTTGCCATAAATGGTGACTATGCTGGTCGTAAGAGGCGCATAATGGGATCGGGTGGTCATGCTCGCTGACTTGGTTGATGCATGTCATTGTTTCCCAATTGCGTGGATTGATGCCCATGATGTCAAACACTGGATTGTCAGGTCCTGACTCAATTATTTACAGACCGCCGTCATACAGCTGAAATATTGCTGAGTGAGGCGTTAAACAACAAACAAACAATCAGTGTTAGTTGTCTTAACTGTTCATATTAATCCTTAAAAGAATTATTGTGATCTATAATATTTGGTACCAGCCGTAGCATTTAGCATTATTTAGTGTCTAACATGCCAAAGTTGCTGATGTCCTTTCATTCACTGTCTTAGGTCCCTTAGTTAAGCCAGGATCCACTGATTGTCGGTTCGGATAAAAGATTTGTCCTGATTGGAGTCCCTTGGCAACACCATACCTGAGCTGTTTTGTTTTTCCGCTCAGATTAAGCTGGCATGCCAGATATATCAAATACTTTTTAAAACATCTCCCTCAACCCCAAGGGGATTCCATGTTATGATCAGCCTCCAGAACCTTGTTTGTTGTGAAAGACGACTTATTGAGTTGGGTAGTCAGACTCAGTGACTTAGTTGATTGTGTGTCACCGTTAGTGGTGGGACGATGCATCGGTGGATGGGGCCTTTTTACTTCTCGATACAAGTATCGATGACACTCACACACTAAGTAAAAAATATTGATTCAGACCTTAAATGTTTGCTTCAATAACTGTTCAACTAAATACTAATCAGTAGTGCAAGTTGATAGTGAAAACATAAATATTTTCATTCGTTGTGGCATACTTGACACTGCCAACTGTAAATCGTCAGTGTGCTAGGTATTTGGCCATCCTATCTATAAAAAAGATGGCTTACGCACCACAGATAAGAGCACATGCATGTATCGTGATACATATCGGATCGTGATATAGGTATTGTGATACATATCGGATCTTACAGTTGGTATCGTCCCAGCCCTAGTCATCATACCGCAGTGGCATGGATCATTGATCATAGCATCAATGACTAGTTTCTCTGGCCCATACTTGATACTTACAGGCATCTGTTACAAAGCTGGAATATTGCTGTTGTGCGTTAAACAACAAACAAACCCTCACAAACCATGTATATTTCTGTTCCAGGTTCATTTGGGGAGTGGATGAACTGCCACCCGGACAGCCTTGGGTGTGTCATCCCCCTCATCCTACAAGGGCTCGGCAACAGCGAGGTTGCCACGGCAGCAACCATGGCGCTCAAAGATGTCACCAGAGAAAACCTTGATCACATACAGCCCTTCGCCCACAACATTCTGGTGGCAAGTCAGGTTGGTGATTAGTGTTCATGTCTTATCTGAGAGTTCAAGAGTTCAAGTAAGCTTATGTCATGGCATCCATCTGTTCTAATCTATATTGTAATAAAAGAGTTCACCCTGCAAGTGCATCAAATCACTTGAGCACCTTGATTAAAAACATGGAAAGATTAGCAAAATATCTGTCGACGCCCAGTTGACAGTCCACATACTTTGCAAGTCCTACAGTCGACTGAAATCTGCATGTTGAAATCCATGTTGTTTACAAACCGGATGTCTAGTTCGTTACGAGATTTTGATTGGACTATGCGTAGACTAGTTAGTCCAGCCAAAATGTAACTCCAGAATTCCAGCTTAATTCGCCAAGGGTGGTAACTGGACTTTGATAGTCAGTTAATGCCCTTGCCTCTGGATGATATTTACATCTACAACACCTTGTTTATGTTACAGGCAGTTTTAGAGGGAAATTCTTTAAAGGTAACTATTTATTTTGTTTGTTGTGTTATAAAAGTGATTTAATAGTTGTAATTATGATTTGCTTCAAGCCACTGCTCTGTACGAATCGAATGTATTATGGGAAGATACATTGATAGAGAGGAAATTTGTTTGATGATTTGTTGCTCTTGAATTTTAATACAGGCTCCAGGCTTTCCTTAAAAAATGCAACTTGTTGATTGATGAAATAATTACTGTAGGTAATTACTGTAGGTGTTTTACAGTTAAAGCCCATTCTCCTAAAACACACTTTCCCAATGATTATTGTTTGGAAGTCAATATACGATAAAATGGATATCACTTCTGATTTTTTAATCCTGAGTTTGTTTGACAATTTCCCTGGCAACAATGCTGTCCAGTCAACAGTTGCTGTACATGTACTGTACTCTGCTGCAGCCCCGTGACGCCCTGCGACTGATGTCGTGTGTGGGCCAGGTGCTGTCCGTCCTCCCCTTCAATGACATCATGGAGTGCCTCAACCGGATCCTCACACCCCACATACAGCAGTTCCAGCAGCTGGTCAAGGAGGAGGTTGGTTTGTTTGTTTGTTTGTTACTGTTTGTTGAGTTGGGTCCATCAACATTCCGTGGGCATTCCAGGTGAGAACTGGTCTCCAGCCATCTATGCTTGTCATGACAGGCAACTGTTTGGATTGGGTGGTCAGGCTCAGTAACTTGTTTGAATATGTGTCATTGTGCAGGCTTGGATGTATGCTTGTTGTGAGTACCAGTCACTGGTTTGTCTGGCCAGGGCATAACTATTTCCTAACTGCCAACATATTGCTGGAATATTGCTGAGTATGGTGTCTGTTTTGTGTGTGTGTGTGTGTGTGTGTGTGTGTGTGTGTGTGTGTGTGTGTGTGTGTGTGTGTGTGTGTGTGTGTGTGTGTGTGTGTGTGTGTGTGTGTGTGTGTGTGTGTGTGTGTGTGTGTGTGTGTTCGTGTGTCCGTGTGTCCGTGTGTCCGTGTGTCTGTGTCTGTGTGTCTGTTTTGATGCACTAATGTACTTGTAATGTACTCACCTAATGTTTGTCATATCTATTACCATCCCTCATGCCCATGTAAATACTTTCATGACCTTTCCTGAAAAAAAGACAACTTTCAAAAGAACTTTATATGTTGTTCCCCAACCACTGCCATTGTTTAACTGATCAGTCCCTTACCACAGTTCATGCATGCATGCAACAAGTGAGATCTTGCTGAAGTTGTTTCAAGTCAAATATTTTTGAATTATTACCATCACTGTCTTATTGCAGCACCCCACTGCCATGACCAAGGCCAACCTGATCCTGAAGGTGAACCTGTTGAGTTGGTTGTTCGCCTCCCTCGACACGGAGCGAGACCACGATGGAGACGACGGCTCACCTGAAAAACAAAAACCCAGTGCAGACCAACCTAAACCAGTAAGGCTTGATTTATGGATCTATTGTCTGAATTCATTGCTTCAGAAAACGAGAGAGAAAAAAAATTGCAAAACTATTTTCCAAAAGTAATTTCTTAATAGCTTGATAATGAAATGAGAGAAATATGTTGCATGAGACTTTCTTCAAATAAAGAGCAACTTCAAGGGACCTTTGGGCTAGCCTGGTGGTTAATCTGTTTGCTGTTCATGCATCGGCCTGTGTCCATTTCCAACATGGGTACTATGTGTAGAGCCCATTACTTGTCTCCCCTGCCGTGATATTGCTGGAATATTGCTAAAAGCAGCATAAAACCCAACTCACTCTCTCTATCATGCAGTGGTATAGACCAGTGATTGCTGTTGACAGCATGGCATGTCCTTGATATCTAAGGGGCGGTCGGGTAGCCTATTGGTTAAAGCGTTCACTCGTCACGCCGAAGACCCGGGTTCGATTTCCGACATGGGTACAATGTGTGAAGCCCATTTCTGGTGTCCCCCGCCGTGATATTGCTGGAATATTGCTAAAAGCGGCGTAAAACTATACTCACTCACTCACTTGATATCTGAAGGGAGTCCTTGTTTGGTTAGAGTAAAACCTCAGCTTTCTTCAGATCTGGAGCACTAGATTTGTTTGTTTATAAATTCATTTTTATTTTTTTATTTTATACTTTACTTTTTCAGGTATATGTGATATTGCAGCAAGTGCTTCCAATGATTAAAATGATGGTGTCTAAATGGATGGTTGACCCTGCCATTGTTGAGGTATGATTATTTAAAAGCATCTTGTTATGAGTTTGAATATCCCAGCCAGAAACTTACAGATTAACTGTAGTCCTAGTAAACCATTGGATGTTCTTCAGCTTTGAGTAGTTCATGTCGGGTGTTGATCACTGCAGGCAGTGTGTGAGCTGTTCAAGAAGGCGCTGCGGACGCTGATGGAGGACTTCTCACCCATGTCGCAGGATGTTGCCCAGATGACCATTGAGATGTACCAGGCCGTGCCCCACCCCTCCCTCCTGGATCTTGTCAGACAGGTACGTCCATACCCAGCTGTTGTCGGCACCATGACACTGCACCACAAAACACCACAATGCAATGCAATGCAACAAACACCGCACCACACTGCAAAACACCACAATGCAATACAATAAACACTGCACCACACTGCAAAACACCACAATGCAATACAATAAACATCACACTGCACTGCAAAACACCACAATGCAATACAATAAACACCGCACTGCGCTGCAAAATACCACAATGCAATACAATAAACACCACACTGCACTGCAAAACACCACAATGCAATACAATAAACACTGCACTGCACTGCACTGCAAAACACCACAATGCAATACAATAAACACTGCACTGCACTGCACTGCAAAACACCACAATGCAATACAATAAACACTGCACCACACTGCAAAACACCACAATGCAATACAATAAACACCACACTGCACTGCAAAACACCACAATGCAATACAATAAACACCACACTGCACTGCACCGCATCACAAAACACTTCAAGGCAATGCAACGCACACCATACAACACAACGCAACGCGCCATATCTCACATCATGATCCTCATTTTGATCCAACCGTCTCCGTGGTTGGGTAGTAGAGCGTCCTCCCAGAGAGTGGAAGGTCCAAGGTTCGATCCCCATCCGCGTCATACCAAAAGACGTTAAAAGATGGCACTTGTTGTTACCCTGCCTGGCACTCTGCATTAAGGGGCTAAAACAAGGACTGGTCAGCACGGAGTCAGTATACTGTGTCTGAGTGGGGTTATTCATGTTAAACTGCGGCATGGTATCTCAGTGAGCTAGCACTATAAATCGGCATCAGTCCGGACTACTACAAGCAGCCACACACACAAACACACGTGCATGCACACATCACTATGTAAGTGCAAAAACCTTAGACGCAACGTTAAACCCAATTTCACCTCACCTCACCTCACCTCACCTCACCTCATTATGATCCAGATGATCCTGCTGTTCGGGACGGACCCCAACTTCCTCCAGTTCACCAAGGTCCTGTTGACCACCATCATCAACAAGACACTGCTCATGTACCAGGATGCACAGGGTAGGTTCTACACCACTGCAGTTACCTCCCTTTGACTCTTCAGGGGTAGCATACTGGGATTAGGGAGGGGTGTGTGGGAATGTTGTGTGTGTCACCATCATTACTCAGAGACCCTGTAGTCAAGGGCAGACAACTGTAGGGGGGCTTAATCACTTACCTGCCTGAATCTGTATGTTCTTTGTGAGGCATTTAGAAGTTGGAGTACTAAGTAAGGATAAGATATATGGATGAACAACTTCTATATTACAATAAGGAGCGATGTTTCGGTGTAGGTTCTAACACCGTTATCAAACAAGTGATGGCTTGCTTGATAACGGTAATAACGGTGATAACGATGTTTAGAACCTTCACCGAAACTTCGCTCCTAATTGTAAAAAAAAAATGTTCATCCATAAATCTTATCCTTACTGATCTGTATGTTGACGGACTCCAGGTCAGTGGATTATGGGCAAATTGTAATGTGTTCTGTGTTGTGATTGGCTAATTTGGGTCACATGACCAAATGTCAAAGGGTGAAAATATGATTTGCATTGCCTGAAGCAAGCGACCAAATCACTGTGTAGGAATACATAATTACTCAGCATTTTTTGCATACTAATTAACATGGTATTAACATACTAATTAAACAATAGCTTTACAATATCGATAAATACTATGTGTGTCTATTTCCGGGATTTTATCTAACGCTTTCGGGTCTCGAGATGAATTTCCAAGATGCAAATACTCGATAAAATCCCGGAAATAGACACACACATAGTATTTATCTTCTAATTCATCCTAATTTCTTTCTGAGAAAATGTGGGAAAAGTTATCCATTCCTGAGTTAAGTTGTCAAATAAAACCAATTTCTTCTGTTATAGTTTAGATGGTTTGACAAGTGAGAACAGATACATGAAGAAATTAGGTGTCCATATAAAAGAATTGTTTGATAGGCATTTCTTAGATGTTGACGGATGACAAAGTAGACACAATTTGTGGATAACAACTTCTTATTTTACTGTAATGGCCACGTTTCTGTATAGATCCTTATACCGTTGTCAAGCCATGTCATATCAAAGAAGTATCATGATTTCATGGAATGCTGTCTCTTCTTTAATTCAAGTTATTTTATGTGAAATCTTTTTTTCACATTCCTATTAATATTAGCCTGTTTTGTTTCAGTACTGAGGGCAAATTCTGATGTGATAGAAAACTTCATGACTTTGCTGTCTCAGGTTAGTAGAATCTAAGATTGTGTCTGTCATTTAAGGTTCACACATACATAGAGACTGAATTGTATTTCTTAGCAACCAGATTTGTTTTTGGAAGCAGGTTGATAACTCATGATAACTTTTGTTCCTTTGGTTAAGAACCACCTCTGTAGTCTAGTCGATGGAACGTCTGCCTGTGTCAATTCCCCTCATACCAAGACATGAAAAGATTGTACTTGTTGTTACCCTGCCTGGCACTCAGCGTTGAGGGGACAAAACAAGGACTGATCAACTCAGAGTCAGTGTTTTAAGCCTATTGCCAGTGTCCCCTGCTAAATATAAGCGTTTTGACATGTCATTTTCTTGTTAATTTTTAATCTGCTCATGTCATCTTGTATATTTTCCAGAGGATTAAAGTACAGTAAATACTTGATTGATTGCAACTTGCTATGCTATAAGACATTAACAGATGGTACTTGTTGTTACCCTGCCTGGAGCTCGGCATATAGGGACTAAAGCAAGGACTGGTAGGCTCGGAATCACTGTACTGTGTCTGAGTGGGGTGTTCATGTTAAACTGCATCATGGTAATTCATGGTGGTTGGATGTAACACCGATACATTGATGGATAACAATTTTTTACTTCTCGATACAAATATCGATCACAATCGCACATTTAGTAAAAAATATTGATTCATACCTTAAATGTTTAAATGCACCACTGATATGAGCACATGCAAGTATCGTGATACATATTGAATCGTGAGTAAGGTATCGTGATACGTATCGGATTGCACAGTTGATGTATCCCAGCCCTAGTAATTCAGGGGGTTAGCGCTATAAAACCGGCAATGTTAACCCCATTTCCCCTCTATGTATATAAGTGAAATCACAGAATATATTTGTACGGTTACATTACAAGCAGCTGATTGGTTGAACCATTCTCTACTTACTGAGCACTCAGATTATCAGTCCATACATACCTGACGAGAGGTATACAGACCCATGCTGTAAGTTTAGCACTGTGTGCTGTAGATGGTGTTGTTATGTGCGTGTTGTTTATGCAGGTGATGAAGAAGACCCAGCACTTGATGACAGATGGTAGTTGTAACCTGTCCGGTCTGTTCCATGCAGGTGGGTGAGGAGTGAATTATAGAGATTTTTGTACGAGCATGTGTGTCACTGATTTTAAGAAGCGAGTTATGAATTCCTGTATTATCCATGCTCTTGCTCAGGAAATGCAAGAATACAAGAGTTTCTTTAGGTCAGAATGACACAGATACTATGTAATTATTTCTTTATCACTCATTATTTCTGATCATTTTGAGCTCCCCTTTAGAAAAATGTACTGATCACGACTGCAATATTAGAAAACCACTGTGGTTAAATAGCATCAACAATTTCGTTTCTAGTCATTTATAAAATTCGAATGACGTCAACAATACCGTCTGGATGATGTAAACAAAACTTCCTTCTACTGGAGATCTCACTTGGGTGAGATCAAGAGATATCTCCAAGGAGAGGCTTCTGTCACTGGTTTGTCTGTTTACAGACCAACGTTAACATTGGCGTCTGATAGAATGAACTGCTAGTGTCCAGAGGTGTATTATGTACAGTGATAACAGTGTATGGTATGTTTCCAACTGTATGTTCGCATCTGGTTGTTTCAGGGATCATTGGCATGGGAATGCCGGAGCATGGCAGCGTTAAGAGTTCCTGCGCTTTTCTGGTAAATAATACGAATATTGCCGACTACGGCGCTAAGCAACATTCACTCAATCACTATGCCATACTAGCACCAGACCAATATTGCAAATTATTTCTTATCCTGACACAACGCATTGCAATTCTTCTTGACTTCAATCGGGACACAGAATCCAAACATTCCTCTACTTCCTCCAGCAGTGTCCCCTTATTTGCCAACAGGAGTTGTCTGTCCTTGATTCCTTCACTGCCGTCTTGACCGCCTCCGTGGTCTAGTGGTAGAGCGTCCGCCTGGAGAGCGGAAGGTCCGGGGTTCGATCCCGGCCGCTTCATAACAAAAGACCTTAAAAGATGGTACTTGTTGTTACCCTGTCTGGCGCTCGGCATTAAGGGGCTAAAACAAGGACTGGTCAGCTCGGAGTCAGTATACTGTGTCTGAGTGGGGTATTCATGTTAAAACTGTGGCATGGTATCTCAGTGAGCTAGCACTATAAATCGGCATCAGTCCGGACTAGTACAAGCAGCCACACAAACACACACACGTACATGCACGTCGCTACATAAGTGCAATAATCTTGGACGCGACGTTAAACCCAATTTCACCTCACCACTTCACTGCCGTCTCACCCCTCACTGTGACAGATGTGCTCTTGCAATTTGGATTCTGTCTCTATGTCTATATATATATGTCTATATATATATGTCTTTTGTCTTACATGTACCCAGGGGCAGTCGGGTAGCCCAGTGGTTAAAGCGTTTGCTCATCACGTCGAAGACCCGGGTTCAATTCCCGACATGGGTACAATGTGTGAAGCCCATTTCTGGTGTCCCCCGCCGTGATATTGCTGGAATATTGCTAAAAGCGGCGTAAAACCATACTCACTCACTCACTTACATGTACCCACCCTCCCAAACACATCAGGATTTCAGGATTAAGTAAATTTTAAAAAATGCTTGAGCCACTAAATTGGGATTTTGTAGCTAAAATGGGGGAGTGACCTCAATGTACAACAACTTTCATCAGTTACCTGGGCCGACCATGCTACTTTGCTGTGGGCAAATGGTGCTATGTTGTAAAACATGGCTCATTCGGCAATTTGACCCAGTTTTTGTGCAACGTGTCTGTACTCTTGTTCCAGGTGGAATTCCTCCATGTTGGATATGAAGCAAAAACAATCAAAGATGTCATTGAGACCAGTGGCCAACTTCTAGTGGACAGAATTCTCAGGGTATGTGCTGGCAATTTGTAGTTCCCATAAAATAATTTAATCTAATTGGATCCAAATTTCTTTCAGTCCATCTTCTTTTCACTATAACAAGTAAATGGAGGTGCGGAGGGGTGCAGAGTTGGCCCAGTTGTCTAAGGTGCCACAACGTGTCGTGCAGAGTTGCATCCCTTGTGCACGCCATAATGTTTAAAGTGTTTGCGTGTCACCGTGGACACTGGTTTGATTCGTACATAGGGACAATGGTGCAGCCTTTTTCTGGTGTCCTCTGCTAAATATGACCCTTTTGTCAAGTCATTTACTTGTATTGTAAGCCTGCTTATGTTACTATCTTGCACATTTGCCAGAGCTCTAAAGTAGTCAGTGCTTGATTGATTGCTGCTTGCTGTACTTAAAGGCAAGATGGTGCTTGTTGTGACCCTGTCTGGTGCTCAGCATGAAGGGGCTTAAACAAGGACTGGCTGGCTCAGAGTCGGTGTACTGTGTCTGGGTGGGGTATCAATGTATCTGGAAACATTAAACCCCATTTCACCTCACCTCACCTTCTATAATTAATTTTATTCACAATGTTGACATTGCTGATACATGTTATCGTTCCCTTAGTGTGAATAACTGCTTGTGCTTTCAATCACCGGTTTATCTGGTCCAGAGCTGATTCCATGTCTTTACAGGCTGCTGTGATATGGCTGGAATATTGGGGACTGCAGCATCCCACACGATTCACTCACTCATTAACTTGAAGCTTGTGTTCCAGGCAGTAGGAGGGGAGTCTCCGAGAGGGGTGATGGAGAACATCGCGGATGTCCTGCTTGCTCTCAACAAGTACCACTTCCCCCACCTGACGGCCTGGCTGACGGAGATCATCAACAAGGAGGGCTACCCCTCCATCAGGGCCACCAAGAAGGACAGGGAGAAGTTCGTCAAGAATATTCTCAGGTATGAGCATCACCAAATGTTTTTGTGTGGATTTTTGTTCCAATAATGTACTGTGGATAGCAAATTTCAAACACACCAACCTACTCACCCACTCAAACACAACAACCTACCCACTCACTCAAACACACCAACCTACTCACCCACTCAAACACACCAACCTACTCACTCACTCAAACACACCAACCTACTCACCCACTCAAACACACCAACCTACCCACTCATTCAAACACACCAACCTACTCACCCACTCAAACACACCAACCTACTCACCCTATCAAACACACCAACCTACCCACTCACTCAAACACACCAACCTACTCACCCACTCAAACACACCAACCTACCCACTCATTCAAACACACCAACCTACTCACCCACTCAAACACACCAACCCACTCACCCACTCAAACACACCAACCTACTCACCCACTCAAACACACCAACCTACCAACTCACTCAAACACACCAACCTACCCACTCACTCAAACACACCAACCTACTCACCCACTCAAACACACAATCCTACTCACCCACTCAAACACACCAACCTACTCACCCACTCAAACACACCAACCTACTCATCCACTCAAACACACCAACCTACCCGACCACTCAAACACACCAACCTACTCACCCACTCAAACACACCAACCTACTCACCCACTCAAACACACCAACCTACCCACCCACTCAAACACACCAACCTACTCACCCACTCAAACACACCAACCTACTCACTCAAACACACCAACCTACACACCCACTCAAACACACAAACACACCAACCTACTCACCCACTCAAACACACCAACCTACCCGACCACTCAAACACACCAACCTACTCACCCACTCAAACACACCAACCTACCCACCCACTCAAACACACCAACCTACCCGACCACTCAAACACACCAACCTACCCGACCACTCAAACACACCAACCTACTCACTCAAACACACCAACCTACTTACCCACTCAAACACACCAACCTACTCACCCACTCAAACACACCAACCTACCCACCCACTCAAACACACCAACCTACTCACCCACTCAAACACACCAACCTACTCACTCAAACACACCAACCTACACACCCACTCAAACACACAAACACACCAACCTACTCACCCACTCAAACACACCAACCTACCCGACCACTCAAACACACCAACCTACTCACCCACTCAAACACACCAACCTACCCACCCACTCAAACACACCAACCTACTCACCCACTCAAACACACCAACCTACTCACCCACTCAAACACACCAACCTACTCACCCACTCAAACACACCAACCTACTCACCCACTCAAACACACCAACCTACTCACCCACTCAAACACACCAACCTACTCACCCACTCAAACACACCAACCTACCCACCCACTCAAACACACCAACCTACCCACCCACTCAAGCACACCAACCTACTCACCCACTCAAACAAACCAACCTACCCGACCACTCAAGCACACCAACCTACTCACCCACTCAAACACACCAACCTACTCACTCAAACACACCAACCTACACACCCACTCAAACACACAAACACACCAACCTTCTCACCCACTCAAACACACCAACCTACCCGACCACTCAAACACACCAACCTACTCACTCAAACACACCAACCTACTCACCCACTCAAACACACCAACCTACTCACCCACTCAAACACACCAACCTACTCACTCAAACACACCAACCTACTTACCCACTCAAACACACCAACCTACTCACCCACTCAAACACACCAACCTCCCCGACCACTCAAACACACCAACCTACTCACCCACTCAAACACACCAACCTACCCGCCCACTCAAACACACCAACCTACTCACCCACTCAAGCACACCAACCTACTCACCCACACACACACCAACCTACTCACCCACTCAAACACACCAACCTACCCACCCACTCAAACACACCAACCTACTCACCCACTCAAACACACCAACCTACTCACTCACTCAAACACACCAACCTACCCACCCACTCAAACACACCAACCTACTCACCCACTCAAACACACCAACCTACTCATCCACTCAAACACACCATCCTACTCACTCACTCAAACACACCAACCTACTCACTCAAACACACCAACCTACTCACCCACTCAAACACACAAACACACCAACCCACTCACTCAAACACACCAACCTACCCGACCACTCAAACACACTAACCTACTCACCCACTCAAACACACCAACCTACTCACCCACTCACACACAAACCTACTCACTCAAACACACCAACCTACACACCCACTCAAACACACAAGCACACCAACCCACTCACTCAAACACACCAACCTACCCAACCACTCAAACACACTAACCTACACACCCACACAAACACACCAACCCACTCACTCAAACACACCAACCTACCCGACCACTCAAACACACCAACCTACACACCCACTCAAACACACAAACACACCAACCCACTCACTCAAACACACCAACCTACCCGACCACTCAAACACACTAACCTACTCACCCACTCAAACACACCAACCTACTCACCCACTCAAACACAGCAACCCACTCACTCAAACACACCAACCTACTCACCCACTCAAACACACCAACCTACTCACCCACTCAAACACACCAACCCACTCACCCACTCAAACACACCAACCTACCCACCCACTCAAACACATCAACCTACTCACCCACTCAAACACACCAACCTACTCACCCACTCAAACACACCAACCTACCCACCCACTCAAACACATCAACCTACTCACCCACTCAAACACACCAACCCACTCACTCAAACACACCAACCTACTCACCCACTCAAACACACCAACCTACCCACCCACTCAAACACACCAACCTACTCACCCACTCAAACACACCAACCCACTCACCCACTCAAACACACCAACCTACTCACCCACTCAAACACACCAACCTACCCACCCACTCAAACACACCAACCTACTCACTCACTCAAACACACCAACCTACTCACCCACTCAAACACACCAACCCACTCACTCACTCAAACACACCAACCTACTCACTCAAACACACCAACCTACTCACTCAAACACACCAACCTACTCACCCACTCAAACACACCAACCTACCCACTCATTCAAACACACCAACCTACTCACCCACTCAAACACACCAACCCACTCACCCACTCAAACACACCAACCTACTCACCCACTCAAACACACCAACCTACCAACTCACTCAAACACACCAACCTACCCACTCACTCAAACACACCAACCTACTCACCCACTCAAACACACAATCCTACTCACCCACTCAAACACACCAACCTACTCACCCACTCAAACACACCAACCTACTCATCCACTCAAACACACCAACCTACCCGACCACTCAAACACACCAACCTACTCACCCACTCAAACACACCAACCTACTCACCCACTCAAACACACCAACCTACCCACCCACTCAAACACACCAACCTACTCACCCACTCAAACACACCAACCTACTCACTCAAACACACCAACCTACACACCCACTCAAACACACAAACACACCAACCTACTCACCCACTCAAACACACCAACCTACCCGACCACTCAAACACACCAACCTACTCACCCACTCAAACACACCAACCTACCCACCCACTCAAACACACCAACCTACCCGACCACTCAAACACACCAACCTACCCGACCACTCAAACACACCAACCTACTCACTCAAACACACCAACCTACTTACCCACTCAAACACACCAACCTACTCACCCACTCAAACACACCAACCTACCCACCCACTCAAACACACCAACCTACTCACCCACTCAAACACACCAACCTACTCACTCAAACACACCAACCTACACACCCACTCAAACACACAAACACACCAACCTACTCACCCACTCAAACACACCAACCTACCCGACCACTCAAACACACCAACCTACTCACCCACTCAAACACACCAACCTACCCACCCACTCAAACACACCAACCTACTCACCCACTCAAACACACCAACCTACTCACCCACTCAAACACACCAACCTACTCACCCACTCAAACACACCAACCTACTCACCCACTCAAACACACCAACCTACTCACCCACTCAAACACACCAACCTACTCACCCACTCAAACACACCAACCTACCCACCCACTCAAACACACCAACCTACCCACCCACTCAAGCACACCAACCTACTCACCCACTCAAACAAACCAACCTACCCGACCACTCAAGCACACCAACCTACTCACCCACTCAAACACACCAACCTACTCACTCAAACACACCAACCTACACACCCACTCAAACACACAAACACACCAACCTTCTCACCCACTCAAACACACCAACCTACCCGACCACTCAAACACACCAACCTACTCACTCAAACACACCAACCTACTCACCCACTCAAACACACCAACCTACTCACCCACTCAAACACACCAACCTACTCACTCAAACACACCAACCTACTTACCCACTCAAACACACCAACCTACTCACCCACTCAAACACACCAACCTCCCCGACCACTCAAACACACCAACCTACTCACCCACTCAAACACACCAACCTACCCGCCCACTCAAACACACCAACCTACTCACCCACTCAAGCACACCAACCTACTCACCCACACACACACCAACCTACTCACCCACTCAAACACACCAACCTACCCACCCACTCAAACACACCAACCTACTCACCCACTCAAACACACCAACCTACTCACTCACTCAAACACACCAACCTACCCACCCACTCAAACACACCAACCTACTCACCCACTCAAACACACCAACCTACTCATCCACTCAAACACACCATCCTACTCACTCACTCAAACACACCAACCTACTCACTCAAACACACCAACCTACTCACCCACTCAAACACACAAACACACCAACCCACTCACTCAAACACACCAACCTACCCGACCACTCAAACACACTAACCTACTCACCCACTCAAACACACCAACCTACTCACCCACTCACACACAAACCTACTCACTCAAACACACCAACCTACACACCCACTCAAACACACAAGCACACCAACCCACTCACTCAAACACACCAACCTACCCAACCACTCAAACACACTAACCTACACACCCACTCAAACACACAAACACACCAACCCACTCACTCAAACACACCAACCTACCCGACCACTCAAACACACCAACCTACACACCCACTCAAACACACAAACACACCAACCCACTCACTCAAACACACCAACCTACCCGACCACTCAAACACACTAACCTACTCACCCACTCAAACACACCAACCTACTCACCCACTCAAACACACCAACCTACTCACCCACTCAAACACAGCAACCCACTCACTCAAACACACCAACCTACTCACCCACTCAAACACAGCAACCCACTCACTCAAACACACCAACCTACTCACCCACTCAAACACACCAACCTACTCACCCACTCAAACACACCAACCCACTCACCCACTCAAACACACCAACCTACCCACCCACTCAAACACATCAACCTACTCACCCACTCAAACACACCAACCTACTCACCCACTCAAACACACCAACCTACCCACCCACTCAAACACATCAACCTACTCACCCACTCAAACACACCAACCCACTCACTCAAACACACCAACCTACTCACCCACTCAAACACACCAACCTACCCACCCACTCAAACACACCAACCTACTCACCCACTCAAACACACCAACCCACTCACCCACTCAAACACACCAACCTACTCACCCACTCAAACACACCAACCTACCCACCCACTCAAACACACCAACCCACTCACTCACTCAAACACACCAACCTACTCACTCAAACACACCAACCTACTCACTCAAACACACCAACCCACTCACTCACTCAAACACACCAACCTACTCACCCACTCAAACACACCAACCCACTCACTCACTCAAACACACCAACCTACTCACTCAAACACACCAACCCACTCACTCACTCAAACACACCAACCTACTCACCCACTCAAACACACCAACCCACTCACTCACTCAAACACACCAACCTACTCACCCACTCAAACACACGACACGACAACCTACCTACGCACTCATTCTAGCACACTAACCTACTCACCCACTCAAACACACCAACCCACTCACTCACTCAAACACACCAACCTACTCACCCACTCAAACACACGACACGACAACCTACCTACGCACTCATTCTAGCACACTAACCTACTCACCCACTCAAACACACCAACCCACCCGCCAACTCAAACACATTAACCTACTCACCCACTCACTCACACGACAACCTACCTTCCCACTCATTCTAGCACACTAACCTACTCACCCACTCACTCACCCGACACGACAACCTACCTACCCACTCATTCTAGCACACTAACCTACTCACCCACTCACTCACACGACACGACAACCTACCTACCCACTCATTCTAGCACACTAACCTACTCACCCACTCACTCACCCGACACAACAACATACCTACCCACTCATTCAAGCACACTAACCTACTCACCCACCCACCAATTCATGATGTCAATCACTGGATTGTCTGGTCCAGACTCGATTATTTACAGACCGCCACCATATAGCTGGAACATTGCTGACTGCGGCGTTAAACAACAAACAAACAATCAAACACTTGCAAACTCTATCATGTACTCGCCAAGCTACTTGCTCAGTCAAATTTATGATTTTAAACAATTCTTTACTTCACATGTCTGAGGAAATGATGTACAATGTCTCAAGTAACTTCACTTTGAGTTTGTCTTGGCCTGGCTTCACCCTTTGTTTTCTTTCTAGGGAGAAGGTTAACAAGCGGAAAGTACGAGACTTGGTGAAGGAGTTCACACTGCTGTGTCGAGGTTTGTTGGGAACGGAGTATGCAGCCCAGGCTGCAGCGTTGATATAAGCCCCGCCCTGATGATATATACATTGCCTAACTGTGATATCCCTCCTCTCATTGGCTGACTGATGTCATGTGACAGTTCATATCCAGTCAACAGTACCTGTATGGTAGAGATCCATCTCTGTATATAGAGTATAATTTATGTATATTTATACTTTACCTGGAATATTTTCAATTTGTGATGAAATGATTCTGCTTTCATGTAACATTTTGACAAGAAAACAGCTTCTCCTTATCAAGAAATCAAATAAGGAGGTAGATCTGAACCCATGTCCACAAAGTGATCTTAGCACAACAGCAGTCAAATCTCTGATTCTTCAACATTGATTATGATAATCATAGTGCTAAGATCCGTATTTTTGAATGGGTCTCAGGGTGCCATTCCACAAAGTGATCTCAGCGCCACTTCTGTCACATCTCTGATTCTTTAACATTGACTATGATAATCATGCGCTAAGATGCTTTTTTTTTAATGGATGTCCACAAAGCAATCTTAGCGCTCCTACTGTCGTAAGTCTGTGATAAAGTATGGTTATTATGATCGTCTTAGCGCTAAGATTGTGGAAAGGCTCCTTGGAATCTATGAAAGAGAATCAGTTGGACTCTAGTGCTACGACTGTTGTAACTTCCATCCCGTGGCACTGGCTTAAGATCATCTTAGCGCCGAGATCACATTGTCGAAGAAGACCTAAAACTTGTATTAAGGGTTGATTTTGCTGATCACATAAGATTGTAAATGTCATGTGTATAGTGTATATATTACCTTTTATATTTTGGTAGCAACAGAAATAGAATGAATGTTTCAGAGGCTGAAAAGTTAAATATGAATGTTAGCTGACTCTCGAATCGTTAACTCGCCTGCTGTGTGTTGTCTCATGAGCCCAAACAACTCATGCATCACATCGACAACTTTAACAACAACCCACACACCACATTGCCAACTTCTTAAACTATTAATATGTTTCCAAACTGGCAAGTCAATTATACGTACCGTATTCGACGTAATAAGCGCCCACGTCGAGATTTGCTAATATATTGGCTGGTGAACAGTCCAAATTAGCACCCCTTCCGACCCCTTTTCGCATATTATATGCACCGCTTCCTTCCCCTATTTGCGTATAATATGTACTCGTGTGTTATATGCACCCTTTATTATTGGCAATTATATTCTGGAAAAATAGATCTGTCGTACATAAACATTTCAGGCTGTCAGCATAAACCACGATATTTATCTTTCTACTCTGTTTTTTTTTCACCAAAATAATATTCTAATAAGAGCCCCCTATTTCTAATTTTGAGAGCACCTTGGGCGCTTATTACGTCGAATACGGTATCTGGTGCAATGTAGCTAGCCGAGAGGACATTTCTGGATGTGTGTCAATCAAATGGTCCCTTACTTCCTTCAGACTGTATATATTGCATTTTGATAGGTGCCCAACATGGGATTTTGTTATGGCTTGAAATACACAACTCAAAAAAAATATAGAATACCTGTTTTTTTCATGTGGCTGTAGTTAATCTGTCCTGACAGACTGACTACAGTCATAGGAAAACAACCATGTCTTCTTAACTTCTTTTGAGTAGTATATATTAAAGATGGCATGACTTACACTAATTTGTTGGCATCTAAGTGTTCTGGTCAGTCATAGTTAAACATCATTAAAGTTATTGTTTGCCTTTCAAGGACAAATTGCAGGTGTATAAAGAATAGCAATGTGATATTTATTCATCCAGAGCATCAAGTCATTTAGTCGTTCATTCAGTCATAAGTGTATGTGTTGAATTTGTTTTGTTACTTTGCTTCTCGTTTGTTTGAAACTTAGATGTGAATATTATGTTGTGTTCATGCTTTCGTATACAAGGTTCTATTTACAAGTCATGGTTGTGCTATTTCTGTGCTAGAACAGAAGTCCTTTAAGTGCTGACTATTCACATTATATATGTAACATTTTTTCGAAACAGACAGTTGAATGATTATGTTAAATAGTGCTTCTTGTGACTTCCTATCGATATCTCAAGTCACATTGGTCATAAGAGAACTATTTTTAATTGCCAAGAATTAATAATGAAAATGTACATCATTTGAGTGCTAAGATGGGCTTAATGTATACTGCTCCAAAGAAGTTAAGAACTCCAGATACTTTCATATGACTATAGTCATGACAGATTAACTGTAGTCATATGAAAATATCTGTTCTTTATCTTCTTTTGAGTAGTATATTTGCTCAGTGACTAACACAGATAGCTACACTGCACATATGTGGTATCACAAGGCGAAGTCTGTTTCTTCAAAAACATCAGCATATATAAATTAAATTAAATTAAAATGGGATGTATATAAAAAAAGACAAAAATGTTTTTTGAAGTGTCATGTGAATTAAATTTAAAACATGCTGCAATACATACTACTCAAAAGAAGTTAAAGAACATATTACTTGAGTTAATCTGTCTTTTGAGTACATGTATTTAAAATGTTATTGTATTAATGATGACAAGGTTTAAATTCCTGATTAAAGCCACATCAAGCTGACACCATGATTTAACTGCAGTAATCTCCAAAGCAGCATAACAACTCACTCACTCACTCACTCACTCACTCACTCACTCACTCACTCACTCACTTTTAAAATGCTACTGCTCGTCTAAGGTGCTGAACACACACGTGCATGCACTTCAATGTATATGTGCAATAATCTTGGAGGTGACGTTAAGCCCCATTTCACCGACCTCTAAGGTGCTAGAGTTGGTTATGGAGTTATGACCTGAGATTAACCCCAATTATGAACCTTGGTTTGTCAACCATATATGTTCTTCTGACTTTTGTCGTTAACATCTTAAGGCTGTCACGCCGAAGACCCGGGTTTGATTCCCGACAAAGACGCAATGTGTGAACCCATTTCTGGTGACTCCTGCCATGATTTGCTGGAATATTGCTAAAATCGGCATAAAACAATACTCACTCCTTACTTCAGCTGACATGCCATGATGTAACTAAATACTGGTCAAAGTGTCATTTAACCAAACTCACTCACTCACTCCAAATTGGGGGGCACGGGTGGCCCGGGTGGCCCAGTCGTCTAAGGCGCCGCAATTCGCTTTGCAGAGTTGCGTTCCTTGGACACGCCAGAAACCTATGATAGTGGGTTCGAATCCAGGTTCGCCCCGATTATGTTTCTAGGTTTGTCAGCACCATACCCGTGCTCGTGGGTTTCACCGAAGTGGTAAACGTCTAAGACCTGCATCACTTCGGGCTTTCCTCCCACATGAAGCTGACATGCCGTGATATAACTGGAATACTGTTAAAAGCTGCGTTAAACCCAACTCACTCACTCACTCACTCACTCCAAATTGATAAGGCAGAGATTTGAAGTTCCCTCATATCTCAGCACATCACACATTGATCAACTCACGGCCTGAGCATGTGATAGACAGTGAAACTCAGTAACAGGTTTGTAGGATGTTTGTAAGAAAACACAATTCTTGTATCACTCTAGTTAATCTGTCATGCCATCAGAATCAGGTGTTCCTTAACTTCTTTTGAGTAGTATATTTGAGAAGGGTCAGATTTTGTGCCATTGTAGTAAGTGACTATTAACTGTTTCAGAATGGTATCCCTTTCATCATGGTTTGTGGTGTGTTAATGAAGAACTTGAAGAAAGTGTTCTCTATCATAAATACTACTCAAAAGAAGTTAAGGACCACCCATTTAGTTGATTTAATGCCATGCCTTGACAGGTTAATTAGTAATATGAAAGAGTTGAGTGGTTCTTAACTTCTTTTGAGTAGTATGTATCCAGCAAATACAGAAATGGATAAATCGGGAATCTCAGTTTGTGTGCTTTGATGGTATGATATATGTAATGATTGGATTAAAAAGAAAATTCCATGTAAAATTATGAATATTGTTGGTACTGAGCTAACGTGTGAAGTGACGTGTTTGATTTAGTGGAAATCATGAGAAAATGGATTGGCTGAATGAATCTTCATTTTTCCCTTGTATGTGTGTTAATTTGTAAATATTGTCTTAATTTATGATCTAATGGGAGGAGTGCAAATTGATGTTGTACAGTGTTGGAAGATGTCCTGAGTGTAAATCTGAACTTTGTCTGGTTCTGTGTGCAGAGACGTGTGTTAACACGTAAGGAAGATGGACAGTATCATAAGCATTTCAAGAGGTCGGTATTACACTTTTCCTGGAAATAAATTGTAGCAATTGTAGCAGGGCTTGGAGTCAACCCACAGATGACATCCTTACCTTGTCTGCTTGCTGACGGGGTTAACCTCTTTGGTCATGTGGACAAGGCATCCGACCTGGGATCAGAAGGTATGTGGCTCGAATGGGACTCGGAAATTTTATCTCCGCTAAACAATCATGGCCAGTTTAGTCCTGTGATTGCAAAGCAAGATAGGAACGTGGGACATGCTGATAGGAATGAAACGATACAGCAAGGTCACGATACATAGGTCAAGTTACATAGGTCACGATACATAGGTCACGATATAATATGCATATTTACTTGGTAACTTCTTGACAATATATATTTCAGAGCAGGTTAAAAAGGAGAATCTAGCTTTAGACACAGCTTGTTCGTAACGGCTATTTTCAGAAGTGAACTTGAAACGCTAATTACCCGGTACAACACATTTTGCTATATCTGGCTGACAAAAATGCCAGGGGTCATTAAACAAGTAATGAGTAATTTTGTTCAAGCGTATCATCTTGTATCGACACAGAAAAAAATGTATCATGTATCTACGGTGGCCCATAAGGGACATGGAGTCTGTTTTTCCATATTTTGATATTTCACTTACTTTTATCGTAACCTTTTGCAAATTAACACGATTTGTCTTACAAATATGTGATAAATCATGTGTAAAGAAGATATTGAATGGCTGAAAAGTGAAACGAAAATGTCAAAAACTAAAATGAAAATGTCAAAAACTAAAATGAAAATACAGAAAACTGTTTCAACCGTGGTTTCATTTTAGTTTTTGACATTTTTTGTTTTTGTTTTTGAACTTTTCGTTTTGGTTTTTGACATTTCCATTTTAGTTTTTAACATTTTCACTTCACATTTCAGCCACTCAATAGATACTTGAAAGTACATTTTCCATGTTTTTCGGTTGTTTTTATACATGATTTATCACATATTTGCATGACAAATTGTCTTTATTTGCGAAAGGTTACGATAAAAGTAAGTGAAACATCAAAATATTGAAAAACAGACTCCATGTCCCTTATGGGCCACCGTATGTATGTATGCTAAACAAACAGGTGACATGTGTTGCCCGGTTTGTCAGTGTGATTCACATGGCATTCTCAGACCAATGTTAAGTGTATGTTGTCGCATTGGCTATTTTCGAATATTTGGCATATGCAAATGTCAAAAGTCCTGTCGGCCATTTCATAAGTTTACTGGTGATATATTGCATATGGAGCTGATTTGGGAAACAATTAAATAAATATCAAAGTAAGATGGTGAGATGTTACAAAGTCTGTCTGGTATCCCCATACTGTCTATGTCTTGATGTTGTACTTAGTGTGTCAAACTGAGACAGTGTCTCTGTGTGATGTGGAGGTCATTAGCTCCTAGGTCTATACATACAGACCCCTGAAGATCCGGGGTAGAATAGGTCTTCAGCAACCCATGCTTGCCATAAGAGGTGACTAACGGGATCGGGTGGTCAGGCTCGCTTACTTGGTTGATACATGTCATCATATCCCAATTGCGTGGATCGATGCTCATGATGTCAATCACTGGATTGTCCAGACTCAGTTATTTACAGACCGCCATTATATTATTTAGTTGGAATATTGCTGAGTGCAGCATTAAACAACAAACAAACAAACAAACAAATTATACATTCAAAATTTGGGTTCGCAGATAAAGTGGCTTTTGAATGACTGGAATCAAACTGGCACTATTCCTCTCGATACATTGGGCCAGACTTCTTTCATATTGTTATATTTACAGATTTAAAATAAAAAAAATGATATATTGTAATTTCAAATATAATATCTATTACTTCCTTTTGCAATTTCGTCATAATTTGTTTTGAAGGTTTTTTTAAGATACATTTTCACCAGGTTTCAATCCTTGTATTCTAAAGAGTTCATTCATATTGCTAGTGACAGTAAATGAGTGTAAGATTTCATTATTTCTGGTCGGCAGGATAAAAAAGCCGCTGCTTTTATGTTTATTTTTTTAATTTCACATTTACATTTGTGGGAGATGGCAGTGCCTAAGAATGTGGTTCTGATCACCCAATCCGACGAGTGTTTCTCTGTCATCGATACAATTATGGAGGATTCAGGTCCAAAATACAATCTGAACTTTATTTTCAGATAGTGTTTTTTTTACTCCAGTTTGATTAATTCCCTAAGCCCAAAAATAAAAAGGTGTTGATTAAGTAACAAGGATATAAGGATACTTTTTGTTGGAAACTCGATGTTGGGGGGCCAGGGGGGCAGTTGTCTAAGGCGCCACAATTTGGTGTGCATACCAGAAACCTATGGTCGTGGTTTCGAATCCTGATAAGCCCCGATTCTGTTTCTAGGTTTCTAATACCATACCCGTACTCATCGGTTTCACCATAGTGGTAAACATCTCAGACCTGCACCACCTGCTGACAGGCCGTGATATTACTGGAAAACTGTTCAAAGCAGCATCACGCCCAACTCGCCTTCTCACTGTGCAATGTTGCCGGTTGTAGGAACCGATGGCTGTGTGTGACTAATTGCTGTAGACCTCACTGTGGCGAGAACACGTTTCTTATGTGCTCATCAGATAAATTAGTTTGTTTAGTTAATTTATTACTTTCATGCAGGACGCGGACGGCCATTCCATCTCAGGTGCCTCATTTCACTGGTCAGATTGGACTGTGGGCCTCGATTGTGGTTTGCCAACACCATACCTGTGCTTGTGTTTCACAAAAGACAGTCCAGTGAAACACAGAGTATGCTAATGATGATTTTTTTATGTCTTGCTAAACAATTCACTATTTGGTTAAAATTTTGTGATTCTGATAAGGGCAGTATCATTTAGAACTATTCCAAAACCCAACTCACTAACAGGGACTGGAAACAAGTCTGCAACTTGCAGAATTTATGGTATGATGTTAAGTCAATGACCCTGGTGCAACCAGGTCACATTAACCCTTTTCATCTTACAGGTACGCAATATGCTGTGCAGTTGGGTACCCTTGGTGTGCCAGACCATGATGGTGGGTTTGAATCCCGGTTCGCCCTGATTATGTTTTGAGATTTGTCAGCTCAGTCTGGTTCATAGTAAATGTCGAAGACCTGCATCAGTTCACTTTACACATGTTGAACTCTGGTAAAGTATGGAAATCTCGTCATACGAAAGTCTTAAGTCCTGTTTCGGTGGTATATGTTATTTAAGTTGTACATTATTTTATCATGCTGTAAGAATGTGAAGATGTCATATATTGAGATATTGGAGAAAAAAATGGAAAATGTATATTTTATCATGGTATAGATATGTAAAATAAAGGTATGTCTTCTGTCATTTTTATAAATAAAAATATGTGATATTGAAATGCGTTCATTTATTTTTTGTGAACTACTCAACATATTTTTGAATAGGTTGGTGTGTGTTTTAAGTTTGCATTATTGCAGCACATGCATTTAGGACCCGATTGTATGAAAAATAGATAAATTTAAAGATAGACAATGCAATTATACTGGTTAGAGGACTGACTGTGTCTTAAAAAAGGCTACTTATTTGGATTGTTTGTTCAGGCTCTATGACTTGGCTAATTGTATGTCATCATACCCCAATAGTGGGACTTTCTCATTCTCCCTGTTATTAGTTTGTCTGGTCTAGACTTGGTGTAATGTTGCTGCCTGCGGCTTTAGACAACAACAAATTGGACATATTTCGTGTCCAATTGTGCCAAAAATCCTTGTTTCAAAGTTTATTTTACAATTTGGGGATTGCCTGGATGACACAAACCAAAGGTTGATAACAGAGACAGTGATCCATTTTTTAGCAATAGCATCCCATACAGGCCATGGGACCGTTGTACAGAACAACCTTAGCCCTACGACTGTCGTAAGTCTATGTTAAGGTATTGGCATTACGATCACCTTAGCGCTGAGATAGCTTTGTACAACAGC